CTCCGGAATGGCTGCTCGCTGCCAGTTGGCCGCGCCACGGTTCGTCTTCCCCTCAAGCTTTCGCAGTACCAGCTCCTACATGCGTTTTTGCCAGTGGAGCTTCAGTATACGTACAGTATAACGGTTGCTACGAGCATGATACACCTACTTGGTTTTCAAGAAACTCAACAGGGCGACCAGTCCAGCTATTGCTAATGAGCTCGTTCCGGTAATCCGGTTATATCCCGTGACGACGATGTTTGCGGACGACTGCAAAAAACTTAATTAGGAAGTTAACTAGGCGAGTCATCAACCCCGGAGGTGAGGTTATGAGCTTCCGGACTCCCGGGAATTGTTCCCCCGTACGTGGTTTCCATTGAGTTTGCCCACTTCTGAAGATCCTCCGCACATTCTCCGGCATCCTACGCGATTTCTGTCAAGCTTCGAGCATTATACCTTCCTATGAACCCGACATACTTTTCAACCAGGCTTCCTTGATTCTCGACGACAATGGAAGTATCCTACCACGAATCCAACATCTATATCATTCGCTGCATACAGGAGTCCACCCAGTCCCAGTGAATCCATAATTGTTAGTACTTGCTAAAGCAAACCTCAGCATACCAGCCATATACAACTTGTCCCTGTCAGCGCTGCTAGCAGCCCGAAACGGGTTGATGACTTCCTCCAGGCTTTAGGTTACGCACAGCACTAAAATAAGCTTAAGTTGTTTTAGAGTTTGCTCTCAGTGGTACTACTGTCTACATAATATCTCCCAACTCCACTCGCGAATCTCCGTCTCTTCTTTCTTTCTTGCAGCTTCTGGTTACGTGGATAGAGTTGTCTCTCTCATAGCCTCTATACACTGCGATACGATACAGAATAACCCCTATGAAACTAACGATCTCACCATGGATGACTGTATTCTTTGCGGTGATTACTTCAATGACTTCAGACGACACCTCGACAAAACATGGTTGGATGAATTTCGTGCAGGTCAGTGAACCGAAGATGCTTTCCCTTGCCATGAAACCAGCCAACTCCCTACAGTCTACTGTGTCGACGAAGAGTGTCGAATTTCCGGAATTGGCCGTGACCACGGCTATCTTCAAGGCAAAGTGCTCGTCCCTTTGGACGAAACCACAAGATGGACTGACCGCGGCGTGCTCTTCATCCGCGTCTCTATGATGAGGCGACCCTGTCGAAATGTGGATCGTGCCCGGGGCTTTATTTTTCATGATTCCTGCTGGCGGCTCCTTAAAGAAGTTTACAATCAGGACCCGATCCCACTGAGGCGACTTCTGGAAGTTTGTAAGTCAGTGCCCGTTGATGACCACAATCGTTTACTGTGGTCCCATGAATACGGCAGAAGGGAGTATAATTACCAAATATTGGATCAAGTGCCTTGTGATCCATACAACGTACCAGACGTTCAGCACATACTCAGCAAACCTCTACACCTCCCTCGGTTTCAACCTAGCAGGAAAGCGAAATGTGCCAGGAAAGAACATGGAAGAAAAGCAGATAATCCTACGAGTACAATGCCAGACCTGTCAAATGACTCACATGAGAAAAATTACTTCAAGAAACTACCGTTTGAGATACTAGAAGAAATAGCCTCTTACCTGGAAGTAGCGGATTTTCTTCGTCTCCGTTCTGTTTCCAAAGCTTTCTGCTCGATATTCTCCAGTCGCAGGTTTTGGAAGATCAGATTTTGGAACGAGCGTGGATTCATATTTGAGGCCCTTGACAGTACTATCCAACGTCGCCTTAACTGGCAAAGCTTATATTGGCATACCAACGGCTCAAAGCTCTCGCTAGCCCTATCCAACAGGAAAAGGGTTTGGACGCTAAACCAGATGCTGCAAGAGAAGTTGGATTTGAGATGGATCGATGACCCAAAGTTGCGCCACGATGATCCAGGTGATGTGAACTGGGAGTGGAGAGAAGTGCATGGGGAGATGATCGAGGAGAGCTTTCGAGAATTCTCCAACGGTTGTCGCCGCTTTCACAGGCGATGGGCTACTCTGCCTCCCAAGGTTACAAAAATCGGTGTCTCAACTATTCATGATGGGAGGGAAAGCTATGTTACGGGCATGCAAGTTATATCAGAGGGAAGCCAACCTCTTCAAATCGGTTACATGAACCCCATATCAGCAAGGCAGGTCTTCGCAGAGATCACCTCTCTCGAAGGCTTTACTGTAGCTGTCGGACCTGGGGGAATCCAAGCAGTACAAATGATCATGGGTAACGACTGCCAATCTGGTTGGTTAGGGAGGCCTGATGAAGAGGCAGCAGTCACTCGCCGGCTGGCAGCCGGTGAGCCAATATCTGCTCTTGCTATGGGGTTCGACGTAAGGAAATTGCTACTATTTAGTGCTCGCAAGTCTCATTACTTACTTTCGTTCTAGGGATACAAAATGGTTAGCCTAGCAGTTGGTAAAAATACACTAATGCCAAACACACGGCCCTTTAGCAACGACTTACGGGAAACTGCGTTGTGGCACCGCAGGATTCCCGGCCCAAATCATCATCTGAGCTATGAGTCGTTTGTGGGGCGAGATCCAACTTTCGGTTATTCTCCCCTACACGTCGCTTTGTTTGGTGGGCCTGGGGGTTGTTATCTTCGCTCGTTGTTTGGGATTTCGGTGTCTTACGCCGACCACGGTATAATGGGTATCGACTTTTTACATCGTGATGGACATATTCCTTACGAATGTTGGCGACTTGGCTATCGCACCTTCGGATTGCAAAGGGGCTTTTATATTGATGGACGGAATGGGGAGCTTATTGAGAGCGTGGACATCGACACATTCCATTATCCTAACGAGGCAGCACACGGCATCTCCAGGCATGGAGTGGTGAAATCTCTTAGAGCAAGTTTCTCTTCTTCGAAACCACCCCCCCCCCTCCCTTCTCCCTTTTTTTTTTTTTTTTTAACCTTCCTGGGTTTACTTCTAAAATCTTTTGCAGATCTACACAAACCGTGGTAGGTCATATAACTTTTCCCGTCGGCCGCGTTTTGGTCCTGGTACGAAAAAGCCGCGGGCGATATCTCGTGTGCAGAAGGTAAGAGCAGCACCAGGAGCCGTAATTACGGGATTTTACGCCGCCCATGTAAGATCATGAACCAAATAAGCCCTCCTCACCTTCTCCATATAACTATTTAGGCTAAGGATATGACAGGGTCTACCCGGATTCTCTGGGGACGCAGTCCTACATAACCTGGGGGTTATATCAGAGAGAATCTCAGGAAGATGATACATTTTCTTAAGGCATCAATGGAAATATCTGATGATAGTTAAGGTGCCAGGATGTGTTAGATACTGATGTCTCTCACTGCCCTGATAGTAAACAATGATGCATAGATGTACTACCTCTAATCCTCAGATCTTTATTCACATATATTTGCCCATTGTGGGGTGGGGACTGGTCAGGACCTTGGGGAGGTGATGTCTCAACCTGGGGAGGACGACTTCATATTCTCCGTTACCTAGATCCGCCCACGGTCAGTTCAGCCTTGTTCCGAAGACTGTAATCGATAGATGTACGCTCGGGTGTAAGCCTCGTGGCTCATTCTTCGAACCGATATATTGCTGAGCCAAACTCGGTTAACTAATGTCGTGTGAATCCCGCAGGAAAGTCACACTACTTGTTCAAGAGCCAGCTCGGCTTCTTCAGGTACCTTTTATTATCAAAGCACGCAAGCAAAAATAGCCACTATTAACTAGTTTCTATAGAAGCAAGCATTCAGATGGAGGATGGCACAGAACGAACTCGAAGTTATTCCCGGTGAATTACATTATACTCACCTTGTCGGCATCAACGAGCTAGTTGGAGATGAGATCGTCATGGTTGTCAATGACAGTCCCAAAATCGCGCTCGCCGATACAACTTTCGGGGGGTGCTATCCGTACAGGCATCATCTAGAGCTCCAAGCCAGGGGCTTTAAAGTGCGGATTGAATCCAGAGATCGAGTATTCTGAACAATTCGAAGTTTTAATCAAATCGTAGATCTCCTCCAATTTTTACGTTTGTAATAATACCCACATATATCTGCCCGTGGACAACCTGTGAGCGTATGCTGCTTGCAATTTCTCTTTCAAGGTCATTTTGACGTGCTGGTGAGGATGGATGAATGTTGCCTTCTGCGCGATGTGAAATTATATAAGCCTTCAGAGCTACTCCAACCTGACCCAACTCCCCCAACCCCCGAAAAAGAATGGGCATCGACTTTAGCCGAGAGTCCAAAACCATTCATTGACAATGGCCCAGGTCCGGAAACTCCCAGGAAACCCCCTCATAGAAAGATTTTCTGACAAGCTCCCAGAAAGCTGCCAAAACCCTCGCTGCGAGGAACATCTCTCTCCTCCGCAAAACCCACCTAACCACCCTCTGTCTCCACGTCGTATTCCTCCTCCTGCACTTCCTCTTCAACCGGCCGCGTTCCCTCGTTCCCTATGCTATCTTTACTCTCCCTACTCTCCTTATAGAATTCTATTTTGAACGCCTCGGCCGTCCGCGATACAACCCGGGTGACAACTCGCTCCGATCTCCTGGCGAAGACCTCGATGCTTCCGGCCTAACTGAGTATCTTTGGGACGTTCTCTACTGGACGTGGGGATGTATGGGCGCTGTGTGCGTTTTCAGTGACAGGGCATGGTGGCTGTGGATCGTAGTCCCATTGTATTCTATGTGGTTGGCATATACGACTTTTATCGGTGTAAGGAGGGGATTTGCTGGCATGGGAATGGATGGCAATGAATCGGTCCCAGTGGCAGAGAGTAAAAGGCAGAAAAAGTTGGAAAAGAGGGGCCAACGCGTAAAGTACCGCTAGAAAACCTCTCACGAGCTCTGGCGGTGTGCAACCGTATCGGAGATCTGAGGTTGATCATATAGTTACAGTATCTACTCCGCACTATAGACATGTATCCTTGAAGACAAGTTTGATCCCGTTTTGACAATTAAGTGGTTTGCACTCAGCATCTGGATATTGTGTATGTATGTAAACGCATACCGCCACAATGCAAACAATATTTTAGCCTTCCAATCCGAAATAAATCTTGAAGACACAAAAAGAAAAAAGAAAACACCGCTAAATCGAACTCTGATAGATAAAGACCGCCAGCTGGACCTTTCATCCAAAAGTGTATATAACTAAATGATCCACTGGATGTGGAATTTTCGCTTTCGTTTTGGTGGCTGTACGAATTTTGGAAGGCAGGCCTCCATTTTTGGTCTCAGCCGGGTTTGTCAACCTTGATGAGCAAACTCCATCGATGATTCGGGCGTAGAGGCCACGAGGACTCCACCTGCCGGACTGAAAAGCTCTTTGCGCCTTTTCGCTCATCGTTGGCAGTCGATTGGGCAAGCTTGTTAAGCTAGGATGAGGGTATATCAACCTGTATAACTTGAAGAGCTAGGTGTTGTGGATGACTCATTGACAATATCATGAAAGGTTTCTTCCATAGGTTGATTTTGAGGTGGCGGTACCGATGAGCTAGGTATTTGGTCACTTGGAGGGTTTACCCCATGCCTTGTATTTTCCGTGGAAGTCTTCTCACTGCTGATTTCTGGGAGCAAGTCCGCGTCGACGACCGATGCTTCCATTGGTTGTTGATCCGCGACATCGATGATTACTGATGGATTGCCCGTTCCTTGCACCGATCTAGGTGGCACGCTAATGGAAAGAGAGGCACCATCATCTTCAAAAACCACGTCGTCATCGACAAGGTACTGATCCGCTGGTGTATCACGTTCATCCCCGCCGACGACTGCCGATTCGGGTTGCGCGGCTTCTTCGACGATGTTTGCGGTCGGCTGTGGTTTCAGAGAGGTAGTCATTGATGTATCATCCAACCCTTCTGCCACCAGAGACTCGAGTGATGCCGTTGCATCTTGTGCTGATTTTGAGTATGCTTTGTTCACTTGTTCGTGTATAGCCTCGGGTTTGTTGGGGGGATTAGACGAGGCTACAAATTCGGCGGAATCATTGATATTTTCGACCTGGTCAAGAACACTAGATAATAGAGAGCTGGCTTCAGAGAGTAGGATAGAATCTAGGTTTTGCGTCTCGATACGCTTGGCCTGCGAAATCTGGCTTAGAGATTCCGTTGCTCTGGATGACTCTTCACCGGTAACGTCGCTTACGGTTGAAGTTGCTAGAGAAGGAGTCTCGGTGGCTGTCGTAGACCTTGTCATGGCGCGGATTTTGGCGAGATCTATAATATCGGTCTGAAAATTGTCGCTGCTGTCCCCAGATTGAATCTTCCAGGCTCCAACCTCTTTAATGGTGAGAAGCTCCTGAGCAGCCGATTTTGCAATGGCCATCCCTCGAGATAGGATGTCATCGCCAGTGGCTCTGGCTTCCAAGAAAGCTTCATGGTTCATGCCAACATCACTCACTTCACTCTGCCAATCTGTGAATTGCTTTTTGAGGGCGTGGAATTTGGCCCAATCCTTATAGGTTACTCCATCCATCCAAGCCCATCTCATCCCGATTTCCTGAAGACCTAGGTCACGAATGTTATCAAGAATTTCGAGAGCGGACCCAACAAGCGCTGTCACATGTTGAACGAGTCCGTTATCGTATTCGTCGAACCACATTCTTAATGAGTGTGCTTGTTCCCTGATAGCAAGTCCCGACGCCCTAACCAACTGTAACATGGTCTCCTGAGCTTCTTCCTCCTCTTTAGAGGTCGCATCTTCGGGTAAAGCGCGAACAATATTATTGATCTCAGTTTTGAGTTTTTGCAGTTGCTGTTGTGATAAGGCTTCCAGCTCGGAGACAAGCCTTTCACCTGCATCCACAGCACCACTTTTCCCCATATTATCTACAATTGCTAGGACCTCTTTTTCCAACTCGTCACAGCCCTTATCAGCAGCGAGCGCAAACTTCTCCTGCCATGCTCTTAAATCGCTGGTAATCTGCTCCTGAGCCTTTGCTCGTGTTGGGGATAGAGATGTCGTAGATGAGACTGCTGACTCAGTCGTAGTGCTTGTTGTTTCCCAAATAGTGGATGCCTCGGCGGTTATGCTCGATGAGAAAGCGCTCGTGGTGGAACTCAAGGTTTCAGTTAAGCTGTTAAAGAACGTGTGAGACCTCAATTCCAAACAATTCTGAAAAGTGAATATATAGCAGACAACAACACGAACCTTTCTTCTTCCTGCAGACGCTTCAACTTCCCACCTTCACGGTAGCTTGCGAGTTTTGCCGCGATCCTAAGTAACTGAGGTTCGACGTTTTCGAAATACAAGCTAGCCAACCGTGGTCGTAGCGTGCCATTAAGCAAAACAACGAGGCTAGACCAGACTCTGCGACTATAGGGAATCGCGGTGTCAATTAAGATTTTATGGACCGAAGTGGAAACCCTGTCAATGATAGGTTTAGCTCGAACATATGTTGGCACTAGGTAGCCGTCCCGAAACTTGATCAGCTGTCTTGATATATTTCCGTATTGAGGCGCGATGATTTGTTTGATATGTCCAACCTGTGGCCCCACCGCGGAACTGTAAAGCTCAGCGACGTATGATTTGAAGGATCGTAGTTGCGGGGAAACAAGTATATCCCATTTCTCTTCAACAAACCGCAAGCCTTGCTCTACACGAGGAGAACCGTATGTGTAGTATGCACTTGACGACACGCTCGCAACCGGGGCGTATATGTGGTCATGAAAAGTGTGCGCATAAGGCCGCACAACCTCAACGTATGGTTCTCCATAAATTTTGTAGTACGGAGCTACGTGCGGCTCCAACTGCGAGCGTACAATCAAGTATGGCTTGCATATTCGTGGAGAATGCTCGTCCAGTTCCTCCGGGTTCGTCGGACAACTGAAAAATGCAGTAAATAACGAGTACCATATCGCTAACCTGATTCGTGACATAGTGTTAGCGTGCTCGACCAGCTGCTCGCTTGAAAGGCTAGAAGAAATTACCGAAGGATAATACTCAATGCTCTTCTTACAAATCCAACTCGCCTTTTTGACTGACGGGAAGGGCTCGGTCGACTCGTGCTGCTTGGCTGCTCTCCCTTGGCTACAATACCATTTTCTGAATCTGCCATCTTTTCAAGACAGCACCTGGAGCGTGCCAGACACTCCACAAACGACACGGCAAATTATACCAGTGGAAAAGACGATATATAATTAAACACGTGCAGACTGTGAAGTTTCCAAGTAAGCCTGGGATATGCGGAGGACTAAGAGGAAGGCCTGAAGAAAGCGTTCGCTTACCGGTGGTATCGAAAAATCTACAAAGAACAAATTGGCCTCAGAATAAGATGAGGCCAGCCAGCCACTCGCGCCATTCACAAAACGAACCAGTACTGCAAGGTGAGAATGCGATGGTTCTGTTGCATGCCGGGTTTCATCGCCTTGAGTTTTCGGTTGGAGCTTGAGCCCACAACGCACGCGGTGAGGTCATTTTGCTTGTGATCACGCGTCTGGTGCCTTGATTCGGCTAAATGGCTTCTCCGCATTCCGAGGGCTTGGCAACTTTTCAAGAACAATCCATTTAGTACGGAGGACATGGAGGACTGTGATGCGGTTGCTTTATTTCGCCAATTATGAACCCGACTCTGGTAGAATAGCAACTCTCCAACCATTCGCCGTGTCAAAACTGACACAATTTGTACTTTCTCAGCCAACACATGGCCGCCCTTGTCCCGTTCACAGAGTTCTTCCCATTGTCGTCCATGAACGCTGGCATTGAGGAATGTTTACTTACGATGGGCAACGTGTTCATGAGGTTTGGCCGTACAATACTGGATGTCGGGAGTCTAAGCAGGCAAGCAGAGTATATGGGCCGCTGCATTTACTCGCTCTTCAGCCTAGCCACCGGCATTGCTATCTTGTGAGTAAAGCAGAATCGAGTACAGGGCAGTTCCGGACCATTGAACCTAGGCTTTTATCTCCATATGGTTGTTTTGAAGATAGCATTGCCACTTTATGAGCATAATAACGAAATGGCGCTCCACACAGCTTTGGAGAGTCAAGACGCGGTCAGTGGCACGTATTCTGAACCACTCGGGATGCGCCCTGGCCTCCACCAAGGCCATCGGTATGGGCTGTGGGTTGAACGGGGCATGACGCAGTCATTGCACATAGCTCCTCAGCAGTTTAGCCACTAGAGCTGGAGTGTGGAGGAATTGCGTCGAGGATCTGGAGAAAATAGCCAGCAGCAGGGATGCTCTAGAGTCATCGTAGGAGCTTGCTCAGCTGCACTAGTCTAAATATAGTTAGGCGTAATTGCGGATCATTAATGCCCCGTCTCCGTGAGCACGATTACTAACCAATCACTATCCCCGGATGAGGCTTGGCGCGCGCCACCCAAAACGGGCCAACAGAATCCCCGCTGGCACTGCATCATGTGGCAAGAACCGGCTCCAGAGTCATTAACCAGCAGTTTTGAACTTCATCTTTTCCTTCCCTCCCTTCGTCAACCAGATCTGTAATTCCAGGCGCCGGTCAATGATTGAACTCTCATATTCTTGAACCTTTGGGTCGAATTCCAGTCTGAATCATACTTCACGACCGGAGATCATCAGAACGATCCGATGTTTGCCGCAAATCCTGGTAAGAAAGGGAGAGGTCCAGATGAAGCAGATACTTGTCGAATATGTCGAGGGGAGGGCTCGGAGGAAGAGGAGCTGTTCTATCCCTGCAAATGCAGCGGCAGCATCAAGTTTGTCCACCAGAGCTGCCTGATGGAGTGGCTCTCCCATTCCCAAAAGAAATACTGCGAGCTTTGCAAGACCCCGTTCCGCTTCACCAAGCTTTACGATCCAAATATGCCCCAGGATTTGCCCGCTCCAGTTTTCCTGAAGGAATTGATGGTGCATAGTCTCCGTTCGCTGCTCACCTGGTTGCGCTTTTTGCTCGTGGCCTTTGTCTGGCTTGGCTGGCTGCCTTGGTCTATGAGGGCGGTCTGGCGGGGACTCTTCTGGCTTGCCGATGGACGCTGGCCAACTTCTGAGAGCCTTCCTTCCACGACCTCTGCTGCGGCCAGTGAGACTTTAAGTAGCCTCGCTACCCAGGGCACGTCACCCGTTACAAATGTTTTCAGCACGACTTCTCCGGCGACCGCCCACAGTCTTCAATCAACCATTCCACAGTTCCTTTTCCCCGTGTCATCGGTATTGAACTTCACTGCAGGGGAACCTTTGATATATTCCATCGCCAAACGGCTCCTGGCCAATGCTGTCGTTCTTACTACTTCCGCCTCGACCTCTATGGATCCCGGAAACGTAACTACATCGGCAACGAGGCGTTTGCGACAGCCGTCATGGCTGTCTGATGTTGATTTCTTGAATAGCTTAACTCCATATCCAACCATAAACAATATATTAATCGATACTTTGGAAGGCCAATTGATCACCTTGCTCGTGGTGATCCTATTTATACACGTATTTCTAATACGGGAATGGGTCATACAACAGCAACCCGCCATAAATCTCGCTGAAGGCGAGCGGGAAGCCGCTGATCAGCTGCTTCGAGACAATAGAATTAACCCTGTTGTGGAACCGGAACCCGAGCAGAGAAACGAGGAAGGACTGGCACCCATTGAAATGCCAGTTATTGAACCAATTCAAGCTGGCCACTTTGACGTTGAAGCGGATGATAGAGTCTCTACGACCGATATCCCATTTGATGCTGAAGAAAGTCTGCCAGCGGGAGGCAGTGCTTCCCCCAAACCCTTTATCGCCAATACGAGCACATCTTCGTTCCTCACATCAGAACCTGGCCCTTCTAGCGAACAAACAAACAGGGAAGCTTCTATGACTGGTCCGGGCCTGGATTTCAATCGTTATTCTAACCATTCATGGAGCTTTGGGGTTGAAGGTTTGAATGAAACTCTATCGCCAGGCGAGCAAAGCTCAAATACTAGAGACAACGGAGGCAATTTCAGCCTGGGAGGGCCTGTGATTGATACTTTAGGTCAGATTCAACGCGAAGAACCTCATTTCCCTACCTTCCCAGCTACTACGTCGCACACAGGGAACGCGCTGAGGCCGTTCGAGGATGACGCCGGATCCGCCAATCAACCCACTGAACGCTCTACGGGCATATCTCTAGGCGACTGTGCCACTGCTTCAAACGAAAATTTATTTCCAGTACAACCCGCAGAACCCGAGGCTGTTGGCGGAGAAACTACGGGGCTACCGTTGATTCCTTCCCCAATTTTTGGAAATAATGATATCAATTTACCGGCAAATCGTTTCGATTTTCGACCAAACGTTGAGTTTCCCGAAATCCAGGCGAGTATTGACGAGTATTCCCGTTCTCTTCGTCTTCTAGAAACGGATGACGCAGAAGTCCGCGGGGCGTCAACTGCGGATCCCACTACCCCGATGCAAGCACCAGACGCTAGTTCAATACAGGCAACGGAATTGCAGAGGCAAGAGAGGCCAGCTGTTCCAGTCCATGCTCCGAGGAATCTGAAAGAGCGTGTGGTGGAATGGTTTTGGGGTGGTATCCCTGTTCAGCCAAGGCGACAGGATGAAGGGGGCGATGACGAGCGTATTGTTGAGGACCCAGCTCAAGAACAGCCGTTTGTTCCTGTCCGCCATGGCCAGCATATGCTGGATGCCAATGTAGCCCCTGATAATGAAGCCCCTAATCGTGCGGCGGCTCCGGCGAATGGAGGATTTGATAATGATGCCGATGCAGTGGATGATGCCGACGATCTGGAAGGTGTTATGGAGCTCATTGGAATGCATGGTGCAATTTTCGGCCTTCTTCAAAACGGGGTTTTCAGCGCTCTCCTTATTTCGTTTACCGTCACCGTGGGCATCTGGCTTCCGTACCTATGGGGTAAAATCGCTCTAGTCCTACTAACCAACCCTATACGGTTGTTCATCGGAATTCCTCTTGCAATCCTATCAATAATCGCCGATATTGCTGTCGACACCGTCATTGGAAGCTTTGCCTATCTGGTATACGTTGGAAATGTCTTAATAAGGGCTCTCTTGGGACAAATTGGGAAAGCCATCCCTCTTCTCGCGAAATTCTCAGCAAGTAATGCTGTTACTCACGCCTCGCTAAGTTTAATTGATGGAAGTGGCCAGCGTCTGAGACGGATAATGACGACTTTCTTCACCTTCCGCGATTCCGATGTTCCGATGTTTTCCGTCCTTGCCCATCAAGCTTTGCGAATACATCAGGCTCGGCTTACTGCTGTCTATAAGTTCCTCTTCCACATTGTTAAAACGGTGACTTACGATGCTCCTCTGCATATCCTTCGGCAAGACAGCAGTGAATCGCTACTTCAACGGCTTTCTCATGTGAATTCCATGAAAGCTCTAACTTTCGTTACAAACACGTCGAAGGATTTTGTACGGGTGGTCTATTCCATCTTGAAGTATGGAGATTTGTCGAGCTTGAATACTTCCGTGAATTATGCCCTGCCCGCAAATATGGACTCTGATCTAGCCTACTGGGATACCAAGGATAGGATCATTGCCATTTTCGTCGGCTATTGTTTCGCATCGCTTGTTGGCTTATCCTATCTTCGCCTCTCGGCGTATTTCTCTGGAGAACAACGCGGCCCAAGAGTAAATGGTGCCGTGGCTGAAGTCCTTCACCAGGCTGGCGGAGTCATGAAGGTCATTCTGATTATTGGGATTGAAATGATCGTGTTTCCACTTTACTGTGGTATCCTGCTTGACATCGCCCTCATGCCACTCTTTGAAAATGCCACATTCGGGACAAGATTCGCATTTGCTACAGATTCTCCGCTTACTTCACTGTTCGTACATTGGTTCATCGGCACTTGCTACATGTTTCACTTTGCGCTCTTCGTGTCTATGTGCAGAAAGATCATGCGCAATGGTGTCCTCTGTAAGTTCACCTATCGCCTGTTAACTCCCTTTTCGTAGCCTTGCCTAACACGAACTTTCAGACTTCATTCGGGATCCTGATGACCCGACATTCCACCCTGTACGCGATGTCCTCGAGCGCAACGTGTCAACACAGCTCCGAAAGATCGGGTTTAGCGCCCTAGTGTATGGGGCGCTTGTGATCATTTGTATGGGTGGCGTAGTATGGGGGTTGTCTTTGGCTCTCAATGGAGTACTGCCATTACATTGGTCATCTAATGAACCAGTGCTCGAATTCCCAGTGGATTTGCTTTTATATAACCTCGTTATGCCACTTGCCATTCGATCCATCAAACCGTCGGATATCCTGCATAATATGTACGAATGGTGGTTCCAAAAATGCGCACGTCTTCTAAGATTAACAGACTTCCTTTTTGGGCAGAGACAACTGGATGAGGAAGGGTATTATATTAGCAAGACATGGAAGCAAAAGTTATTGGAAGGGAGAGCGTATTTTTCACAGCCAACCGACAACGAGGAGCCGACGGCAAAGCAAGTGCAAGATGAAAGGAATTTTGTGCGTGATGGCAAGTTTGTCCGCGCTCCAGCATCCGACCAGGTTCGAATACCCAAAGGAACGCAAGTATTCCTCGAAGTTAATGAGAACAACGAACGGATCGATGGTAAACCCGACCACGATGATGGCTTGCATGGCAAGACCAACGAAATGTTTACGAGAGTTTATGTGCCTCCTAGATTCAGGACTAGAATTGGTGCCTTCATTTTCTTGATATGGGTGTTCGCCGCTACAACGGGTGTGTGTGTCACGATTATACCGTTAGTTATTGGGCGGAGAATGGTCTCGATCCTGTTTCCAGAAAATGTTCCGATCAATGATCTCTATGCCTTTTCAGCTGGGCTATATTGTGTTGGTGGAATTGTCTACGGCCTGTATCATTGCCGTCATTGGGCGATCCCTCTACGTAACCAGGCCATTCAGCTGTTTTATTCACCGAAGAATTTCCTCAGCAAAGCGTTCAAAACGATGTCATATGTCTTCCACCTAGGATACGTTTTCGGAGCGTTCCTCTTCCTGATCCCGTCCTTGTTTGCGATTATTACGGAACTTTATTTCCTCGTTCCACTCCATACATATCTCAATCGCGAGGGAACTCATATCATCCATTTTGTTCAGGATTGGACTCTTGGTGTTTTGTATATGCGGATGATGGCACGCCTGATTCTGCGTAACGAAACATCACGGCCTGCCATGGCTCTTAAGGCGGTTATCCGAAACGGCTGGCTCCATCCTGACATCAAATTTGCCACCAGGGCATTTATAATACCGGCAGCTCTGGTCACTTTCGTGGCAGTACTGACTCCTCTTTTGATTGGGTTCATATTGAATGGGACGGTCTTTAGAGCAGATTCCGCATTGGTACACTCTCAAGTCTACCGATATTCATACCCAGGATTTCTCTCCTTCGTTCTTCTATGCTGGGGATCGCATCTTCTCCGTCGCCAGATTAATGTCTGGCGCATGAGCATTAGAGACGATGTTTATTTGATTGGCGAGCGATTGCATAATTTCGGGGAAAAGAGAGCGAGGGATGTTGGTGCTGCCAGGCGCATGATCAACCCTGCATGATACGTAGACCCTTTTTTCTTACTTTATTTCAGAGATCATAGCATGTATATACCAGAAGACTTTAGCATTCAAATTTTTTTCTTTTCTCCCTTCTTTCGCGCTGACACTGGTGATGAGCAGAGTTGAGTTGATGCTCTTCGCTGTTTGCTCTGTTTGCTTCATGTGGCTTCTCATGTGGCTCAGCGGCGATCCTGTGGCTCGTGCTAGTGACACGTGCTGAAATTAGGCTAAACCTAAATAGGGCTGCCCCACCTTCTAGGCTGACGGATATCTGTGGTCTCTGATTGGCCGGCACCCTGGCAGCCGCAGTGGCTTGGTGGGATCGCGATCTCCGGTGGGCACAGGGTCCAGGCAGCCTTGATTCTTCGTTTCTTCTTCAAGGGCAGGAAACGACCAGATTCTTTTCGCGCCTTTCATCTGTCATTTGTAGGATAGTATTTCGGTTCGATGAGCTGATCTCACGATGTCGGTTCTTCGGGGTGGTTCGTTCTTCCAAAGACGGCTTACAAAGTTGTATACCGATACCAAATCATCGTGCGAAAGCGTCTCTACTGCCGCAAGGCCAAATGACGACCCGGAACTGATCTCCCTTAATCGAAGTTTCCGGACGCAAAAGGACCGATTGTTGGCCTGGGGTCTTGATTGGAGCGATGCCAGCGCTGCGCAGCCCAACGACATTGATGAGGCGCTGGCCGAAGCTGGCTTCAGCGACGTTGTCGCCAGCATCATGTCATCCATTCAGGGACTTTTGAATGAGGCTGAGAGGCTGCAGCAACCTGATATTCCGAAATCCTCTCCGGATGGGCTGACGACTGGCGTGGTCAAGACAACGTGGACAGATAATGAAATATCGAGATCAAAAGCGCTGTTGGACGAGCTGACTTCGCACATTGATACCCTTTATGACTTATCCCGATCACGGAGGAATATGACCATGAGCATCTCATCGAATACACAGTCGCAGATGCAGAGCCCTCATTCTCCATATTCGCCTCGGCCCGAGAAGTCAACGTCAAAAAGGCCACTGTTGTATCCAGTCTCTCTTGATTCTAAGATATATCCCGAGAAGCACAGCCATCTAGCAAAAAGAGACATCAAAGGTGGCTCTCACTTTTCTAGCGGCACAGAGCGATTTGCTATGAGTTCTTTGAATCTTCATGTCGACACCTCGGCTCATGACCACACCTTCCTCGCTGATGAAGCACTTCTACCTTTCTTATCCTCCACAAAAGAATATTACATCAATCGCAAAGCCCTGTACCTTTCCAGTGATGGAGCCACCCACGCTCCCAATCCGCCACCTTATGAACCTGTTGCAGCTTCAGCAAATTCTCGAGTAACGGGGCAGTTGCACACGTCCGCTATACCAGCTCCATTGGCCGAAGGCGTGAATGCCCTTTCGGTTCCGATCTTGGTCGAATTTTCGCCGATACTAATGGAAATGCAGAACTCTCCAGTTTTACCGAAAAAGCAAAGATTGGACCACCTCAGTCAAACCCTGAAACGACTGGTCGAAAATGCCAGGGTCTCTCACCTCGGATTGCTCAAGTTCCTGGGTTACTTCGTCGATATGGCACATTCTCGCTATGCATTTGTCTATCAGATGCCAACAGACATTCCTTCCCTACCAAGGCAGCCGTCTTATCCAATACAACCCAAGCCTCTTGTCTCACTCTTACTCTCCGGTATCGACCCCCAGGATACTCCGGTTCCAAATCTTGAAATAAGATTCCGATTAGCATATAGTCTCGTTTTAGCCGTTCTACATATGCGAAGTCAGAATCTCATCCATGGAAATCTCAACAGCAACAATATCTTGATATTTCCTGGTGTGGAAGTGTCTAACACAGGCGCTGTGGACAACTTCCCCGCAGACTTCCGTCATCCTTACTTAACATCTCCAGCTTTATTTGACAGTGAAGACAAGAATTCTCCTCCCGAACCTCTTTCGTCGAGCATGTACCGGCATCCAGACGATCGACGAATAATTACCGACCAATCCGCATGGGCGTACGACCTTTACAGCCTCGGACTGGTCCTACTTGAGATTGGTCTATGGACTCCCATTAGCAGACTATGGAAGATGAAGTACACAAACGCAATGTTTAAGTCAAGGATCGAAAATGTGTACATAAAGAAGCTCGGGGCTAAGTGCGGAGGAGCGTACCTGCAAACGGTCCAACTCTGTCTCGATGCACCTAATTTCCATCTCTCGACATCTCCTATGGAGGACCTGAGTCTCCGAGTTCCTCAGACATATCACTACCCATGGAACGAGCCGAGCAAGGCCAATGAGTGGGATACTTTCTCGAAGAATTTTCTTTATACGGTCGGGAAAGTAACCTTCCGATGTTGTAGCCTTGATATCGTTGCACCACCTCCTGACACCGATCTCGAGGAGTCTCTTCCGCCGCCTTTGAGCCTTGATCTTGACGCTTCATCATTCCAAGAAGTTAAGCCACAGGATTTGGGAATTCCCACCGTTGAACCTGTTGTTCCAATTAACATTGGGGATGATACTGCACCTTTAACGGATCGATTTGGCTCACACATAAATTCCGACAATACTGAAAGAAGAGTTCGAAAGCGAACCCTTAAAAAATGGTCAAACCTTGAGATACCCGATGATCATCTCCAGGCCTGGAACAAGATACTCATGCCAAAGCTGAGCAAGTTACTTCAGAAAATCCTCAAAGATTCGAATGAACCCTGCAGTGTTAGCTTGATGATCGCTGGCGAATCCGCAGAAACAGCCAAAACAACTATCTGCGTCACCTGCACGAGCGTTCGCAGAGTTAAGGCCGCACTCAAGAAGTATTTTGAGTATGATCGCGAAAACTGGGACTTGATTGTCATCAGGGGGAATATAAACCGATCAAAAGTACCTAGAAGACGTCGCAAGAAAGCTAAAAGCTCAAAGACAGCAGAAAAGGCTCCTATGGATTTGAATCCCCATTACCAACAAAGACCTATATGCGGTGCCTCGATAGGGGCATTCCGTTCGGACGAACATTTGCCACCGGTTTCGTATGGCGGCGCGATCCTCGTGGATGGTCTGCCTTACGGGATGACCGTCCACCATATGCTTGATAGCCCTTGTGACGACGATGAAGAGTACGAAGATAACGGCTGCCCTCCCCGGTCTTCTGGCAATTATACGCCGCATACGGAGATGCAAGATCAAGACTTTGCTTACTCTTGGTGTGATGATGTCCCACCGCAAGCGCTCTACCCCTTCGAAATTTCCGACAGCGAGGGCGCTGATGACCAATCTATTGCCCATAGTATCGATGAAACATATGATGACTATTGGCTGTCTGATAGTTATTCAAGCGACGAAGCAGAAGACGTCGGGGATTTCGATATTGATGACGATACAGCATCGATCGGAGACACTGAAGGGGTCGACCCTCAAGATGAGCCTCGGATTATAGTCACGCAACCAGCCCTTGATGACGTGGAAGACGGCTTCTTTCCTACTCCTGAGGATCGAGACGACGAGCACCTTGCATCACACTCACTGGGTTATGTCCATGCCTCCTCTGGACTTCGAAGGACAACACGGGATGGAATCAAGCATGAAGTCGATTGGGCGCTTATTAAAATCGATTCTGACCGTTTGGACGCTACCAATGTAGTCCCCTTTACGCCTAGTGCGTCGTCTTCGTCGCATCCACATTCAGCAAATATTGCACCTTCCAACAGCGCCGATCAACCTCCACAGCATCAGTTCCAAAACCTCACAAAAGTAGCCAGACTCGATGAGTTGGGTGGCTTGTATGTACAGTGCTGTGGAAGGACGAGTGGCTTTCAGAGCGGGCGAATTTCCAAGGCAATGACACTTGTCAGATTGCCTGGCCGTCAATCATTTTCTTTGAGCTTTTGCGTTGACGGCAATTTTGGAGGTAAACAAACCTCGCTATTCTTCTTTTCCCAAAAAAGATTCCTTTAATCACTTGCTAATGGTATTGCATTCCCTCCAGTTCCCGGCGATTCTGGTGCATGGGTATTCAATCAAAACGGCCAAGTATGCGGACACGTGCTCGCATGGTCCGAAAAGAGTCGAACGGCATACATCGCACCTATGGAAATCCTCCTCGACGATATCGCACGCACGCTCGGTGCAAACAGCGTGGCGCTTCCGGGTAGCGAAGAAGAATTAGCCTGGCACGGCGCCATGGCCGCTGCGACTTCTCCTTATGTCAATGTCGCCGCTGCAACGACGAAACATAGCCTGAGTGTGGTTAAAGACCAGCTACCTCTAGATCTTCGGAGGCTGAATCTTGATCATCTCGACGAGCCCTCACTCGCTCGACAGACCTCCGGACAACCCACTGCTCCCGGCGGTAGGAACGCGACAAGTTCTACTGCTACTTCTGCCATGAAAGACGTTCCCGTGTCTGGTGCAACCACGTATAGAGGTATCAATGCTTTGGTATCCCATCCACGAACTATGGAACACCAACTTGCTTGATTTATGATAATGCCTGTGGCGATGCTATTGAAACCTGTTTCCTGCTGTTTATACTTATTTTTGGAAGCACTAGCTGAATGATATGTATGATTGCACTGTTTTTATAAACGAAATAGTTAATTACCATGCTGTTAACTTCCACTATCTAGAATTTTCCAACCGCTGACATTCTACTTTGATGTGGAGTATATAGGAGTCATTTGTAATTCATGTGCCTTCTCTCTCCCTCATTTATCAACATTCAAACATTTAATTAATACAAGAAAAAGAACAAGTCTATATTCAAACATACTAGACATAAGAAGTGAGAATTTAGAGACCTCTGCGGGAAAAAAAAAAAAAAAAAAAAAAAATAGACAAGATGGAAGCAAACAATCCGGACCGCCAAACCACGTGTTAAACAAGGTGAAAGCAATCAAAAATAAAAAATAAAAAATAAAAATACCGAGCAATCATTAATGCTCAGCAGATCCCGGAACCCCGTTCCCAAAAAAATAAAACCAAAAAAAAAAAAAAAAAAAAAAAGGGACATTAATGATTAAGAGCTGCTCAAGTATTTCAAAACGGATTCTTTCTCCTCGAGTGGCAGCATGCTCAACACCTGCTGCACTCCCTTCAGACCACCCTCCTTGTCGCCCATCAATAACTGTGCAACTTGCATTGCAACACTATTGGTCTTCATGGATTCGACCTTCTCGTATAAGACCTTCTTGTTCTCCTCGTACCAAAGAGCAACCTTGCGATCCTCATCCTCGAAGTCCTTGTCTAGTAAGCCAGTCCAAGACCTGAGCATGAGAAGATTCTTCTCACGCAGAGTTGGCTTCGCTGGCCCGGGTGAGGAGGTAGGAGACGGGCTTCTCGACGATTCTGGGCTTCCAACTTGGGATTCAGCGCTGACAGATGCCATACGCTTGAGAATGAGTTCCTCGCTGAGACGGCGACGGAGACGCCAATAGAAAAATCGTCGCGCGTTCTTCCACTGAAGCGGTTTGCGGATGGTTCCCTTCGCCTCCATGCGACCGGCACGATCGTGTAGATCGGCAAACTGGAGAGCAATTTGAAGATAAACCGGAAGGAGTTGGTTTTCACGCTCAGTCATCTTGTTCTTGATTTCGGATAATTGTTCGGCACTCAGTGACGCGTCCTGAAACGACCGCCTAAGTTCTCCATAAATCGGGTCGAGACGAGCCATGGTTTCTAGCTGTTTCTCGCGACGATACTTGATGCCGACGATACCCTCAGGTTCGAGGACACCACCACGCGATTCTTCATCGGCGTACATCTCCATTTGATCAGGGTTGATGGTAGGATCGATAACGACCTGAATAAACCAGTTAACACATTGCCCCAAGCATAAAAGGCGATCGCACTTACCCACGAGCCACCACGAAGTTCGCCAAATGGTGGGATATAAACGAAGATAGGCTGCTCATACTTTACAAGAGCATCGACAATGTAGGAACCGTATTTCAAGACCTCGTTGTACATGTCGCGCTGGCCACCAGAGAAACCACGCCAGTTGGCCAGGATCATGACTGGAAGTTGTTCACCGAAGTTAAAGTCCTTCAAAGCTTGAGCAGTCTTGAAAGCGGAGTTGGGGTACCACACGCCGCCAGCTTCAGTTGTGACCATTTCCATAGAATCCGGATTAGCAGGATCTGCCGGAGTAATGTTATCCACGGAACGAGTTTCGACAGCAATTACACCAATTGGAATTCCACCAAGTCTCGCACGGCCGACCACCACTGTCCTAGCCCAGCCTCCGAGAGTTTCTTGGAAGGTGCCCTTGTCGAAGAGACCGGAGAGATAGCCTTCTTCGTCCTCCTTACCACCAATGAGCCATCGCACATCATACGTTTGTTTAGGTGGGTAGTAGGTAATGTCACGATCCCATGGATCCGAGCTTGGTCGAATTGGAATTGGCGAGCCCTTGCGATCAGGAATGAAGGACATCCACTGGACAATCTTCTGGACACCTTCAAAATCGTCGTTGGCGGTCATATGAGAAACGCCATTCTTGTACATGATTTGCGTCCCACCAAGTTGCAGATTGGACGTATAGACTTCTCGACCAAGAAGTTTATTGATGGCAGGAGCACCTGTTAGAATAATGGGTTGTCCTTCAACCTGGATAGCACGGTTACCGAGACGAACGAGATAAGCACCGATACCAACGGAGCGGCAAGTCACGAGAGTGATCGTGAAAATATCTTCGTAGGCTCTCGATGTAGCTCCGGCGATAAGACCAGAACCTCTCAGGCACTCGACACCCAACCCATCCTTGGCGCCGATGATAGTTGTAATCTTGTATCTATCTTCACCGTCTTCATGGACAAGTTCGGTGATGACATCTTTCGACTTTCGCTCATCCAGCTTCTTCTTAACTTCTGGAGTCAGGTAGAGATACTTGAAGCCAGCCTCCGGCTTCTTGGGATCGTTCCAAGCAACAGAGAAGAGTGGCATCAATTCTTCCGCCATGCCGATACGAGCACCCGAGTTGGCAGACAGGTAAATTCGCGGAACACCTAATTTCCTAGCGAGTTCAGTACATTTGTGGAAGAATTTATCTTCCAATGGTCCGAACGAGCCAATTTGATAGGTGATATCGTTGGCAACAACGATGAAGCGCCTGCCATGAGGATATTCCGGAGTTCTGGCTGTGACGATCCACCCAACCATACCATGGGTATTGGTTCCGGGCTCTCGTGACACTTCAACCAAGTTATCAGAATCGTCGAGGACAAGCTCACTGTAATCAATACAACCACCCTGGGGAGGTCGTTTTTCAGCAAGGCTGGGCTGGCTGGCTATAGCGTCGATCCAGGCATTCTGGAAAGCTTGTCTGAACAGTTCTGGGAAATCATACACGTATTGCGTTCCCATCAGATGAGCTTTGTAACGTTTAGGCTGAAGCCACTCTTTTGTGGGGTATGGCGTCGTGACCGGCCGAAGGTGCATAGATCCAACCTTGGTGGTACCACCAATGCTGTGAAACACCCACTCTCCCTTCTCCGATTTTCTTTCCACGTACATCTCAACTTGGATGATATAGCCGGATGTATTCGTAATCACTACACGGAGAGGATATGCCATGCCAGTGGTAGGGTCAGTACAGAGAATTCGAATTTCTGCTCCGGTTACGCGCAGGCGCCAAAGTCGCCGGCCGAAGCGCTCCAAGAAACCTGCAAGAGCTTGTTCCACATCCGATGGCTGCAGTTGGAAGACAGGGGTGAAGTTAATGAAAATGTGGTTCAAGTCGGAGTTATTGTTCCCAATGATCTCCAGGGCATCCAAAATGTCGTTCATGAGGTTATCGGCTTCGGAGATCAGGTACTCAGCAGTGGGGATATCATCGCGTAACCGGCCTGGTCGTACAACAGCACGGGTGAAGTAACGCTTGTCAGCGGTGGCCTCTTTGGCAGGTCCTTTACCGATTGCTTCATAAACATGGATATTCCTGTTTTCGGTGAACACAGGACTGATGTTGAATTTGGACAGTCGGCCGAGTTCTAGCTGGAAAGCCAATGCAGGTTCGCTGTGGCGAATGCTTTCATCTTCGTCGTATGCAGGACCCCTGAAGGTGAAGTATCCGGGGTAGGTTCCGTCGCCATGCCCACAGACGAATGTTATTCTGCGGACGCAACGAGACTGCAGATCATCCTTGAAGTCAGACACAATCTTGCTGAGACGGGCAGCGACTTCTTTGTCGTCTAGTCCTTCCATGTCGCGAATAGCGATGTTACAAACTCCAACCAGTTCGTCATTTTCGGGGCGTGGCTGAGGTTTTCTCTTGGCAGCTAGCTCGAGGGCGTTGTTGGAGCCCGGCCTCTGGACACGGTCGGCACGAGGGAATACCTCTAGAGCTCGAGAGAGTACCTCTTCGATCTCATCGAAGTACTGGGCAGGAATGAGCACACCTTTTCGCACCGGCTCATTTGCACCCTTATTGACCAAATACGACATATCGCTTATGGAACTGATTTTCTTAAACGGATTGTTTTCTGTCGTTGGGGTGCTCGGAACAGAGGGGTTTGAAAGTGCGGTATTCATCCCGAACTCTGCCTGAGGTACCTTTCGCAGAACGAAATCCCAAGAAATGAAGAATGGAATCTCCTGGTCATTATGATATTGAACGCCTTGGAGGTCGTAAGCTCGGTAAGCCCGACGAACGTAGACTTCCAAAGCAGCCAACGATACCCACTGGTCCTGGTGGCCAAAGAACAGAGGAAGGACATCAAAAACGGTATACTTTGAGTCGACAACTTCCTTAAGGACATCGAGATCTGGTTCCCTGTGGTCCCATCCTGTTTCTCCGTACTTCGACTGAACGACCGAAGATCGTAGGATGTGCTCCATCTGAGCCATACGCTCTTCCAACGACGGTAGAGCACATTGAATGAGAAGTTCGCGTGCTTTGAGTGCAACCTTGGAACAAGGCCTTGATTCAAGTTCCGCCAATTTTTTCAATATCGGTTTCAAGTATTTCCCGACATTTGGCGTAGTCGGTTTGTTTGGCCGGTATGTCTCAAGAATTGCCAGTACCAAGTTATTCTTTCCGCCAACTTTGGTGTGGGAGATAACGGTTTGAATTACATTCATAATGTCATCCTTGTGTTCATCTCGAAGCTTCAGGATCGCGTCTTCATCACGGATGTTTCTCTGGGCGAAGAGGTGTTCCACATTCCAATATTGCTCCAAAAGGGCAGCGATCACATTGTACTCATGGGCTCTCAAGCCTTCAGTGTAGTCCTGGATTACTTGGACCAGAGGAGCAAGCGTAGCCTTGAGGATTTCAACATCGGCAGGAGCTACGTTTTCATCCAAGAAGCGAGTGAAGGTCTTCATCAACTGGGCAGCAGGGAAGTCGGCCTTTCGGGCCTTGGACTTTTCGATAACCTGAGTAAGCTGCGCGTCAAGTTTTTGCGGCATCCGGGAATGAAGAGCGGAAACATGCGCGTTCCATTCACCATATGGCAAATCCGGGTCTCTCAGCACCTCGACCAACTCTGCAAGCGTACCAGACATGATCACCTGGTTATCGAAGCCGAGAAGGATGTCTTGCAAGATATTGTGAAGAAGCCGGAATCGCTGCGGAGGTTTGCTGCCCACGACTTGAGGAAGACCCATATCTGGCATCTGCCCGAGGAATGGCTGTGCATGTTTCACCTTGGATGGGTCATCCAACGTGAGGATTCCGAGAATATCACCAGCCTGCAAGGTAGCACCTGGTTGTTTGATGAATTGGACAACGCCATCTTCTTGCGCAACCAAGGGCATGTACAACTTCATAACCTCGATTCCAGCAAAGACTTCACCGGATTTGACATGCGCCCCATTTTCTACCGTATAATGCACCAGCTTACCTGGGCTGGGCGTTCTAAGCTGTGTGGGATCATTTTCTTGTTCCAGGAGACAAGTTTTGCCATCGACACTTAAGCGTGTAGCAGCAGCTTCGTCTTTCCAGTACACGTTGTGACTTCGCCCATTCAACAAAACAAGCAAACCCCCGTCAGCAAGAGCACGGACGCCAACCAAGCATTTTGATCCGTTGATAAATAGATGATAGCTGTCTAAGCTTGCTCTAGTTGCGGTAAACTTGTATCGGACGTCTTCGTAGATAAAATCGATCGTGAATACAGTCTTTAGGACATCTTTTGAAGGAACTTGACCCTTTTCGAGACCCTTTTTGTATTCTGCAATGCAGGCTTCACTCGCGACATGGGCTTTGGTCACAGCTCCACAAATAACAGCAATCACGGAGTCCGGGCGCTCAGCTGTTAGCTTCTTAGTGATAAGTTCATCAAGCCAGCCAGTAGTAATTGTGTTATCTTCAAAGGCAGGCGTTTCCAGGAGTTTGATTAAATACTCGACGGTCGTTCTAAAGTCACCACGAATGCTCAGTTCCTTCAAGGCCATAACCATATGTTTCCTTGACGCGGATCGATTTTCTCCATAGGCAAAAATGTGGCCGAACTGGGAATCGGAGAAGTTATGAATTCCACCAGAAGTTCCAACGGAAAAATAACCCCATACGTTAGAGCTGCTTCGGAAGTTGAGCTCGTGCATCGTGCCACTGGACGGCTTAAAGCCTTCGCCAGGATCCTCAGAAGTAATACGGCAGGCCGTTGTGTGTCCCTTTGGCTGAGGACGCCGCTGAGCTTTGAGACTTTCCTCATTCGAGAAATCAAAATCGATTTCGGAACTGGTATTGACATCGACACCATAGAGAAGGCGAATATCTCTGATACGGTGTAAGGGAATACCCATGGCAATTTGAAGCTGAGCAGCTGGCAAATTAACACCAGTGACCATCTCAGTGGTTGGATGTTCGACTTGGAGACGAGGGTTTAGCTCTAGGAAGTAGAACTTGTCATCGGCATGGGAATACAAGTATTCCACAGTACCAGTCGAGACATATCCGACGAGTTTGCCGAGTCTCACGGCGGCGCGTTCCATCGCCTGGAAAGTAGAAGATTTCGCAATCGTGACAGGTGCCTCTTCGATGATCTTTTGGTGACGGCGCTGGACGGAGCAGTCTCTGCCGAAAAGCGAAATATTATTTCCATACTGATCGGCCAGCAATTGGACCTCTAAATGCCTGGCATTCCCAGCAAGTTTCATGATAAAAATGGGCGAACCGGGAATTTCACTGGCAGCGGCGTTGTAGAGATTGATGAAATCATCCTCCCTTTCCACTTTGCGAATACCTTTTCCGCCGCCACCTTCGGACGCTTTAACCATCACTGGAAAGCCGATAGCTCTAGCTTTTTCTAAGCCTTCCTGAGGAGAATGTGTGCATCCTCGATCGTAGATGTCATCTTCGACGGTAACAATGCCATTGTCGTCAATCGTAACCTCGTCAACTCCCGAACCGGACCATGGAATGCACGGGACTCCGGCATGTTGTGCAACGATGGTAGAAGAGATCTTGTCACCAAGGGATCTCATGGCTGATCCTGGCGGGCCAATGAAGATAATCTTCTTAGGAGAGGCGGCTAACGATTCTGGCAGTTTTGGATTTTCCGAAGCATGTCCCCTGCAAGAAAAAAAAAAGAAAAAAAAAAAAAGAGGCTATTAGGAATCTAGAGCTGCGTGCTTTGGTGATCGGTCAAGCTTACCAGCCGGCCCAGACTGCATGAACTCCTGTTCTCTCCGCAACATCGACAATGAGCTCGACATTAGCAAAATTGTTGTTATTGGTACCTCCGGGAACCTATTTCAATACCGTTAACCTTTAAAGTTCATGGCTCATCATTTCGTGTGTGTATATTCAAGTGTCCGCATACTTCCACATATCTATCGGCCATGCGGATATAGTCCGCATTCGCCTGAAGGTCCTCCGGGGTTGCCATCACTGTGAATTGAATTGCGCGTTCATCACCGAATGTGTCATAGGCCCATTTCCGGACCGATCTGATCTCCTTAACGGCAGCAATGCCGTTGTTTGCAATCAAGACCTAGAAAAGCACAGAGGGCAGTTAGAGAAAAGAGTCCATGGCACTCAAAAGTGTAAATATGTATTTTTGCCAGAGAGTGCCAATCGCATCAATCCAAGCAAAGGCCAGAGTTTGCCTCAACAAGTGCAACTTACTGAGGTAATGACGGAGTGACCATCGTGCTGAGCAACAAAGTCCTTGACAGCCCCCGGTGGCGCTACCTCTAAGCTGTTACCGCCGATGAAATGTGATGGGATATTATGCTTTGCAGCATATGAGCTGCCATGACCGTTCGTGATCTCAGGCATGGTGATTAATATATCGCGGACGCAGGTTGGGAAATCGTGATCGTGTTAAAAGGAGAATAAAAAAGACACCGCCAGTATGCCCCGAACCCCGACAGCGCAATCAGCAGCGTATCAAAGCGTCCCAAGTTCGAATCGAAGGATGAATTTTTGTTTCTAAACGGCTGCCGGATCGAAAGAAAATTATCCACCAAATCAGCACCACAATTCCCGGCCGGTCGTGGTGGTCATGAAGGAGACACGGATTATGAGATTGGCGAGTTTGAGAGGAGGAGTGAAGAGATGGGCCAAAGTTTCCTCCCGCAAAAGAACGGGTGACAAGCAGAAGAGGAGAAGGGGGATGATGAGAATGATGAGGAGGAGGAGGGCGATTGATGCGAAGAAGCAAAAAAGAGAAAAAAAAAAAAAAAAGGAAGAGAGAGATAGGATGGGAAGAGGAACAGAGCGGAGAGAGGAGAGAGTTGGTGATCGGTAGTCGAGGGCAGCAAGCGAAGCTTCTTTGGGGGAAGGTTCAGCGCAGGAGAAAATGTACCCCGTACCTGGCAAGCCTGTAATTAACACCAGACGTCGGCGGAATGACCGAAGCCAATACCTTGCAAAACGACCCCGTAAGCAAATGGGCCCCTCTCGTTGGCTCGCTGTACAGTTTACGTCATTCGTCTCCCGGCGAGCTCTCAGCGGTACTGTAACGGTGATACGGCATTACAAGCTCCGGTCACAACGGTTCAACAAAATGTTAATGTTGGCGCAGCTTGGGGACAAGGACTTCGGAGTAACTCAAACTCCTTGCGGTTGGAAATCAGCGACTCTCCGGGGATATATTATTAACGAACAGGCTCTGCAGGGTCTGCGGAGAGATGCAGCGAGATCAGGCCTCACCACAAGCCCCAGCAGGTAACATGGATGTAACTACTCTGCACGGTGTGTATGTACTCTGTAGGAATCTTGCCGAGTCAATCACTCCGGAGGACGTCGTACCGGCATCATCATCGTCGCTGATCAACGCATCCCACCACCAACATCGAGACATGACTGGCAGAGCCATTTTTGTCTTGTCAAAGCCCCTCGCCAAAGCCTTCCAACCTAACCCTTTTCACCAAAGATTCTAGCCCTATCCAACCTTGTTGGGGTAGGATCCCCCCTAAAAAAAAATTACGGAGTCCGTCCATGCCCATAACCCACACGAATTTCGCAAGCCGTCCTCCCGTCCGGAGCACTCCCGCCTAATTTATCATAATAATCTTTCTCTTTGGTGGTTATTTTACTTTAATTTTCTTTTTCCCCTCTGATTCGATTTCTTTCCGCCCCAGCAAGTCGCTCAGCGGATCCACCGGACGCCAAGCCAGCGCGGGTGGGGGCGCCTTCCCCCCCAACAAAACCCTCGCTGCGGAAGTTTCGCGCGTTTTGAGTGAATTTCAGCCTTAACCCGATGCGGACTAGCGCCAGGTTCGGACGTGCCTGCCGAAAATCTACCAAGCCTCGAAGACGGCGCCACGGTTTTAGTCATTTCACCGCCACAGATCAGAATTAGTTAAAAATAAAAATAAAAAAAAAGGAAGGGAAGCTCTGCGGGATGGCGGCGGCCGGCTTTGTTGGCGTACATAGTATTAAAATATGCATGTAAGGACAGGGGGAACAAGTGTGCTTATTTCTCCTGGGCCGCAGGACGGTCAGGTGGTTCTCGAACTGTTCGGAGTTTTGCTGGATTCGACTCTCGGGGAGCGAAAGGCCACTCGACTTAAGCTTAACTTAGCTACGGAACACTCACGTACGTGTTCAAAGTTGCTGGAGGCGGCACACTTTTATTTTTAATTATTTATTTATTTAATTTTTTGGGTTTTTTGCCCCTCCTTCTTCATTAAGATCACACACCATCTTGAGTTACTATCAAACCTAAGATACATTCATTCATTCCCGCGAGCTTGAGATGGGAACCCGGGAGGCTAGATCCCTGCGAACCTTCCAGACCGTTGAGGCGCCAGAAAGGGTACCTCCCGGCGTGGACATTGCCGCCTCATCTTCGGCACCATTCTTCTTTCACTCTAGATCCATCATTTTGAATTCCCATCAAGACTGCTCGGAGGTATGTATGTAGTATTACTTCACGGGGAGGAGGTAATAAAACGAAAAGAAGTATTAACTAATGCAAAATGAAAATATTGTTTGTGTAAACGAGCGAATAAGAAGCAAACAACAGCGATGTACACACTGGCGAGGGTTCAAGCTTTGGTACAAATGGAAGAAGCGAAGGAATAGAAACCTGCAACACAGGCAAAGAAGGTAATGTATGTTAGGTGGTTGCCAGGATCCGTCCGGGTGGTTTGAGCGAGATTATCAAAAGCAGAATGAGGGAGGGAGGGGAAAAAAAAAAAAAAAAAAAAAAAAAAAGGAAAGCAAACAAAAACAAAGGCCCTCCCGATCTCCAGTGCGAACAAGGACTCCGTTGTTAAAACTCCCAGGAAAGCAGTCTGCAATAATCCAGAAGATCACGGCCTAGATAATGGGCAGGGATTGGTGGTCTTCATATCAACATATTACGGAGGTGCAGTTAGTGGCCCCTGGGGGCAGGGGGGGGAAAAAAGGGGGGAAGAGGATAATCAGGATATATGCCAGCCGTAAAATATCATAGCGCCGTGAGCAATGGTCCAGAACCAAAAAAAAAAAAAAAAAAAAAAAAAAAAAAGAAATATATATAAAGCACACTGTAGAGCGAACGTGAACGTTACAAAGCAAAAAACAACCCTAAAGGCTAGTATGTCTCTCCTAATGCACTGGCTTCATTTCTCCGCTCCGGTGGTAGCATTTCACCTTCTCGGCGGTCTAAACTCGAGCTGATACGCCGTCCATGAGATATACCGGACACACTTGATCCCCCGCTCTGCCTCTTTCTATGGCTTGCCGGTGTAGGGATGCTTGTTGGTGGGAACTCTCGTCCGTTGACCCCGCCAGGTCGGGGAGTGGGGGTCGTGATGTTCGCATCGTCCTCGTCTATGTATGACATGTTGGTTGAAGGGTTGTAGTTGCTCAGCGACGACCTCGGCCGTCTACCGTCTGATTCTGTGGGGGGAGTCTGCGAAGTTATCGGCGGTCTGGTGAAACTTTGGCGGCTTTCCGACCGACGAAAGGGGATAGGGCCAGACCCCTGGCTGGCTGAATAACGGCTAGACGCGCTAGTGCGACTGCTCGGCCGGCTATCAGCATTACGGGATCGAGATGGCGTTGGTTGTGGCAGGCCAAATGAGCCCCGACTGGCGCGAGATGGTGTAGCATCGCTGTTCCGGGAGCCAGCAAGGCCGCTGCTCACACGCTTCCTTGCATTTCTCATTGTGACAGTGGAAGGAAGATATGTTTGACCCAGTATTGTGCTCGTCCTCGGAGATACCTTTGGGGGTGTACCAGTGGGAGCGGGCAGCCTTGACCTGGCTGAATGGACCCTTTCCTCTAGTTTTTGCATCTTGCCGATGAGACCACGTATCTGGTACAGCGAGCCAGACTTAGGCATCGCATTATTAGATGAGGGAGGGTTTGTGCTCGACCGCCGATAATACAAAGTCGGCGTGTTCTGTTTATTTGTCGGAGGCACTGGGGGCCCGCGGGAGTGTCGCGGGGGTCGTGACTGTGGAGAAGGTTTCTGAAACGACTTCAGCTCCGAAATGGACGTCCTTGGTCGAGAGAGCGTTGGAGTAGCCGGCACCTTGCGCACGTCGTTGGACCTTTCGGAGCAAGGCGGCGAAGGCGGGGTGACGGCGTCGGAATTTACAGAGGACACGGACTTTGCCGGTGGGGTTGCAATAGAAGGAGAGGACGTGGAGGTCGCGGTCGGTGAGCGCTCTGCATCTTCGAGAGGATGTAGAATGGAGATGCTTGAGGAGATTGAAAAATCCCTGCCCCTCCTCTTGAAGCCCTCCGCCTTGCGAAGCTTCTCCTGAACGATGTGAGTTTCGACTTTCAGATCGGACAGTTCATCACGAAGGCGTTGGTTCTCAATGCGCAACGATTCACGTTCCTGCTCTCCATTCTTAATCTCTTCTTCCAAAAGCACTCCTCGTTCTATCGCCACGTTGTACTTTGATTCAAGGTCCTCGAGGGAAGATGTGGTATGACGAGCCTGGCGTTCGAAGTCATCATTTGCAACCTCGATATCACGCAGTTTCAGTTGAAGTGATCGATTCGATTCGCGGAGGGTGGTTATCTCTTTCTGCAGCGTGTTTTGCGCCGAGTTTGCCTCCGACTTGGCCTGCTTGTACTTCGTCTGTCGTAGTCAAAGCGTCAGTAGACTGGTGGAAGGCGATGTGGCCTGACCACTTCACGCAAGATACAGTATGCTGTCGGTTTGAGATCGGTGGATCTAACCTTCCATTCCTCCACTTCGTATCCTAAGCTTTCCACCTTCTCCTTTAACTTCCTTTCCCGTTTCTCGGACGCTTCGATATCTTTCTCAAGCTCGGTCTCCAGTTCTCGACTGGAAGCTTGGAATTCGGTCAACTCCAGTTCTAACTGTTCATACTGAGCTTTGTAGTAGGCAATGGCTTCGTCGGAAGACGTGAAATTGTTTGGTGGTGAGGAGGGCGTTGCGTTAGGCATCGCGATCGCTGGGATGCCGCTTTGCCAGAAGTGAGCTGAAGAGAGCAACGAATGCTCAGCGATGACGAGTGAAGAATGAACGTTAAAACGATGGGCTGACCCGGTGTTCGGGTGCTTTGGGCGGCTAACTCCGATATCTCGCTACTTGCCGGTTGCGACAGGAACCCCAAGTTGTGATAAATAGGAGATGAAACAGCTGATGAGAGGAGGAGGATGCGCCCCGTAATTACCCTGATGGCATCGAGCACGCTGCGATTCCTCTCGAAATCTAGCTTGGCCCTCCTGCCACAGGTAACAAGGCGCTGTGAAGCTGACTTACCTGTCCTGCTGGGCTATTGCGGGACCATCGTTTGTTTGTTGTCGGGCAGTTCGAGGTCGAGCGTCATCATGGGTCGGTCAGGCATGATGTTTGGGGTCCTCCGCCGGCACCCAATCACATGTGATTATGTAACAACACATCCATGACATCGAGGTTAGCCCGGATGCGGCTAGCGCAGTTGCTGTTGCCGGGTCACCTGATGCCCATCTACGTTGAGCGCGGAAAAGTGACGTGCACATTACGAGCAGCCTATCGTCGTGACAGCAGTCCATCCGCATCCGACCATCAAACCCCTACCAAGCCAGCTGAACCCGCTCTGGTAAGCCTTCTATTTCCACGCTTTGGATACCCGCAGTGCGTTGCCGCAGCTTCACTCCACACTTGGAGCCTCTGGGGTCCCCGTTTGCTCTGCATGATGTCCCCCCTTCCCCTTTGTCTGAACACGGCTCTCCTATGGCCACGCACGACTCCATCTTAGTGCCATCCAACCTTGAATCACCGCGCTCCTCAAGCACTCTTGTTTGAAATTTATTCACATCATGCTAACAAGGCTCAGTGGAAGCCTCCAGTTGATCCCGGCATGGCCGGCAGCAGCGCCATGGCAGATACAACCGACTTGAGCTTGGATGCTCCTAGCGACCTCCAGGACATCCCCGACATCTCAATGGATTTACTTCCGCCACCGGAAGGTACATATCCCGACCGGGCTACTTTGTTAGCGTCTGTTCAAGCTCATGGAAAGGCGCACGGATACAACGTAGTGGTCAAGTCCTCGAGCACTCCAACGGAGAAGAAGCCAGGCCGCACGGCAAAGGTGTGGCTGCGATGTGATCGTGGTGGTCAATACAGACCCCGGAATGGCCTCACTGAGGAGACCCGAAACGGAAAAGAACGTCTCGCCTTATGGACTGTCCATTCATGATGGTTGCTGCAGGAAATCCGGGAATATGGACGCTCACGGTTTTGAACCCAACCCACAACCACGGCCCAGTGACCGAAAAACCCCGACCGGCTCCTCAGACCAGGGTCAAGAAAGGTCAAGTCAGCTCGGTTCCTTATGATTGGCCACACGATGCGACCTTTACTCCATTCACCACGGCGCTGGTTCTCATTGATATGCAGCGAGATTGTAGGTCTAAATCAGCCCACATCATCCAGAACTGTACTGATATCTCCGCCTCTCTACCCATTGTTAGTTTGTTCGCCTGGAGGTTATATGGAATTCCAGGGTTATGATGTCAGTGGAGCCCAGATTCTTGTTCCCAAATTACAACGGCTTTTGCATGCATTCCGAAATGCTGGATTTCCGGTTTATCATACACGTGAAGGTATACTTCTCCAAGCCCCCCATTTATCGTTGATCAATGTTACTAAGTATATACAGGTCATCGAAGTGATCTCTCCACCCTCTCAACCCGAGAAAGCTTCCGGTCTCGTAACAATCCCTCAGGTCTTGGAATAGGTGCAGATGGCCCTCTTGGTAGGTTCTTGATTCGCGGGGAACCAGGGCATGATATCATTCCAGAGCTGTACCCTATTCTAGGCGAACCAGTGATAGATAAACCTGGCCGTGGGGCTTTTTCACATACCGACTTTGAACTACTTCTACGAAACAAAGGCATAAGGAATCTTATTCTTACTGGCCTAATGACGGACGTGGCCGTCTCCACCACAATGAGAGAGGCTAGTGATCGTGGGTTTGACTGTCTTCTTTTGGAGGATGGAACTATGGCACACGACCCAGGCTCCCATGTAGCTGTGTGCGAATCGATCAAAAAAGAGGGTGGTGTCTTTGGCGCCACTGGCAAACTGGACGATATCGTTCGCGCTGTGGAAAACTTCAGAACCACTACTGTCAAAAGGCTTGCTCCACAAATGACCGCGGTAGCGTGAAATTCTCGCTTCTCGTGCCGCCATTACACAGAGAGCATCCAACCTCTTTGGAATGGGATAATTCTTTGATACGAGATTACGAAGGCATTCAATGGTTCAAAGCAGCCAGTTATATTTTGCTGTTTCTTTTGGGTTGGATGAGGGCTTCTGCTTTGTAAATTATGCATCACTTGTTTCCGCTGGTATTATTTTTACAACGATTTAGGACTGTCTAGATGTACTCCGTACATTATGGCCGTATCAGATGCAATTGCTCTGGCAATTCAATTCTTTCTCGATGTGGGGAACTGGGGTATCACGATCTGCAAAGTATCGATGGGACACAAAAAGATTCTTTCCGGTCCATGATGTAAAAAGCCCAGAAAACCAAATCAACAGACCTGTATCTCAGAAATAAAGCAACATCCCAGCCGTCTTAACTCCTCTACCGTACCAACGGAGTTCAGGATGAGAAATAACCACCAGAAGACTCCTTACACCAAAGCTCTATACGAAAAACACGCTGAATGGACAGAAATCTATAACCACTTCTTCCCCGCCGCGAGCACCTTACTTCGAAATACGGGGCTCTTGATTTCCATTCCCCTTCGATAAAACGGATTCATAATTGTCTTCACCCAGTTTTCATACACTTCATTCATAAATTGTCGTACCGCTTCCTCCGTCTGCGGGGACGTGGGATTGTTTGCTATAGACGAGGATGACGCACGTGTGCTTCCGACGAGCGTTGAAGAAGGCGAAGGTTGGAGAGGCTGATGGAGAAGGAGGAATCGCACTCCGGTGCCAGTCATAAAAGCGGAAACGTAGGCTGATGCCGGTGGGTAGGTATCGATATGCTTTAGGTACCTATCTGAGATTAAGCGCCGTGGTCGGGTCGGTTTGGGAAGCAAGCGGGAACATACATGGCTCCATTAGTCCACTGGACTTCTTCCACAATGTCCAGACTAGCGTGCACGATGAATTGGTTCATATATCTTGAGGTATCAGGGAATCGGAACCTGGGGACTCCATCTCCGCCACCCTTGGAGGTGCCGAAAGCTTGACTGAAAAGCGGCGAGTCGCTTGGTGATAAAATAGTGAAATAATAAGACATGCCGGCTTGAATCCCGTAGCGCAGGCTCAAATGCTTCCCAGCTCTCCACGTTTTCTAGCAGCACTTCTCGTCATCATTAGATCATTTCGTCGCGTTCATCAAGGCGGCGGCCCGCACAGGATTGGGTCACGTGATATTACCGCAAACTCGCGACTCCGATCCATCCATCCGACGAAGGGCGCACCTCTGCCCATTTAGCAGTCACTGCCTCGAGGTTCCCCAAGGACTCAAGTCGACTAGCAAGAATAGATGAAGCCTATCACACCATAAGTTGAGCCATCCCCTGGAGATAATGGCACCGCCAACCCTTTCATATGGCCTTAATTTGGCCTCCAAGAAGTCGCAGCCCGCCACCTCCGCAGGCTCGTCCACATCCAAGAAACGCAAAAAGACCATCTTTGATTCGGATTCCGATAGCGATACGGGACCTACAGAAGACACAAATGGTGAAGAAATTACTACTCTAGGTGGCCTTACTTCTGCGGATCCAGAGCCGCCATCAAAAAAGCAACAGAACGCACCCCCGAGGAAAGCCTTTTCTGGAAACGCAGATGGCAAACAGAAGGACTATACAAATCTCTCAGCCCTGCATAGCAGCAATAAGCATTCCCAAACGGCCGCCTCTATTGATCCTAGCATTTACGACTATGACAACATTTACGACTCCATCCATTCCAATCGTAAGAAAACCTCAGCCTCCGCGACTACATCTTCCGGACCTAAGTACATGACGTCTTTGCTACGTAGTGCCGAAGTGCGCAAGCGCGACCAGCTTCGCGCTCGAGATAAGCTGTTAGCTCGCGAGCGCGACGCCGAGGGTGATGAATATGCGGATAAAGAGAAGTTTGTGACGGCAGCATACAAAGCGCAGCAGGAAGAAGTGAGACGGATTGAAGCCGAGGAGGCCGCCAGAGAGAAAGAAGAGGAGGAAAGGAGGAAAAAAGGCCTGGGAATGATGGGGTTCTATAAAGACATGCTTGAAAGGGATGGAAGAAGACACGAGGAGGCGGTTAAAGCTGCTGAGGAAGCAGCTAGCAAAAAGCAAGCAAGGAGAGAAGATGAAAATGAAGAGCAGCAGGAAGAAAAGTCTGCTGCCCAGATTGCCGCGGAGTTGAATGCTCGTGGCGCACACATCGTGGTTAATGACGAAGGAGAAGTCGTTGATAAACGTCAGCTTCTCTCCGCTGGGTTGAATGTTGCTCCGAAAGCGAAGGCAAAGACAACTCCAGCTTCATTTGCAGTGGAGTCGCGTGCAAGAGATATTCGATCTGATCGTTTTAGTGCTGCTGCATCTGCTCGCTCACAGCAGCGCGAACGCCAGACAGAAATGATTGCCGCACAATTAGAAGAGAGAATGCTTAAGGAGAAGCAGGAAGAAGAGGCTCGACTGAAGGAACTGGCCGAGAAGAATAAGAGCAAGAAGACGACGAGCGATGTAATGAGTGCAAAGGAACGGTACCTCGCCCGAAAGAGGGAAAGAGAAAAAGAGGAGCAAGAAAAAGGAAAATAGGCAAATGCAGGAATTGTCGGGTCTGCCTGTTGTGGTTTATTTCAGTTGGCTTTTGAGCGAGGGTTGGAGTTAGGGGCAACTTGCGATTTGGATCTATTTCATTTCATAATGATATCAGAGTCTAAAACCACTTATCCTTGTCAAGGAAATAAACGCTTTTTAAAGGCCATATATAGATATATGTCGCTCGTCATCATAATCATCATAATAATATCGTAGGGGAAAAGTGTAGAGAACAAAACCGAAACGGATATGCAAAATTGGGATCAGATGAGCAAGGTTCGCAATGAATCGCCCAGGCACCGCGTATTTCATGAAACCAGTGACCAGCACCAGACGATAAAGGCCACCGGTGGCGTACATTATCGGCAAGGATTTCAAGCCGTCAATGCAAAACTAAGGCCGAGAATTCCCATTCCAGCAATCGCAAACCCAATGCACAAATTTTGATTGTGTGATAGTACCAACCCCTCGGAAAATAATTGCAGAGAAACGTTCGTCATTACACCGGCAGTCGCGGCAAACATACCCCCATAGACTGCCCAAGATGCACCATTCGGGTCTTCTATGTCTCCTGGCACGGGTCCGTTCGCTCTCCGTGCGCCCCAAACCCACAGCGCAGCTAGTCCAGCGCCAGCCGGCTGGCTTACGCCACCTAAGAGGCTAGACCAAACCACGGCCTTTAATCTTGATTTTAGGGCGAGATAGAGTGGCAACGCCATCGCAAATCCTTCAGTAATGTTGTGAATAAAAAGCGCGATAAAAACTGACCAGCCGAGTGTAGGGTTTGTGTGGTTGGTTGCATATGTGATAAAACCTTCAGGGAGTTTGTGTAGTGCTATGGCAAGTGAGGTCTGCAGCCCAATGGATAAAAAGGCATTTTGGGGAACATGGTGATGATGTTCTTTTGAAGGAGGGGGCAAAGGCGAATATGCTGTCGTGGAGCCGAGAGCCGGGGTTCTTTGGTCAGTTCCAAGAACATCGTCATGGCCGGGAGAATGTTGAAGCGGTTCGCCGCTCATCATATCGGTTGTATGAGATGAGTGAATACTACGTGCTTCGTCGACTACGCCTTTGTCAACATCTGGCTGCATAGCGACTGATTCGGCAACTATTTCCGGCATTCGAGAGTTCTCTAGGGGTAGGGGCCCAGAGGAACTGCGATAGCGGAGAGCGTCAGGCCGGCCAGGAACCCCAGCAGCCTCTTGATCCCTGTGTTGCGTGATTGTCATACACTCTTGGCCACAAGCTTGAGAAAAACCGTAGCAGGGACCAGTATTGTCGCATGCAGCTTTCCGAACACCAACTAAGCCACTAATTGGGCCCGACAAGATAGATCTGATAAAAGATGCATGGGGCTTTGTAGGTTCAGCATGTGGCACTGGCTGATGAGCAGGGGTAGTCGCCGAACTTGTGTTCTCGGATGCTGTTATCAGTGGCGTACGCTCTGTGGCAGGTTCGTCAGGGATAACAGAGGTTCCATTTGCTGGTCTAGGGACGTCGTCAATTTTTCCATCTTCTTCATGAGTGTGGGCACAGGCAACCACATGAGAAGGTATATGGCTGTGAATCCAGCCAGACACGATTTTGATCACAATAACCCCGAGGAGAAACAGCCCTATTAACATGAATGCAGCCATGCCGGAGGAATAGCCCGCGCGGATAAGGTACTCTTTTGACGTCGGTAACATGCTGAAGAGCGAAGTGAATAACTATGCGTCTCATTAGTCTCATGCTGCAAGCATTACCCATGTTTGACACATGCGCACCAGAACACCTGCACTCAAGCTCATAGACGATGAGAGAAATACATCGCTATCCGAGATCTGAAAATTCCTCTTCCCAAACCAATTTCGAGCAACGATGTCCACGCATATGATGGTCGACCCCAGTACGCAGGCTAAAGTTGCATTTTATTAGCGAATGCAGGAAGAAAAAGCAGAGGCGGCGATCAAACATACCGACGCCACTGACACAGCTCATAACCCATCCCCGGGTGTCATTATCAAGCCCCATCCTGCTGGAGGGACGGCTTCAAGTGTCGTTAACGGCCAACGGTGTAGACGACGTGAACTCAGAAAAGACGAAAGGTAGATTTTTCAGGTTGTGTGGGCTTTCAAAGCCTGGTAATTGACACCAAATTATTCCCTAAGGGGTCTCACTCGAATGATAGGCAGAAACAAAACCGTTCTGCTGAGCGAGGAGCTGACAGCCGTGAGAAGACGGCTAACGTCGCATCGCAGCTTCAGGTTCTGCAGATTCGCCTGCTTTTTGCGCTGACCAACGGAGCCCGAAGGATTACATCACCCGGCGCGTGGTGATGGTCACGTGGTTCACAGGGTGACACAGCTCCCGATGAGGACTAGCGTGCCCTCAAGGTACCCGCACCGATAAGCCGCAATCTTATCTCCTGATGTGCTTACATAATCGACCATGATTGGTCGGAGCTCTGGTCCCAATTTCCGGCATCTGATTGGCTGAAAATGCAGCGCCGCCGTCGAACGCGCAGGAAAAAACAAATCATCTTTCGTCGGTCTCGCTGCAATGGGGGGATTGCGTGCTGGTGTTGAGAGACAGGGAGGTCAGCTCAGCAACCAGAGACAGTAAGCCATTTCCAGGATCTTGACTGTGCTTCACGGCCCGTGGTTCAATCCGGGGTTGTTCATTGTTTGGATTACTAGCCGGGCGCTCGACTCAAACTATGTCGAAAGCAACATTCGCAATCATCGCCGCAGCGGGTGCTGCCACCGGTGCTGGCGTCACTGCACTTGTCTACTCAGCCAAGGCTTCCCGGCAGCAGCCGCCGGTATCGCCTGCTCTACCGTCAGCAGCCAAACCTCCGGTACCCTCACCGAATCCTGCGGTTATCCCACATCCATCCACTCCGCAGATACCGACCCGATTCCCAGCGCCCGTTGATCCAACCGGCCTCCTCCAGTACGGATTCCCCGGTCCAATTGCCGACACCATAAACAGTGCCCCCCTGACAAGCGCATATGACCGCCGCACACGCAACCCATCATGGGTGGCCGAGCACATCACGCCCGAGTCTCTCAAGCTCAACAACGCCGACCGCAAACACAGCGTCTTCTACGAAGACCAAAGAATCCCCGCCGCATTTCGCGCCAAGTTGAGCGATTACTTCCGCTCCGGGTACGATCGTGGACACCAGGTTCCCGCCGCAGATGCAAAATGGAGCCAGGACGCCATGGACGCGACATTTGCTCTGACGAATATGTGCCCGCAGGTTGGGGAGGGCTTCAACCGCGACTACTGGGCGCATTTCGAGGAATTTTGCCGAGGATTGACGAAGAAATACCCTTCTGTGCGTATCGTCACTGGCCCGTTGTATCTACCGAAGAAGGATCCAACCGATGGAAAGTGGAAAGTCACCTACGAAGTTATCGGAAATCCACCAAATGTTGCCGTTCCAACACACTTTTATAAAGTTATATTCGCGGAAGATGGAAAAGAAGGAGGGAAGGTTAGCCTGGGTGCCTTTGTGATGCCAAACGCGCGCATCCCAAATGAGAAGAGCCTGTCCGATTTCGAAGTTCCCTTGGAGGCTGTAGAGCGTGCCAGCGGCTTGGAGTTCACATCAAAGCTTGCTGCAGACCGGAAGAAGAGGTTATGTCAGGAAGTGAAGTGTGAGATCATGGTGAGAGAGTTCGCGAAGGCAACTAACAGAAAGGCATTGCCATCGCCTTGACATATCTTATGAACGCGCTTTTTCCGCACTGTTCTGGGGAGTCTTTTTTGTTTTTTATTAAGAGGTTGGACTTAGATTATTGTGTATGATACAGCATGTTCATGGGTATATAGGCAGCATGATGTGATTGTCTGTTGATCAAATGACGTACAGAGTATGATCATTAACACTGAAAGGCTGTCCCAGCCTTTTTCGCAAGATTCGCTCCTCCGCCCGCAAAGCCGGTACCCTCGCTACATATTGCGACCAACCCGGGTCGTATCTTCTCCTTATCTTTGTCCTTCTTACCATCTTTTTTAGACTTTCTCTCAGTGATATCTGTCTCACAGACATAGCAAAGCATCCGTCCATGGCGCTCAGTTTCTTCAGGGTCCTGCGCGTGAGGATCTGGATCTTTATGGGGCGTCATAAATTTTTCTACACAAGGTTTGCAGATTACATGCCCACACGGTTTCGTTACTGGACTTGTGAGCAGTGTTGTTCGTCGTATTCTTTCTGCTGCGGGTGGGAACTTACACATCGCTTTGACACCGTTTTTCAAAGCCCGTTTACAAGACGGGCAAACCCTTATCATTTCTCCTGACTGGTCATCTTTTACTTCTGAGAAGTTTACCGAGACTAGATATTTCAAGGAATAACCATGTTTGTTTGTAGGCGTAGAAGCGGGACAAATGGGGCTCAATTTCGCAGGTTTGGCATCATTCGCACCGTTCTCAGTAGATGGCGTCAACGACGGGATCCAGAAAGAAGGCATCTGCGGCTTCGCAGACTCGCTCTAAAGAAAACATTGCCGTTAGCCCGAATTGAACGTAGAAGATAGATGGGACGGCGAAAAGGTGTCATGCCCTCTCCCGTTGAATCTCCTTCCGTATTCTTTCCCTCTCCTCCCTGGCAATCCTCTTCATCTCCATCTCATCCAGCTCAAACCCTTTTCTCTTCTTCCTCGCCAGCTCTTCACCGCTATTCGGACTTCCCTCGCCCTCACGTGTACGGTCTTGGTCCTGTTCTCGGTTTGAAAACTTCCTCTTCCGATCCTCCAACCCCATGCTTATCATTTCAAACTCCTTTAACTCTCTCTCCCTCGCTTCCTGCGCCAGTCTCTCATCATTTTCCTCTTTTTCTTGCTGCTCCAGCTCCCGCTCCTTCTCTAGTCGCTTAATTTCTTTTCTTTGCGCTAAAAGGTCGTTCACAGCGCATTCCCGACAGAATATATCGCCGTTTGTGGCACATGCAACGACCGGAGAGCGGGCGGGGAGAAGACATAGTCTACAGGAGGAAAAGGGCAGGAAGGATTCACGCGATAGTCTTGTACTCTGGGATCCCCAAGTGGAACGGAGGAGAGACCTTTCATATGAGGTGAAATGGGGAAGAGATGTGTTGCGTTTAGAGTGTGCCATTGCAGGGATGTTAGTGATCAAAAATGCCGCCAGAGGAGGGCCAGATGTGAGGATAACAATGTTCCGCACAGATAACTAATAATATTCAAGATGAGACGCGCGCGGAGTCTCGCTAACATGATGTGTGAGATCGCCCTGGCCGTCGCTGGGATGCGCAAAACCAGAGTGGCTGACTAAACAAAAGGGTGCCCCAAGCTAACTAAATGCCAATCACGACGCGTCCTGGCCAACTTATCACCACCACCATCCATCGTCAATCCCAATCATTCCATCAATGCGTCGCTCTCCGGGTGTCCGGCTCACCATATTCTGCCACATGTCCCTGAAATTCGACCACCAGAGCTTGAAGTACCAGTTCACGTTGATGTATTTTCACCTTTTGCCTCCCTGGGATCTTCTGCCCTTCTTCCCTCTGCCATTGCCTTTGCCTTTCCCCTTCCCATTGTCCTGATGAAGCCGAGTTTCATCGTGTTCTTTCTTCTCCACAGCTAGGGCCTGTAAAAGCTCTTGAAAGCCGTCCGTTTCGTTTGCCTTCTTTGTGTTCTTTTTTTGTTTTAATAGCCCCGGCGACTCTGGATCTTTAGCGTTCTTCTTTGGTCTCTCGATATCGCACAGCCGAAGGTATTCGTCATCGCCAGCTCCCAACATGAATGCAATCTTATTACCGTCCATGTTCAGTGTAATGATGAGCTTCTCTGCTTCATCCTTTGTTGATAAACCCCTTTTTGAATCACTGCTGTCCGCAAATTCTGCCACGTTTGCCTCAACTTGCGCCAATTTCCACAGATCTGGCCCGTCACATCCTTGGATCATATAGAAACCCGTGCGCGCTGCATTCAAGAACATTGCAGCGCGCCCTGCATCTGAATGATACGCACATATTCTTGCGCAATGTGCCAAGACCTCACAATACCGTCGATCAAACAACTTGTGGCCAGAGAGCTTCTGCAGAAGCTGAGACGCAGCTCTGAGTGCTCTTGCTGGCTGGGCCTTAGCTACAGTCGGGGAAAACACGACAGGAGCCAGTTCATTCACAAGGAGAAAGTCTGCGTCAAGTTCTCGGTCTTGAGACTCGCAGTATTCGCAAGCACATTCAAACCCGAAATGCTCTTTCATGTGTTGCTTTCTTTCAGTGGTGTCCAAATGGATCTCGTCGTATGCCACAGTAATTTCCTCACCCCGGCTTATTTCTCTGCATGCACGTATATTCAAAAACGTCGATTTTACCCCTTCGGTGTTCGCCTCAATAAGCGTTTGTTGGGCATTCGGGACACAAGAATGATTAATTTTTGAGGACCAATGACCGAGGACTCGGACCTTTTGACCGGAAGGAAGAGTGCATGGAATGCAATTTTTCTCGAAATATGCGCCGAACTTCCCCAATTTCTCTTCCGAATCTTTCTTGAGGGTGAAGAAAAAGTGGGTAAAGTTAGGACAATTGACTTCCTTTATTTTCTCCGCCAGCATCTTGTTATAGTTTTTGATTGAACCACCCATGGACTCTAGGGTGTCTTGCACAACCATGACTGGTTCATGAGTAATGATCTGGCAACGGGGCATCTCCATCATTGCGGCTAGTCCTGTTCCTTGCTTTTTGAATTCTGCAGCTGTCCACCCTATGCCCGGACTGGCAAGCAGACGGATAAGAGGAGTGGCATTCTCGCGGAGAAAAGGCGAAGGAGTACTCCCCTGCGCATAGGCATCAGCATCTTATCCCAGGATCCTCTTTTCTGCATAAAGCCTGGCTTTAGTGTCTCATAGAATATTGCACTACTCACAACTTTAATTACGCATTTCAGGAAAGTGTTGAAATCGGGCAGTCCGTCATCTTCTGGGGTCTGATGTTTGACTTTGCCGGTTCTAGCATTGCAAGGGGCAATCCCTGATGAATCCTGGTCCGCTGATTCCGGAATCATCTCTGAAGAAAAGTCTGCGGCGTCGTCCCCAGGGGAGTTCTTTAAGGTCGCTTTCTCTTGCGAGCACCGATGCTGTGCCAACTCCTGCGAATCAGCTGCCACGGCCTCATGAGCGGGTGGCGTAGAGTCTGGGAATTCCGGCGTAGCAGCATTTAGAGAGTTTTCCTCAGGAGGGCCCATGTTGCAGATGCTGACACCGGGTATGAAGCTATCTGTATTTATCAAGAGGTCCCCTGTTGTCAGCCATTTCTTATGTCACGGCTTTTTATCTTGTCGGATCTCTGGATTCATACCAGGCAGCGGCTTTATGATATGCTTACCTACAAAAACCAGCAATTCGAACTGGCGGAGCAGGGTGGGCAGCCGGGATTCAGCTGTAGGAAGAATAGAGAAAAGAGTGGCAGAAGACTAAAGCGACACGAAAGTGAAATATTCACTCGCGCTTTCTGTTGTTTTGATTCAGCTCTTGTTCACGTGAATCTAGCGTATTGCCCTTTTGGGTATCAGGAAGGTTCGCTTAGCTGCTGTGAGTGGAAAACGCCGTATCAAGACACTGCACACTTCACATTGGGCCCCAACAGCTGTCTTTTTTTCTTTTTTTTTTTTTTTTTTTACTTTTCTTTTCGCCTTGCAGATAAGATACTAAAGAGACTTTATGGGTTTTCATGGCTATTACAATTGTTTACAATGTGATGAAAAAAACAACCTGCAAGACCTATTTTTGGTTTCAACAAGCTGCTCGGGGAAATATTGGGGTGTGCAGCAATTCAAGGCTGACAACACACACAATGACAGGAAAATTGGAAGGCCATAGCAAAAGCAGTCCAGGGACAGGGCTCAATGACAAAGAAATATGCGGGCCAGTGTAGGTTTAACTCAGGCTTTTCATGGGCAAAAACTGAATATGAGTACAGAGTGGTGGTAGAAGGCTTGTACAAAGGTTTGGGTGCGGTCGGAGAGAGGGGTCAATGCAATTCAAGGCACCGAATAACAGCAAAAGCAGTGGGTGGGAATCAGGCAGTCATAATCATCGTGAGAAAGGTTGGAAGAGGAAAGGGATAAGGAGAAATAATGAAAGCAACACTATGATTCAATGGTCTATTCCGAGGCAATGCGATCCGACAGGAGAGAAGAATCGTCAATATTGGGTTCAGGCTCTGTGGGAGCCAAATCCTTCTTTCCTGGTGGTTGATCTATCGAGGTTTGCTCTTTAGCGGTCAGGGACCGAAGCACTCCGTCAACCGGCTCATGGGGAGGCTCTTCTTCTTCTTCGATAATAACAGCAGAATCTGCGTCAATTGTCATAGAATTTTCATTGTTGAGATGGGGACTGGTCTCTGGGAGAGACTCCTCGGGAGAACCAAGCCCGGTGGCTTTCTCTTGAGCCCTGTCCAGCTGCCGCAAACTCTTGGCCGTAGTCGTGCTGACAGATCTTAGAGAGTAAGCCTGTCTGCCGCTCATACTTTCAGAGCTGACAAGATCAAGCCCCAGCATTTCGGAAGCGCGAGAGTCTTCAGTATGGGTTGGTCTGCGTTGCTTGAGGCGTTGTCCAGGGGACATGTTTTCCCATTCTGAACCAAAAGTAACAACGGAGGCCTTTTTTCCGTGAACAGTGAAGCTTCCAGCACCACGCGCTAAGGTTTCTGTTTCAGCAGCAGCATTCCCGTCGTCCGCTGCAGAAACGGTTGTACCGGAATCTTTACCCTTTTTGCTTCGCTGATGATGGGGAATAAAATGGCCATCACGAAGCGTGCGATGTAGGCTCCTTCGAATCTTACTTCGACCTTCACCAAGCGCTGGTTCTACCCGACCATCGTTATTTGCGGTGTTGGGTTCATCTGTTGCGTCAGCGGATGCAGACATTTGCAAAAATAGCTCATTGGATAGAATACCGGCTTCCCGAAGGAGACGCTCTTCTTCGGTGTCAATTACACTCGATGTTGGGGTTTTCTGCGCCAACGACTGTTTTGCAGATCCGGTCGACTCCAATTTGTTGATAGAGCTTGTCGTTGAGGCCTGAGGTGGTAGGAGAGTTTCACCAAATGATTTTATTGAATCAAGAGCGGCATCATCTTTACTCCCATCAATTAACGGCCTTCCTAGCGATGCCGTTGTTTCTGGCGAAGAAAGAGAATTTGGCAATCCTGGTCTCTTAACGGTGGTTGATATGCTCTCTATCAATTGATCGGGTAGGTTGAATTCCTTCGACGGCGTTGGGGAACGAGAACGAGCTCGCTTGGAAGATCGGTTGCTTTTTGGAGACGTAGGGCCAAGGCTTGGTGCTGATTCTGACAATATCTGATGTTCCTGGCTTGAAAAGGAGCATATCTCGTTTCTGCCCGGGGAGCTGCTGGGAACTTTCTTTACAGACGGTAAATGCTTCTCCTCTTCCGCTAAGTCAAGCGCCAGCACATCTCTGTGACATCTTGCCCGCCAAATGTCTAACCGAACCCATTTGATATTAGCTGCAATTCGTCCAGCCGCCAAAACAACGTTGTCTCTGGCACGTGGGTGAATAGGCGTCAGAATTTGGAGGTGTCGAGCATTTTGCAAAAGATCGTCCAGTTGTTTCTGAGTTACAGCGAGTTTCTCGTCCGCTTCTTGCACCTTTCTAGAAACGAGTTCGCGACGCGCAGCAAAGATCTCTTCTGCAAGGCAGGGGTCCATTCTTCTGGTATTGGTGGCAGCTGAGTCTAAGATGGTGGGAGTCTCCGATGTGTCTGACGTTACTGAGTCTGCCCTAGTGGATTTGTGAGGCAAATGGCCTTCATAGTTCGCTCCAATCATTCCCCTCATACGAACAGCCGTTGTTCTGAAAGCAGCCGCATAATTGATGGTCGCTATCCAATCATTCAAGTCGATATCGCTATTAGCTAAAAGGACCTCCTCAAATCCTCCGTGTTGAACAAATAAAAACGCATGCTTATGCCGTTTATAGCTGGCGTCCAGCAGTGCCACAGCATTTGCAGTAGACACGATCGAATCTGGTTTAAAATCGCTGACGGGAGGTTTGAAAGTCACAGGGTGGCGGCGCCCACCAGTTTGCCTTGATTCATATTGAGAGATCAATGACTTGACCCACTGAACGTCCTTGAAAAAATAGAGCTGCGAACCAGTGAGAACAGCCCCCCATTCCTGCCACGGAGATCTGGTTTTCTTCTTTTTCTGATTTTTCCTCCACAAAAGTCCAACCTTGGCTACCCGAATATCTACAAGGCCAGGTTGTGATTCGGCGGGATTGGCGATGGAGGATTGTGTCAGGAAAGCATCCGGACGGGATCTTTCCGAAACTATCTGCAGGACACATGGCTTATAAAAGGCCCGGTGAAGGTCGTTCATATTTGGCGAGGGCCCAGCTCCTGAAACACTGTACACATCTTCCAAATCCATTACATCCTTGAGATTCGGTCTAAGACTGCCAAGTTTGCCTTCGAGGATCAAAGCATAGGGATCGACGGGGTCTCTGGACGATCTTGATAAATGGTCAGTGCTCGCGGTCTTGAATAATGGGCTTCGTGCCTTGGGCGCCAGCCGTCGTACACCCAGATTAACTTCATCCTCCACGTGGATAAAAGGGGTGTAGCAGATATTGTCATAGAAGCATTGAAGGATCTCTTCCGCTAAGCCTTCGCCTCTTGTGTTACGAACGTAATCCTGCTTCTGCATTTTCCTTTTGTTGTTTTTGTTGAAGACGTCGGTATGAAGGATCAGCAACGAGAACGCGATGAAATAAGCTTGATCTAAAATGACACGCATTAGTCGGGAGCTCAAATCCGGAAAAGGGACAAATATTGACTTACCAGGAGATGCAAAAATTCCAGGGTTGCATTCGTGATATCGCTCGGCAAAGCTTTGGAGTACGCGGTCGATCTGCTGGGTTTCCTTCGGCAGTTCAGCCTCCATAAGCAATTTTCGAATTGACATGTCCATCGCATCGCCAAAGAATGCAAAACCGCGGATATATTTCCTCAATGTTGCCTTATAGAAATCGTCTCCTGATTGTGAGAGAATCGTGGCAATAGCGGCCCGATGAACCGCACCTTCGAGTCGCGTAAGGTAGGTTGCGGGTGTGTCATCTGGTTCTCGGGGTGGACAGCTAGCTACTTCTCTTGCGAGTGAGAAAGAATTTGGCTTTGATGACATTGATTGAGGGGTTTCTGGAACTTCACCAGCCGCATATCCCTCTATATTGTGTCGAGATCTTGAAGGGTTAAACAAGTCACTAAAGCTCTTTCGCGGGCCGGTAAACGTTGATGTGCCACTAGATGGGACAAGTTCGGAAGACAACTGACGAGTATCATCCTGGATATCGGCAAGAGAGCCTATTGTGGATGATCTGCCCCTAAAATTGGGTCTGTTTGAGACTGAAGATCTCCTTGAATGGGCGGATGTCGTGGAGTTATTGCAAAAGGTATTCGGCTCCACAGGTCCACGTCCGACAGATGAGCGGGAAGGGGAAGGAAGGGGCGAAAGATGTTCCCGATCTTGATCCGCGGAAGATATTGCGCGCGGCTGCTGATCGTGCATGAAGGTTTGCCCAGGGAGATTTTTCATAAGAGAAGGAAATAATAGGCTGTGTCGATTCTTCCTAAGAAGGCGGAGGAACGAGGATGTGCTCGAAGAGGCGTCGGTTCTAGACGCGGAATTGTAAACGCCATGGTCTCCCGAACTAGCCTCAGACCTTGACGATTCTGAGAACCTTGCTGCAGGAAACAAGCTTTGATGCGACCCATCTTGCCAGCGAGGAGGGCCACTACGTAAAGAAGTCGTTGAAAGCCTTCCTTGAGGTTCTTCAAAGCTAATATGGGAGGCCCTGACACTTGCCGGAGCAGTGGCAGATACCGGGATTTGAGGGTTGGAATTTTTGGGCAGGATGGCGGAATTGACATCTACTGACTTGGTCTTTTCATGAGGCGCCTTTGGATGGGACATTTTGAAGATGCTTTTGCGTTTGGCGGCTTGACCTAGGTCATCCGTTGTCGGGGACGTGGTGATTATTTTCGGCGCTGGTCACAAGCCATTAGCCATGAAACTCACCGATACATTTCGGGGACCAAATCAACTCACGCTGGGCACTTTCAGGAATCGGTGGAATGGGCGGGGCCTCTGCTTCTTGGTAGGATGCCGACAGCTGGGGGTCAGAAGCATGCCGGAATCTTAGCAGGCTGAATCTGTTTCGTTTGGTATTCTGGGCTCGAAGGAGACGATCCGCCAGTCGTGTGGAATCTCGCCCTCCATTATCGAATGATGTGGAAGGCACTTTCTGGGCAAACGTTAACGATTCAGATCCCCGTGAACCGATCTTGTCTCGAGAATGAGCCATGCGGGAAGCATGATCCAGTCGGCCTGGATCTGTTCTCTGTGGCTTTTGGGAACCATCTTTCTGCCCAACGCCACTCATCTTCAATCCTTTCCACGGCATTATGTAGCAAACCTCTCGCAGGTGACGATGCTCATTGTCGTTTGCTCAGATTCGATGGTTCATAATCTGGCCACTTATCGCTGCAGCAAACTCGTTATGTGCCAATTCGACGTTTTGGAAGGTATTCGAATCCGCAGGGAGGGTAACAAAACGCGTACGATCAGTAGTGACAGTGTCCCAAGATCAAAATGAAGGACCAGTCGGCGGCGGAATAGCTGTATTGCATTCTGGAAATGTGAAGAAGCGCAGTCAGCAAACACTCCACTTTAAAGGAGCAGAGAGGTATCCACCATCTCCAGAGAGACTAACAATAGCAGCCAATGCTCAGAACAACAGTTGAATGCACAGATGTTGACAGACAAAGGATTTGGGAAGCCGAAGGAGTGGAAAAGGTGGAGGTGATGTGAACTCACCGTGGGATTCCAACAAACAATCCCACCGTGAAACTTGACGACTAAGCAGCTCTCTTCCAGGCGGGACAGCAGAGATTCGCAGATTGGTCCCTTTTATCAAGAAGTTCACAACAAGCGACTGTGATTGTTGCCGGGCGGCCTTCCAGTCTCACACTGTCAAGTCCGCAATGGGTCTGATTGGCCTCCTTTCTCTCGAGATGGGCTGGACTTGGGAGACCCGCTGGAAGTCGCCAGTCGAAAGTCAAAAGGTCGGGCTGCAGGGCTGAGAATTGTGCTTGCTGGCATCAACGTTCTATAATCCGAAACCCAGTCGATTTACAGACACAGGTGCATAAACCTGGGATGCAGCCCGAATGTCAAAAGACCAAACACACCGTCCTCATGTCAAGCAGCGGCGGAACGGCGCAACGGGTGGCTATGGAATCGGTGCGGGTTCCAGGGGACATCCCAACTCTGAATTCCGAGCCCAAAAAAAACAAACATATGTTTAACTGTATCTAGCAGTTCTTCATCCAAGATCCATCCAAAAAGCTATTTCTTTTTCCTTTTTCCCTTTTTTTTTTTCAAGTTACAATCAAATACGAATGGGAGACGCAAACTCTGAACAGTGGTTAGGGAATGGTGCAGTGTCGATCAGTCCAAGCAAGCGCCTCAGGAAGATAGTTATGAGTTAATTTGCCTACTGGGTTGCTTTGCATGGTGGAGTGCACGGGTTGGATCCCAGGCTCGAGGCATGATGATTTGATGGCCAACAGACTCACAAGGAATAATAAAGGCTTCATGAATGTGCAGGAGTCTCACGTCCCAACTCTGGAGTATTCTGTAACTACACCCTGCCAATCAAGATGGGATACTCATTCAACCCTCGCCTAACTTAACGGTCAAGCAGGCCAAGTCGGCCCTGAATCACCGCCACCTCTTTGCTCTTGAGTTGGTTACTCCATATCAAACAACTTGCTTTCGTCGCATGTTCCCCAAGGCACCCACTTTTGGTCTGGCCACTGCACTGCAATTCACTGCATGTCATAATTAACTTTGTTTTGCTTTTATGATGAGGAATATCTAGAGAAGCTTGAAGAATGCATATACTGCAAGTGATCACAGGTGCTACACTAGTATCTGTCCCCTTTGTCTCTGCCATCCCGTCCTCCACCAGCGAATTCCTCCCTTCCACGGCTGAGCAGAACTCCGCAGTTCTTCATTCTCAAGGCCGGTCTCCGCCCAGGTTATGGACCAGGCTGCGTGATTCAATCATAGAAACTATTTGGCGAGTACCAAGCCGGCAGCACAATCCCTCCAGGATCCCATCATCGCTTTCGATCCCACGGGCGCCATCTTCAATCCGCGCGCGCTATGGCGACGATGTCGTACTCCGATTCACTATCCGATCCCAAAACGATGTCCAGGCTCTCATAGAGGCGTCGAATATCCTATTCCTCGACATATGGGCATCGACAAACGAGTGGGTGGATATTAGACTGGCAAAGGATGTGGTGAGTTACCTCCCGATTCTCCACGGAAAGCCTATCGTTTTCCTAACCAACAATATGACTTTTTCAGGTTTCATCCCTCTTAGGATTACTTCCCAGCTCCCTAAGAACAGCTCATGTCCCTATCATCCATGATCTGGCCCAAGCGGTCTACGAGTCTTATCCTCAGCCTGTCTCTTCCGTCCCAAACCCACACCACGCTTTTTCGCCTTCAGTCCAACAATCTTCTGAGACTCAGAATATATTCTTTCAAGACTACCAGCCGCTTTCCGTTATCATACCTTGGATGCGTCTGCTGGCGTCTATGTTCTCCACCCATGTTCGACTGGTAAATCTGGGCACCTCGTATGAAGGCCGCGAAATTGTTGGCTTTCGTATCGGTGTCCGCCCTGCAAATGCAGATCTTCCTACTGAACGCCGCAAGACTATCGTGATCACTGGTGGCTCACATGCCAGAGAGTGGATTGGCGTTTCTACTGTAAACTATGTCGCCTATTCTCTCATCACAGGCTACGGCAAGTCTCGAGCTATCACCAAACTAGTCGAAGAGTTCGACTGGGTGCTAATACCGACAATGAATCCCGACGGCTATGTCTATACCTGGGAAACGGATCGGCTCTGGCGGAAAAATCGACAAGAAAACAATCTGCAGTTTTGCCCGGGGGTCGATCTCGACCGTACCTGGGGCTATGAATGGGACGGTAGCGACAGCAGAAGCAACCCCTGTTCCGAGGATTTTGCAGGAGATGGTCCATTTGGTGGCAGAGAGTCAAAGGTGATCGCACAGTGGGCGCTGAACGAAACCAATCACCACAATGTTACGTTTGTGGGCTTCCTTGATCTACACTCATACTCTCAGCAAATACTCTATCCCTATTCTTACTCATGCACCAACATTCCCCCAACGCTGGAGAACCTCGAAGAATTGGCCATTGGTATTGCAAAGGCCATTCGACTTACCGACCATGAACATTACGACGTGAGTTCTGCCTGCGAAGGCTCCGTTAGTTCTCACAAAAAACGCAGGGGTGCCGCCCTGAGAAGCATGCAAAGTGCTGGAGGAAGCGCCCTAGACTGGTTTTACCATGATCTTCATGTCCGATATGCCTATCAGCTTAAGCTTCGGGACAAGGGAGGCTATGGCTTCTTGTTGCCCAAAAAAAACATTGTTCCCACCGGAAAAGAAGTTTATAATGCTGTTCTAGTTTTTGGGCAGTTCCTACTCGGGAGAGGTGCCCAAGATATAGACTGGGAAGGGGATTTTCAGTTCCCTGCCCATTCTCGCCCTAACGTTCCCGAAAAGGAATATCGAGGCCCGGACGAAGAGTACGAGATTTCCAATCAGTTAGAAGACGATGATAATGAAAACGATACTTTGTTGGGGTTTCGTACACAGAAAGTTTGATTTACCCCCTTTTTATTGATCCCGAAACTTCCCATCTACCCATCTGCGCAGCGAAATACCCAGAAATACTGACGTTTAAGAACCTTTAATTTGTTCTGTACATGATGCCCCTCTGCTTCTTTACGACCTGTTGTATATTTTATGCCCTATTTTCCATTTATCCACGTTGGTTCCTTATAATTATGGACGGAATTCAGCGTATTCACTCTTTAGCGAACCAATTTACGACAAGCCCTGGATACCTAGCGGATAGATGGGGGGGGTTTAGTGTGGGTGATCACCCAGGTTGCTGCCTGGTTACTGCCAAGCCGCCAAATAACCTGTTTGGACCAGGGAGGGTGGGAGGTGGATTATATAATCAGTACAGAGTGATCAAGATCACCAACCTTTTCAGCTCCATCTCAATCCATTCTGTATTGTACAGGAGCTTCTGCTTCTGATGAATCTACATTAATTGATATACTCTCTGCAACACTAGACAGCATGGCCACTCCAACTCTGAACAGCCAGTCTGCCCTGATGGTGGAGATGGAGGCATGTGTATGGCATGCACTTGATAGCACCCTGGATGCCTGGCCAAAGAAGACCTGGATGCAGTATGAGTCATGTCAGGAGGAGTGGAGGGTAGGTATCTGTATTATATGCATTCTCTTGTTGATTCTTGCTCTCTTCTGTCCTGTTCTCATGCCATACAACACATCTGCATTGGCCTGGCTGACACTCTCTGGCTTCTACTTGCTAGCATTTCTGCCAGACAAAGGGCTTTCAGGATGGAGAGCTGGTGACAGAGCAGAAGCTGCTCTGGTTCCTGTCTGAATGTGTGGTTGGTCATCCAGTCAAAAGATCCTGCCATTCCCACAACTGTACAAATGAGAATGGAGAGCCTGTTGTGCAAACCCTGGGCCAATCATCCATCAAGGTCTACAAGGCTGCAATTGTCAATCTCTGGAGCTACCAACAGAGCTGTTGTACAAACCCTCACCCCCATCCAGTTGGCCAGGCTGTCTGGGCCCTGCTTGAAACCCATTCAAGACAGAAGCATGAATGCAAGAAGACAGAGTTTGTGAATCACAGTGCAGGAACCCTGCTGGATGAATATCATGAGAAGAACATTGTACAGCTGGTTGAGTACTGCTGGCAGGGCTGGTCAGAGTCCAAAAAAGGCCAGTCAGTGGAGCCACATCTCCACACTACAGTGAACTTCCTAATGGGCCACAGCATGCTTCTCTGTGGTGAATCCTGCCATACAGCACAGCTGGCTGATCTCTTCACCCTGGAGCTGACAAATGAAGGCCCAACCCCTTGCTTCCCCATGGTTTTGATCATGGGAAATGGCAAGACTAACCAGATGGGCCAGATTGAGTATGCCACAGTGATGCACCATCACAATCTCTTGCTCTGCACCATGGCACAGACAGTCTTTTACCTCTTCTACTGATGGAACATTGTACAAGAGCCACTACTCCAGTTCCACAACTGTCAGGACTGGTACCAGCTGCACCTGATCAAGAGGGATGATGTGAGGAAGCCCCTGTTATACAAGACTCAGCTGGACTGGATTTGATGTATCTACAGTGGGACAGGGCTTTCTGGCCTGAAGAAGACCCATGCTGGGTGAGCTGCTGGAGCCAGGCATGCAGAGCAGATTGGGGTCAGTAAGGGCCAGATCTGCTGTGCTGGAAGATGGAACAGTAATGCCCTCAGTCAGTGCTATCTGACTAACATCCCCAGGAAGTTTGTATGGGCCATGGCTGGCTTTGACTCCCACACACCTGGGAACTTCTATCTGCTGCAGGCCAGGGTGCCTGTGTCTGAGTCACTGGAGCATGCTGTCTGGCCCTGGGTTGACAACTGGATGTGGTGGTTTGAGTCATACAATGCCCAGAATTTCAACTCCTGCCTCCAGGGGTCAGAGCTGAGAAGATTTTCAGATCAGAGTGGTTCTTGAGACCAGTCCAGAGAACCTTCTGCTGTGTAGCTGGATAGAAATGATCTGGCTGCTCAAGAGTTTCTATGCCTGCTCCATCATCTTTATACAGTTCTTCTGCAGGACTCTGTCATTCTTCAGCCTCTCTTTCTTGACCACCCCCTGTGGACCAGCCCTGTGTTCATGAGGGAGGACTATCATCAGTTTGCAGAGGCAGTCTGGGTGGCCAACACCCACAAAGAGAAGCTGTACAAAATGCAGCTGCAGCAGACAGTGCCCATGGTGGCAGATCAGCTGTACATTGTACAGCAGGATCTGGGTGTGGCCTGTGGTCATTTACATACTGCCCTGGAAACAGGACTGCAAAAAATTAACAACCAGTTAGAAGCACTGACCAGTGGGCAGGTTTCTTTTCTTGTACAAGCATTTCCTGCTGGTCAAAGAATGATGACAGCAGCTGCTGTCTTTGAAGATAAAGATGAAGAGAGAGACAGTGGTTCTACAGCATCCAGAGAAGCACAAGCCCCAGCCTGTTCATTAGAGATAGCTCCAGCCTCTGCTAGTGCCTCTGTTCCAGCCACATACCAGCTTTCTTGTACAATCACTACAGTCCCAGATCTGTGGCAGGAATGGACAGTTGGTCTGGGGGGTGGCCCTTCAGTACAGAGTCTAGATGCCTTGTATGGAGCAAAATGGTGGCCAGGTGGCACAGAGAGAATGTTCTACAGCAGAAGAAAGATGATCATTGATTATATTAACAGACAGAGACAGGGGAGTGCCAGTGGCAGTGCTGCTGTAGAGGAACTAGAGCTTGTATAGCAGTGTGGAAAGCTCAGTTTGAACAGACTATCCAGAATGCTGCAAGTGAAAAAGAAACTGCCCTGATTCTTATTATGGCAAACCCTGTCCATCATACCCAGCACAGCCTGTTGTATGATAGGAAGATAAAGAAGAAGAGATGCTGAATACATGATGGTGGTTTGCTTGGCTTCACCCCTTAGGGCTACTGGTCCTGGACACTGTGTAGAAGTGCAAATCATGTCCAGGTGCTGTACACAGGGCCTGTACAACTAGGCAAGAGCAGTTGAGAAAAATCATAAAGAAAAGAAAGAAAGCAGACAAGCCAGAAAAGAAAGTCCATGCATACCTAGTTTAAGATGATAGGATTGCTCTGAGAGCCATCCTCTGGCTCCTCAGGCTTCTCAATCTCATACAGGAAGACTGACAGCAGATCTCCAGAGCAGGGCAGGGGGGAATTGGTTTCAATATGGATGGGATCATTTGCTGTCCCACTCTCAAGAAGAAGAATTGGGCGGGCAGAAGACAGTCCCAGGCTGGCCCTGCTGTCTGGTGTGTGTGGGTGGTCAGCAGCTCTGTACAAACTCAGTCCTCTGTCATCATACCTCACTGCAGATTCTGGCCTGCCATGCAGAGAGCAGCAGGATGCATAGTCTGGCCATTTGCAGTTCCCACATGCACCTTCAAAGTGACCATACACATGGTGGCATAATAGGAATAGAGCCATGGGCTTCATCTCTGTGCATCTGTTGCAGATACTGCTCCAGTGCAAAGTTCTCCTGCATGACTGGATTAGAATTGCATTGATGTATGACTGGTGGTGCATGTTAATCTGGTAGGGGAAGATTCATTCAAGAACAAACTCCACATTTCTTTCTGGTTGAGCAAGCAGTTGCTGTGACTGAGGGGAGTGGACATATAGGGCCAGCTGATTCTGTTCAACAAAGAGACAGAGTGGTTGACCATCAGTTTGAGCCTGGGCAGCAGCTTCAGCAAGGTTCTGCTCCATCTGGTCAGGGTGGGAGGGGGTCCATTGAACAAGTGCCCTATATCAACAAGTCAGTGTCTCCTTCTCACATTCCACCAACACACAGGGCTGTACAGACATTTTCTTTCTCAGATTTGTGGGGGGGAGAGAGAGGAGGGGTGAGTGAAGATCTTAGTGGTGGAGGATGTTGTAGCAACACAAAATTATGAAATTGTTCTGTGAGTCAGTCAGCTTGCTATTGTATGATTGATGGATGATGGCTGATGTATAATCTACAGGAAGACTCACAAGAGAAGCAAAGCAATGGTGGTAATGAAGGCTCTGATGAACAGGCTTAGAGTAAAAGAAAGAGAGAAGAGGAGAGGAGAGGAGAGGAGAGAAGAAAGAAAGGAAAAGAAAATCTGTTGTCAAGACAATGCTTAATCTACTGTTTACTGATTCTGATACTACCTGCTGTATGGTGTATTGGTATGGTGTATATAAACAAACAGAGCATTGGGGCAGCATTATGACTGCATCAGATGCTGGTGCTGAGCAGCACTGCTATACACACACTCTGCCCTGTACAGGATAGAGAATAGTATAATCATACTATGTAGGCATCTAGCTATCTACAGAATCTATATTTGCCTGCTCTACAGGATCTTCTCTGAGATCCCCAGCTGCTGACCTGAGCTATCACAGATGGTTGGTTGATCATCCAGTGGGTGCACCCCAATACTGCTGTTCCAGCTGTATGGTGCTGTCTGAAAGACCTCTGTAATAAAGAACTCTCACTGGTCCAAATGGCTGACTCAGCACCACCCTCTGTACCAGCTAGTATGCAACCACCAAGATAACTGTACGACGCCAACCCCCCAGAAAACCTGGTTATTTTTGCGGTCTTGCTGACTAACCCCATGTCTAACCAGGTTACATGGGGCGCCTGGGTAGTAACCCGCCGCAACCTGCCACCCTGCTAACAGGCGAGATGATGACCTTAGGTTTGAGCGAAAGAAAATGCTAGTAATGCCTTGTAATGTGAGATAGATCCTTTATACCCTAGTGCCCACGGCCTCCAGTCTACTTCGTGAGTGATACCGAACCTGATTACACAACATGCTGCCATGAGGCTCTTTCTTCTTTGAGTCTGATATCAAGATAAGCTTAATTAGACTAATCCTACGACGTCATCCAAGGCCCTTACTCCCTCCGCCAAGCATAATTCCAACACAAAATACTCGCCGCAGTCCCTTAGCTTTCATGGCGCCCTGGACGGATTATTTTGAGATTGCACACGAGCCGACGATTTTTTATTCGCCGGGGGAGACGTCTCGACGCCGAATATCGCGGAGCACCCCCGCCTCGTGAAGCAACAGTTTTTATGGAACGTGGTCCTCTCTCCGCTCATACTCGTTCGCCGGAGCCCCTCAGTGGCCAACCAGCCCAATCGACCCAATTCGTTGTTCCAGGATGCAGGAATGAAGCAATCGCTTATTTATATTTGCCTGCTCTTACTCAGTGCCCGTGCCCCGCCAATCTTGGCACCAGTAACCCGATCAGACTCAGAGAAATTCCGTCACAATATACCCCGCTCGTTCATCTGGTTCAAGCGGAATTGAGCATGGGCCGTATCCAGCTCGAGCAATATGATTTGTGAGACATATCTTTTCCCGCTCCTCTTTGCTCCACGGCCACCGAATCCAGAGCAAAAGCAAATATCTTTTATGACTTGGTTGCCAAAAGCCCGTTATCCGTGTGTTACCAGGACTCAATGATCGATAGGCCGCGTGGGAGAGAGATGAGGGGTTCCAATGGCAACGAAAGGAGAAAATAAATATCAATATTTTCAAATTAACTAGCCCATTCCACTCAAATAATAGTTTGTGGAAAGTTGGAAGCCCTCTTGCGGGATGGATTGGTGCAGGGACCTAGCGCCGCGTCCTTCCGCCGAGCCCCACCATTCTCTATTGGTCGACTTGGTCGTTCTGCTTACCGAAAGCTTCGGAATGTTCTGCGCAGACTGGCGGCGAAATCGAGCATCCCTGGCTAGTTCGAGGCGATTGAGGAATCTAAAGGAAGATCCTTGTGATCACGCGAGAGGTGCTACTTACTACTAATCGAGGACTTGAGCCTGTCGCAAAATAGATGTCACTATTAGTTGAAAATCTGTAGACATGATACAACGACCACCCTTGATAGGCCGATCGTTATAGTACGGTATCTGCGGAGCACAACAAAAGTAATTTATCCCTTCCTGAGCAGTTCGGAGTAGAAAATTTGGTCACGAAACCAGCGTTATTCAGAAGTTAAACTTATATAAATTGCGAGGGTACAACTAAACCTAGATATCTATCCAGCCGAGTTGGATGAAGGCCGATTGGTTGATTTGGGCGTCATTGACCGGAGTCTGGGATTCATGGTTCCCGAGAAACATCGAATGAACTCAAAAGCTGCATATGCGTGGGTAGTGGGGTTCCATCGCGGCAGGTATATAGAGTTGGGTTCCGCCCAGTTGTGTGAATGCCCTTAAGAGAGTTGGAATAGTTTCTCGCAAGCTGTAAGGGGATAGCACTGGAAGGAGCTAACAACCCAGGTCGGTCATATAGTTTATATCAGACAGTTACATGCGGTTCAATCACTATGGCAGATCTCTCTGGACCTCTCAATCCACACAACGAGATGCATTCGCCTCAAGCTTTCAGCAGCTTCCTCAAAAAGATGGGTAAATCACACAGTCGGGTCCCGGTGCTGAGGAGAATCCCACTGCCAGCCATTGGGATCATTCTTTTGATTGCGATTGCGAATATCCTGGTTTGGATCGCAGCAGGTGTTGTTTTAGTACGTTCTCACTTCCTTTCCTCCACTTTTGAATGGCATTGGTAACTAGGGATTCTGGCGTCAATCCGTTATATGCGTGTATGTATTTACATACATACAAACAAATGCATGAGGAGGTATGTTGATCTGGTAGGTGGGGGTTTGACTCCTTCCACCAGCTAGATATAACCTCTGCTTCATCTTAGATTATAGTACGTGCACATATAAGACGCCGCGATTCCATAGTCTGCCTGCCTTTCGGGTTAAGTGATGATTTGACTTGTCATAGTCTAAATCTTCCAACATTAGCTGAAAGATCATTTTGCTAACAGACCAAATTAGCATTTCAATCCGTAAGTATTTCACAGAGGATTAGCATATCACAAAATGAAGGCTTCAACACACACCCTATTTCAGCACCTAGCTTGGCTGATAAGAGGATCCCGTGAATCGACCACTAGATCTTTGGTATCAACAGCAGTATTGTCGTATACCCTGGGTCTAAGGCATGCTCTTGACGCGGATCATATATCAGTACGTGCATAGGCGTCCGGTAACCATCCCCTGGAACTATTTCGGGGGACAACTGCGCTGAAACTATCATACCAATCCAGGCCATTGATCTCATGACCCGCCGGCTCTTAGCTACAGGCCAACGGGCAGTAACTGTGGGAACCTTTTTCTCTCTCGGCCATTCAACGTGAGCAAAACTGGCCCCTTTCCCGATCAAGCTGATCGCAAGTCCATCGATTGTCCCATCAGTGGCTAAGATATGGTATAGGATCGTTATAATAACTTCTATTGTCGTAGCTGCCACCGCAGCAGCCGTGTCCTCTAAATTTGATGCGTATGGCAAGGTTGGAGGGATCATTGGAAGCTCAGTCAGCTCCGCATTCCTCATACTTCTAGGAATCATGAATGCCTATATTCTGTATAAATTAATCCAGCAGATAAAAAAGGCCCTAAAAACCAAGCAAGGAGCGGAAGAGATTTGGAAAATTGAGGGAGGCGGGGTCTTGTTCAGAGTTTTGAAGGCGATGTTCAAGTTAATTAACCGGTATATCGAATCATTCCTCTTTGCCGAGACGAATTGCTAACAAAATGGATATCAGCCCATGGAAGATGTATCCTTTGGGAGTTCTTTTCGGTCTTGGTTTCGACACCTCTTCGGAAATTGCGTTGCTTGGTATCTCTTCAGTCCAGGCAGCTAAAGGAACGAGCATCTGGGTCATTTTGATATTTCCTATCTTGTTCACAGGTGAGCCCGCCCCTGCACCCAGAAGGAGTTTGCTAGCTGGGGATCACACTTAACTCAGCTTTTTAGCTGGGATGTGTCTCATTGACACCATCGATGGTGCCCTGATGCTGTCTTTATACATTCAACCAGCAACGCACTTCCTTCCCTCCTCTTCTCCGTCCTCCCCATCCTCAGCTCCCGTTCCAGGGACCACTGCGGGGCCACAAGCGATTTCCCGTAGTCCCCGGGATCCGATCGCGTTCCTTTACTACTCCATCGTATTGACGTGTTTGACTGTCATTGTCGCCGTAGTAATCGGCGTCCTCCAGCTTTTAACCCTCATTCTCAATGCTGCAGAACCAGAGGGGAGATTCTGGGACGGCGTGGAAACTGCCGGGGAGTATTATGATGTTATAGGTGGTGCAATTTGTGGATGCTTTATCATTATTGGTGGTATTAGTGTGTTGGTGTATCCAAATTGGCGGCAGTGGGCGGCTAGGAAATACGCGACCCACGATGGCCCTGATGAGATTATCGACGATGTTGAACGCGGAGGTGGGTCTACCCCGCCATCCCAAACCCGTTCTGATATCACCAAGGATGGCACAGTCATTAATACAAAGAGTCACGAGCCAAATACCAAGTGAGGATCCGTGGCCGTGCTATGGATATACTTCCGAGATATCGCGTGGACTCAGGTGAAATGACTCGTTGAACACTTCATTTTGCCTGCTTGATAACGGACAATTCTCAAGACTCGAACAAGAAATACCTGGATCAATTCGTTGCTTAAATGATGAGTAGCATCATCTGAATACTGGAGCACTTTATTGGATTTTCCAGTCAGATCTAGCCAGGGATGATTAACAGACGAGGGATAGTTCTATAGAAGAGGATAAATACAAGTTGGGGAATGAACCTCCTGAACATATCATCGACAAGAACACGAAGGTGAACTCAATTGGCATTGACTAGTTGAATGACCTGATAAGAATACACATCATGAAACTTTTTATATCCTGTCAAATGATTAACTTTGTATTCTCTAAACATGTGTTATCGTCCCCTTGGCCAGTTTTCCAATTTACTTGGATGTGGACATTATGCCTGGTCGGTGGAAAGCACACTTTCTTCTCTGTGTTCTTTGAGTCACAAAGTCCTTGGCCCAAGGCAATACGTGCCCCATGCTTTCAAAAAAAGCAGGATGAGTCTCTATTAATGTTTCATCTGCCGTATCCACAGCAGCAATTGCACTATCAATTGCTTCAAAAACGCCCTTGACTTGTTCATATAAGGATGATGCCGTCCTGTGGGCAAACGCTTCCAGTGATCTTTGAACTTCCTGATCGATAGAGTCGAATATACCTGTATTCTTAACCTGATTATGGATACAGCATTGCGAGCGAACGTGTACACCAGATCCTAAAACAGGAAAATAGAGTCAAGATTTTGCTCAGACGTGGAGGATTGATAGAAAAATACCTCTATCTCGCGCACAGATCCGGTAAGCAGGAGCCATGCTTTTAGTAATAAGCGATATGGCATGGCCACCAGTAGCATCCCGTTTCAGGGATCTAAGTGTTGTCAAGGGATTTTGTTAGAAGTCCGAGTGCTCATGAAATTAAACCACGAGTTATGATACCTTAGCGAGTTCATATACGCGAGTTGAGCCTCTTGTATGATCCGCTCGATGTCATATTTCCAATATATAAAGCTGGATAATAGGGACCGCGGTGCCTGAGCAGCTATAGAATTACGACAATAGTCAGTCCTGACATGATCTATTGTTGAGTTTATCGAAGCCAACGAACCTCGAGCATTTTCCTTAAGGCCGTCAAGGGCAGAGCTTAGCACGTCGAACCACTTGTCAAAACTATTATCTGCCTTTCATCCAAAGTTTCCCATGCAACCGCGGTATTACTTGTCATACCGGAAATGAGTTCTGTATTCCAGCACCTATCCTTTTGTGTTCTAGTAGAATTGGTGCCATAATGCTTACACCACGAAATGTAGGAACCTGCGCTTTCCATCAGTTTGAACTACAAGGAATGTTGCTGGGAGATCTGAATACCGTGATGCCACTAAGCGTGAAGTTAGCAAGAATTCCACGCCAGGCGGGCAAGGGATAGCCCATTACTTACACTGTCCCATTCCTCGCAAGCAGCGTTGGCTGCAGCCTGTATTGCTTCTCTATTGCGTCCTTCACAAGTCAGTGGCATATTATGTATCTTCTTGAGATTCGCAAGGTGGACTCACTGTAAGAGGTCCTTAGGGAGGCTTGACCCAAATGATGCTGCTCATCCGTCCAGTTCTGCTTTAGTGAGTCGAGTTTCTATGCTCAATTAGTCAAATCAACTTGGCCCATGGGGCTCCAAATAACAAACCCCAAATAAATCCCTTATTGAAACTTGATTCAACAAAGGTTGGCTTCTCGCATGGGTACCAGAATCATACCACACTTCTAGAGAGTTAACAAGAGATGGCAGTGAAATGTTCAGAAAATTGCGACCGGTCGCATATAACGATGCTGCCGGAATAGAATGGCAGAATCGTCTCAATGTCGGTATACCGCTCAGTTTAACTTGCTTTTCATTGAAAGGCCTTTGATAATGACCCATGTCAACGCAAAAGACCTCAAACTCCACGTCAGGGAACCGCTCCCTGAGTCTAACTGCAACCGAAGAATTTCTCGCATTAACAAACAGTGCTAAGTGACTACAGAATCATTAGAATTGCAGTAACAAAGTCGTGGGTACTTTGGAAGAATAGTACGCAATTTCGGCTTCCCTGTGCCTTCTCCAATCCAGCACGTTGCCTGCATATGCGAGCCTCAACTCATTTTCTAGTCTCCGACGTTCAGTTGTGTCAATTTCGTTTTCATATCTACCCATAATTCGCGAATTTAATTCCTAGAATTAGTATTAGAGTCCCCACTGAAGCCATTTAGTGATACTGGGCTTACGGCAGCGCGCGAGCAGACAACAGTAAGTCCGGGTGTCCTAGTGCGGCCGACACTAGGCGGCGTTTTGACGTGCTTCTCGATAACATTCGAAATTGTCGCATCATCTATGGCGCGGCTAATTCCAGATACAACGAAAATATGATCACAGTTTGAAAGATATTGTCTCGTCGTTAAGACTCGGGCGGCATTAGCGTCACGAAAGCCTATAAATGATTAACGGCTCTAATAATTAATAGGGACAATGAGGATAGCGAATGGCTGCGGGGGAAGAGCGGAGGGAATAGTATACCCGGCAAATCTGTTAGAACAAGGCCAAGTCGAAGCACGGCGGCCTCGAGATATACTCTGTTAACTTGTTAGTCTTCGAAAGGAAGTAGGAACAGTCACTAACCGAACAATTTTCACGAATGGCCAGAGAGAGGATTCCATAAACTGCTCCAACTGCCTGGAGCACGCTTGAGAAGTGGCTGCCGTTTGCGTTAGGAGACCACCCTCTCCATTACCAGGCCAAACGATGGACCGAGCCCAGTCGCGGACTATCTCCAAGGCTCGCTCGTAACTACCCGAGCTGAAATCACGTAACCGAGCTAGGTCCCAGTTTGGCCGATCAGAAAAAGCCGCAGAGAACCTGTCTTCAGCAGCTTCAGATTTCCGTATTGACTCTGCAACGTCATCGGCGGAGAGATCTGTACGACTCCTGAAATCAGGGGCGTGGGCAAATCGGTAGTCATCGAGAAGTTGGACAATTTCCCGGTCTAATTCCTCACCACTAAGATACTCGGTCTCCATGACGTAGGGACGTGTGGTGCTCAAGTAGGTGTCGGTATTCCGTGGGAAAGCGCGTCACCGCTTCGCCATCGCTATCCTTTTGTGACGGTTAGTTGCATGTCGTTTCCGGTCAGCACAGATAGCATCTTACCGTTGTAGCTAGCTCATCCCGGTGGAGCAATGCATTGATCAAGCTGCTTTTGCCTAGATTTAGCGGTGTTAGCGGGGATAAACAGCCTAGTTCACGATGTTGGCTGCAGTCACCTTCACCAGGGTCTCCTACCACAGCTACGGTTCGTGTTATAGGAGGATTATAGACCGATAGCTCTTCTGCCGTTCGAAGAACATTATTAAGACCTTCATTCACAATGCCTGACTCGCGAAGAAGCTCTGCAATAGTTTGAGCAACATCAGTTCCATTTCTCAACTTGGTTTGAAATTCCGCGTTGAAGTACGACTGATTCTCTTGAAGAGTCTCCTGTTCGATAGGGTATCGATAGTCGGTTTGTGGCCGGTGAAAATCGTCCCCGTGTGGGCTTCCGCGAGGCAAAGTAGGGTGTGTCGTCCGGTTCGAGGATGAATTACGTCCTCCATTGATATTCATTTGCGCAATGCCATCGACTACGGATATGTGGCCAATAGAACTTCGGATAGAGGGCGCGGAATCAGATGCCGCATTGCGAGATGCAGGATTGAATAATTCAGAAATTGTGATGCCGCCAGAGACGGACGTCGGGCTGCTGGTTCGTGCCGAAGCCGATGAAGATGATTGTCTCATTGAATTGGGATGAATTTCATTTAACGCTCTAAATGGGGCCGCTGCTGACCTGGATAGTTCCGATGGTGTCCTGCTAGACACACTCACCGGAAGAGTGACATTACGAGGGGCCGCTGTTGATGTGGATAGTTCAGACGGTGTCCTGCTAGACACACTCGGTGGAAGGGGAACATTACGAGGGGACAAGGCAAATGTGAAGTCAGTATGTTCGAACCGGGATGGCTCCCACGATGTGGCATTTTGAGAACTTGTCCCTGAGGTTTGCGACCTAGGGTCTAACCTAAACATGCTCTGTGCCAGTGTAGTGATCTGACTCGCATCGTTTTGGCGAGCGGGACTAAGGCTAACGTTTGATGATTCATTAGAGCGCCTCGAGGAAGGCCGTGTGGCTTCCCGATCCGAAGAGTTCTGGTGAAAGAGGCCCGATAGGGTGGACTTTGGGCGATGTTCTGATGACCGCGAGGGTGTTGGAGGGTCAAAGATGAAAACACCTCTGTTGGAGCTTGTCCAAGGTGATCCGAATGGTGGGGTGTCCATTCCAACAGTTTCGCTGATATGGGCGGGATGGTAAAGGAATAGCAAAGGGAATCGACCAAAGATTCAATATTTATACATCCAATACGGAGTAAACATGACTGGCAAAAAACTATGAATCTGGGTATTGTTGGATCAAGCGAGCCACAAGAAAGTTAAATGCGGAACCTGACCAAGGTTTATATAAAACCCTCCTGGGAATTGAGGGATACAAGCGCCAAAATAAGCCAGTTGAGCGTTTCTATTCTTCCCTGCAAGCCACCGCATGCCCTAAAAAGGCCTTTGCTAGCTTCATATTTTTGGTGGCTGGATTCGCGGTGGTAAGTTCATAGGGCACAGTATCATCGTCCCAATATGAATATTACCCAATCTCAAATATTCCCTTTCAGTTCGGTGTTTCAACACTGTTAAGATAAGGACGTATGGGTTCGGATCATTGACCAGTTTGTGAACTGACTTCGTGTCGAATTTTGCTAAGCGCTGGACAGTGAGAACCAGACATGCGTTGGATGCGCGGGGTTCCTGCCCCGGCAGAACAGGATGGGTTTATCCATACAGTAACGCCTCTATATAACGAATCAATTTTTGGAAGCCTGTTCTATTCGTTATATAGAGCTACCATACAAAATACGCTCTGATATCCTGCTGCTGCTGATTTTCAAGCCTCCGAGCCCCTAATCTTCTCTCATAACGATTTAACTGTTGAATTATCTCTGTATCTCCCTTATCCTGCCGCTCTTCATACAAGCGAAGCCTTTTCACCATGTCAAGGCCTTCGGTGGTGCTGATTTGCGGATCAGCTTCCATATTTATAGTCTCTTCCTCGTCCTCAGGCTCCTCTGGCTCCAGCTGCTCAATTATCTGGCGCTCTAGGTCTTCAGAAGAGTCCTCCACTACTTCCTCCGCGGGATTGAGGAAGTTTTCAATTTTCATTGGGTTTTGAATACCAGAGGCCGTGCAGAGCCGTTGGAAATCATTGGAGATCTGTATAATTGAAAGATCTTTGGGCAGAACAGCTGTCTTCTTGAACAAGGCTCTCTGGAAGCAGTGTTGAATAGTGGCAGGCGCCATATCGATATCCCAAGCCTGTATTCCCCAGCGTAGGGCCTTCAACACGTTCATTGTAGTAAGAGGATCACGGTTCGACTTGTATTCTTCAAGCATATAGGTAATCCACTGCCGTTTCCAGTGACACTTCCAAGAATATATAATCCCTTGATCTAGTGGCTGATATTTGCTCGTTGCATTTCGTGGAAGCCAAATAATCAGTGTATTCTGTAGGGGATAAAGGCTCTTATTGATATTTTCAACTGCTAGTCCATGAGCAGAGAAATTATCGATTAAAAGCACTACTTGACGGCCAGTCATTTTGGAATCAAACCATCTTAGCCATTCCTCCATGAGAATGCCCGTCATCCAGGCCCTCTTGTTGTGCCTCCATTTGAGATTGAGATTCTCAATAATGATGCCTGCGGCACGGAAAGCATGCGGTTGTTGAGCCTTTCCAATAAACCATATAGGTAATCTCTCAGATCCATCAGAATTGCAGCATAAATGGGCAGTAATCCGTGCCTTTTCCTTCTTTCGGCCAGGAAGAGAGCGAGTAGAGAGTCCTCGATCAGGAACCATCTTCCAAAGGAGCCCAGTCTCATCACAGTTGAATATATCCCTGGCATTGTAATGCTGAAGAACCATTCCTATATTCTTCATCTCTTACTCTGCATCAATAGCACCTCCTGCCTCTCCATGGTATATACGATTCTTAATCGATCGTCGGTTTTGAAATCCATCAAGCCAGCCATTGCTGAATGCAGGCATCTCGCGGTCCTTATATACTGACAGATTCTTCCAAAAGAGAGTGTAATCGATGTCTCTGCCTGTTGAATCCACATATATAATGCTGTTTCAAGCTCTGGCCAGTGTTCACGACGGTAGCGCTTCTGGTTTGATGTACGGTTGACAGGCCGATCAAGGTGTTCGTATTGTTTAGAAAGGATCTCGGAGACTGAAGATAAAGCAATCTTTTGCGTATACGGAGTATAGGGCCTCAAACCACTGCTTCAAGGCCTTGTTGGAGAGGGAAGGATCTTAAGTTAGTTACTAACAAGGTCATGTGACCAAAGCTGCTGTTCGGCATTTTTATTTATCCGCGCCGAGTCTTATCTCTTATCTGATTACTGATCATCGTCATCAGGCCCTGGCGGCGATGATGTTGGAGGTATGGAGAGGCCTGGTCTCCTTTTCTTGCTCTCTTTCTTCCCCTTTCCCTTTTTTCTTATCGACCTTCAACTTGTATATAGCTTTCGGGTTGTCTTAATTCATTTTACTTTCGGTTTTTCTTCTGTCCTTCATCGATAAGCCGCCTCGTTCGAGTCGCGACTGAGAGTGACCTACTCCCTATGATCTCCAAATTCGAGACGCCGGGATTATCTCGTGCGACTGGACACCCACACGTCATGCAATGAGGGTGATCATAATACACCTTAACTCTCAAAATGAAAAGTCCAAATCGTGATATCCCTAGGCTCTCTTCTCTGGAGGCGGTCACAATTGATCTCAAACCGTGTCCATCGATATTTGTCTTGCCGACGCATCTCACCCTTGAAGAATTACATGGAGTGGAGGAGACCCTGACAGCCTGTGGTGCTCTTGTGACCTATGACATTAGGGAGGCAGGCTTGGTGCTTGGGAAGCTCTCTCAAAAAAAGCGCGCTGCCCTAGAACTTCGTGCAAGGGGTCTATGGACCGAGGAGATCTCTCATCCGGCTGAAACTCCCTGTACCCCCCCGGTGAAAAGGCGTCGCCTTAATAGCCCTGCAGGCACGGTTTCACCAGTGAAAGAACCTCAAACTATTGATCTAGATTCAGTGTCTGAGTTCGAAGGGTCCGATAGACTGGATTCTCCGAAGAAAAGTCATAAAAAGGTATTAAAGCCACCGGCAACTCCAGCTGCTTTGGCTCCAGCATCAATTGATCCTCCGCTATCTCCACCTCACGACAACGATATACGGGTGTTGAGGCTGGAATGGCTACGTGAATCACTGGCAGCGAGGCACTCCTTGCCCATGAAACCATATACCGTTTATTATGCAAGCAAGCAACCGCGGCCCGATACCACTAGCTATACCACATCCCCTTTGGGACTGGGTTTGGAATGTGACACCGTCCACTCCACGCCTCAAACTCCTTCTCGAAAAAGAGATGGAGATTCCCTAGGGATCCTCGAACGAGCGAGGGCAGATGCAGCGACAGTCCCCCGGCCTCTCCTAGTTCCGTCCGTGAAATCTCAACGGGCAAGGTTAAACCATGGAAGCAGGCCAAGCCAGAAGCTACGCCCGAAGCTATACCGAAAGTCAACGTCCGAACATGAAGGAGCTACTCCTCTCCCTCCCGCTCCAGATTGGGTTCGTGACAATGTGCTGTATGCATGCCTTCGGTCTGCCCCTCTCCACCCACCCAACGAAGGATTCATCAATCAGCTTCTCAAGATCAAGAGAATCCGAGAGCTCACTTTGGATGAGATTGGGGTGCGAGCCTACAGTACCTCTATAGCGGCGATTGCTGCGTATCCTTACCCTCTTCAAACACCCGAAGAAGTCCTGACTATCCCCGGATGTGAGACAAGGATAGCAAATTGGTTTGCAGAATGGAAGCAGAGTCCTGATGGAATACTGGAAGCAGCGAACCAGCTTGATACCGATCCTGTGTATTCCACCTTGAACATGTTTTACAACATATGGGGAGTCGGTGCAAAGTCAGCCCGGGATTTCTACTACCACAGAAATTGGCGCGACCTCGATGATGTCGTTGAACATGGCTGGGATAGTTTGTCTCGGGTTCAACAGATCGGAGTTAAATATTACGATGAATTTATGGAGGGTATCACACGAGCAGAAGTCGAATCCATCTCGCATGTTGTGCTTGAGCATGCTCGCAGAGCGAGACCAGATTCTGATTATGACGGGAAAGGCATCGAATGCATTATTGTCGGTGGTTACCGAAGAGGCAAAGAACGGAGTGGAGATGTAGATATCATTCTCAGCCATCGCGACGAAGGTGTCACGCACAACCTTGTTTACGATGTGGTATCTAGTCTCGAGGAAGACGGTTGGATCACCCATACCCTCGCATTACATCTTACCAACACCCAGCGCGATCAGCAACCGTTACCGTACCGCGGTGAAACTGCAAGAGGGAAGCACCATTTCGACACGCTTGATAAAGCCCTGGTTGTATGGCAGGATCCACACTTCGATTCATCAGCAGCTTCCGAGTCGATGTCAGAAGAGCATGAGACAATAGCCCAACCCAGCTCCGACGAACAGGACGATAAAATCGACCTCAGCGATAAAAGCACTTCTGAAACTCCGTCACAAGAGCCGGCTATTACCAGAAAAAGGAACCCAAACCTCCATCGACGCGTTGACATTATCATCTCGCCGTGGCGGAGTGTTGGGTGCGCAGTGCTCGGCTGGTCCGGTGACACAACATTCGAAAGAGATTTGCGTCGGTATGCCAAGAAAGCCTATAATTGGAAATTTGATTCAAGCGGCATTCGAGCACGGGAGGGTAGTGGAGGACGTGTGATCGACTTGGAGAGTAAGGGGGAAACATGGGAGGAGAGGGAGCGATTGGTTATGGAAGGATTGGGGGTAGGATGGAGGCCCCCGGAAGAAAGGTGTACACGATGATTATGGTTATTGAATTTCAGGAACGAGGTAACGAATATCCATCTATCGGAGGAAGAACTGGTTTCATTTCCTCCCATATTTCAAAATCTGCGATGCAAGAGCTCTTTTTATGACAACTCATGAGACTTGAAAAGTGAAATAGTTTATTATGATAACGATTCCTTCCCCAAAGATAGGGGATCTTACATATGTTTCTTAAGAAATTACTCCTGATATCAAATAACATCCATCTACAATTGAACGCCCCGAGGGTCAGTGCAAACGTAACCAGAGTCGGCCTTGTCCATCGGTATAAGCTGAGTCATTGTTGGTTAAAGTATGGCTTCGGCCATAAAGCAATAAGTCCATATATCTTACAGTCGGTCAAGATAGTAAAAGTACACCAAATCATATAAACAACCAAAAGGAGCATTTACTGGAGCACAACCATGCCTTAAGGGACTCCTTGGGCAAGGTGCTCGCCTAGAGAAGAGAAGGAAATGCCATCCTAATCAATGTAGAACGATGACAATAATAAATCAAAAGGTATAAATACAAAGCACAAGGAAGAAGCTTAGGCAGTAAAGGTTTAGAAAAATAATCATCAGATCAAGAACGCCTGCTACAACCGTGACAGACACCATATATATTCCCAAAGTATTAAGCCAGGAACAAGACACAAAGCACATGAACCTAAATCATTGGTCTTGAACTCGCCATCTCACCATATTGTCCTCGACCTCTCGTCGTATCATACGCATTAACAACTCTCATCTGCCCGCCTTCATCGGCCTGGCTGAAAGCATATCCACGCTGCTTGCGCATTCGCTGGACCTGCCTGACTTTGCGGATCGCTTTCTGGAATTGTTCCATGCGTGGCCGGTAGTCTTGGACGTTGTACTTCTGGATCTCTTGTACATGATGATAGCTTTGCGGGTAGTACATCCGTTTTGCATATTTCCAGGCGAAGTCACGAAGAAGGCAGATCGCAGGCAGAACGATTGCCATGAGCCAGAACGTAGGCAAGGGAAACAGATGAGGAATTATACCTTGGTACTCGGTGGAGAATCCGGCGCCGATATTTGGTGCAGCGTAAGCGTATGCAGGTATGAATCCCATCCAGATGAGGAAAGATCCGGGAATGGCGAGCACCGTATATTTGGTCCAGATGTTGGTAACGAGGGCAGCTTTCCCGAGAACAGTGGCAAGAACAGCGGTATATAAAGCTGTACCCCAAACCCAATGCCCTGCAACCGTTCCATCTTTGGTTGGCAGGTCGTAAAGGAAGATTGCTTGCGAAAGGAAATAGGCGATCAGAGAGTGGTAGAAACCATTTCCAACCCAAGAAAAGAAACTGTGCATCTTGAAGAAAACGCCCTTCTGCCCGAGTTGGTAGAGTTGTGGATATCGGTCAAGCAGCCTTGCGGAAATGAACTGGTCGAAAATGCCCATCGCGAAAGGTGGCAGGACGGTGAAAAAGACATTATAAAAGGAAAGAGTCCATGATTCGTATATGACTTGGCCAGAAAAAGAGTTTTGGAACGAATACTGGAAGAAGTTAGAAGGATGTATGGAACGAGAAGATGCTCTTGATACATACCCAAAACTGTGTCATGTATAGCGCAATATTTTTATAGAACGAGTAGAGAATCACTTTGCTAATCCGTTGATAACTCCATGCACCGTGAACCAATAGTAATTTCCGAAGGAAGCGAAATTGAGCGATTGAAACGTCAGCACTTCGCGCTGCTTGAAGGCCTTCAACACCACTTATTCCAACACCGACGTGGGCGGCTTGGATCATAGAGACATCGTTCGCGCCATCCCCAATTGCAAGGAGGAGTGATTTGAGGTGTCGCTTGACAAGCTTAACAACCAGTGCCTTCTGCAAAGGTGACACTCGACTATACGAGTATTAACATATGAAAGTGCTTGATCAATCAGTGAAAACAGAACATACCAACAAATAACTGCCTTGCACTGAACAGCAAGGTCCAAGAAAAGCTTCTCCATATCCCTTTCCAAAGCAAACGTCAACGACTTCCCGTCAATAACAAGTGCAAGAGTTTCTATGTCTGAGCCAGTTTGACTTTGTACTGCCTGCAGTTTCTTTGACAAACTCTCGCGCGTCCCTTCTGCATTCTCTTCATTAATGATCAATAAAGTCATATCTTCTGAAATTAGCTTGCAGCTCATGCCAATGTTAATAGCTGTTTCCTGTCGATCCCCAGTCAACACCCAGATCTTGATCCCTGCCTGCTGAAGTGTGTGGATCGTGTCCGGAACACCGTCCTGCAGCCGATCCTCAATGGCGGTGGCACCAAGAAGATAAAAGTCCTTCTCGATGAGTTCAGCTGCTTTGTCAAGCTCTTCCGCTCTGTTCCCACTGACGGTCGTGGCAGCTTTATCGAAGATCTGCCACCACTGTTGGAACTCTTCCTCAGGAATTTCTCTCATGGCAAGACACAATGTTCGCAGCCCTTCCGATGCGTATTCTTCCAAGTGCTGAAGAGTGACATCTACAATTGGGTTGTTTGAGTGAAGCCGCTCGAGAATCACTGTGTCGGCACCTTTGCAGTATATTCTAATTTTTCCATCGGGGCATCTGAAAATCGTTGACATACGCTTTCTTGTTGAGTTAAACTCACAAACGGCGAGCAATTCGTACTCTTCTTCCTCTCCATTGGCGGAGATTATCACGGACCGAGGTTTTCTATTCGTAAATTGATAACCGAGCAGAACTGCGCCTTCAACCAACGCTCCTTCATCGGGAGACGCGGCCTGGTACTTGATTTCGCCTGGTTTTTCATCTTTGCGTTCAGGAATAACTGTGTGGCACGTAGAAAGTAGAGTTAAAAATTGTTTGATAGCATCTCGAGTTTGGTGCGATTCCAGATTCTGTCTCAATCTCTTGAAATCGTACATGGCCGTATCAGAATCATCGTCATCGGTTGCTCTTCGGTCTTCTGGAACCACTTCTGCGTATTGAATGCCACTAATAGAACACTGTTTGAACTCCATCATATTGCAGGTTAGAGTGCCAGTTTTATCTGAGAAAATATACTCAATTTGTCCCAACTCTTCCACGAGAGAAGAGGTCCGGCAGGTAGCAGGAGTGTCCGTTTTGTCGTAGTAGATATCGAGGTCGGAGTTGATCAAGAAGGCGTGACAGTATTTCACGATTTCTATCGTGACGAAGAGGGAGATAGGTACCAAGTTGGAGTAGAGAACCCAGTAGGTAAAGATATCCGAGAAGAATTGGGCGGCAGCATTGACGTTTCCATAGTCCAGGTAAGAGAGGTTTTTTGAGGCCGTAATTCGAACAATCAAATCTCCAATGGAACTAATTAGACTGAGAGCGATGAGGATGGCAACAAGCATCAAAATCTGCAAATTTACCATACGCTCTACAGCGGTTCTTTTGATCGGGGTTGCAGTTGCATTGCGCATGAGCTTTGTTTCATGACCAGTGAACACTACCACGCCGTGGATCCAAGGAGTATTGCGTAGCGTTGCTCCACGAAGAAGCAACTGATCGGGAGCAAGTGGAAGTTCTTTCTCTCCACCACCAGAATGCATGGTTAATGTGGCCTCGTAGGTATATAAGCTGCTATTGGGTTGTTCGGATTTCACTCGACCAGCCAGTCTACTAAGTTGACCTGGGCTGACAAGGTCAGAGGTTTCAGGTATTGCTTGCTTGACTTTCAAGTTTGTTTCTCCATCTAGATTAGCCGTCTCGATGTAACAGAGGCCTTCCGGTTCCGAACTTGCGAGAAGTACAAGATCTGCGGGGAACGGCTCCTCCGATTCAACTCTGAGGATGTCGCCCACGGAAACATCAATCCATCTGGTTTCTTCAAAGCCGGTCCCACGAAGGACTCTTGTTTTCGAATAATTAAGAGATTTATCAGAATTTTTGCGTTTAAAATCTTCTATCAGTTCTTTAATAGCTGAAACAAGAAGGACAATTATGAGAGGGCCAATTGTGGTGTAGCGATTGGTCGGCGAAATGTTGGGTATCTGCTGGAGGGCAGCGGTGAACAAGAAGAAAAGGTTGGCGTATTTCGAAAATTGTTCGAAGAGGAATTTCGGAAGAAATGTGAAGACATTGTATTTGGCGGTCGAGATGTGATTGTCCACGTACTTGTTGGCTTGGTTTGCAGGGGAGTTGTTGAGGTAGATGACACGGGGTCCGAGCGTCGCAGGATCTGGCTTTCTTCGTCCGAAGCCGAATTTGAAATCGCCAGCCCTGCGTCTCTTTGATTTCGGTCTTGGTTCACCTTCTGTTCCGACCGTATCTGCCCTTGCTCGCGCCCCGGCTTCAGTCAAAGGCAGGTCCATTTCAGAATATTTAGGCGCCATCCCAAGCATAGTTTTCGCTCTCCCCACAAGCCCTCCTCCCAAGGTAAGGATACTATTGCGATCTCTTGCCCGTGCATCTCGGATCGGGAGGTGGTCTCCATCCAGGTCGGCCTCGGGGTAATACCCTCTCTCATCGTCAAAGTCGTCTATATCGGAATATCGTTGATAGTTGTGCAGGTCCGATGTCTGGGAGTAGGTACGAGTAGCTGGGCCCCCGCCATAGAATTGGCTACTCGCCGATGGTGGCTGTAGGCCATCTTGATGGGGGACATTGGACGACGCACCGGCCCTTGTGGACGGATGCCTGCCGCCAACAAATTCATCGTAGGAGACTGACGCGCGTGGAGACGGAAGATCAGAATCGTCGATGTCATAACGTTCAAGGAGGTGGCCATCATTCACGGGAGCGCGCTGTCCGGAACCGTATACCGGAGTGTCATCGAGCTGGAGAAGATCATTGTTGCCGGCAGCGGATGGATGGCCTCCGGGTGGCCTACCGCTGGTCATATCTCCGTGGGTTGCAACGGGATTACCGCGATACCGTTATGGTTGAAGTATGTCGCAGCATGGAAGGCAGGAGTAAAAAGGGAAGAGAAGGGGATCGATGCGAGTAGGGCCCTGCTATCCGTGAAATTAGACAAGTCACTGTCCTTCTCGGCGGCGTGCGCTGTGCGGCTTCGTTGGGGTCTGGGCAGGTTATCGGGGGGAAAACTGCGCACGAAAACGGTTGCCGGAGTAAAATCGTCAAGTGTGGGTATCGTTACGAATACTTCTGCCTCCGATGTTATAAAGAAATTCAGCGGCCTGTTTGAAGAGATGTGTTCTGCAGATGAATGCGGTTCCATACAGCCACAGCTTGGAAGATGGTTGATGCTCACACCCTTGAAACGCTGGCTGAATCCAACCACGCTGACTGGCCCCAAGCTCGCAGCCCACCCCTTTCGGTTCAGTGTGTCAGCGGCGACGATGGCATCGCCCGCGCTCCGTGCTTCAACGAACCTCTTAAAGGTGAATATCGTAAATAATCTTGATGCGAGAATCGGATTACAGTTCTCCTGTATGCTCTATGCTCTACTCTATACGTAATACAAAAATCTACACACAGATAGGCCTTATTTGGCGGGTTTCATTTTTTTTTTTTTTTTTTGTTGGACCTTTTTTGGTTTTCTTTTTCTTCTTTTCCCCCCTAGAGATGAGTTACACGTAAGACTGCAAATCCACCGCTGCTCAGCCACCCTGTCGCTCTCATCTTCATCTCTCTCAGGCTGAGCCCGTCCTCTCGCAAACATTTAAGTGCGGAAGTGGATGGCATTCCGGCCTTGGCGACCCTCTGTGGCCTATGGGGCATAGTAGAAGCAAACTGTCGACTCGGCAAGCCTTCCCCTTCGGAGAGCAACCCTTTATCCAGCCCCTGCTCCTAATTTCAGCTGCATCAAAACTTCTATCGATGCTCCCTGCGGGGGGCGAGTCTGCATTGCAAGTCGCCCAAGCTTTACGCGCTCTGTGAATATGGTATCCCGATCTTAGTTGGATGATCCGGCAAGCCGGTCATCTCTCATTCGCTGCGCTCGACTCAGCACGCAGTCCCTTTTGATCCCGCTTCTTCGAATCCTCTCCTAACCTCTTTTGAACAAGGGCGTTCAGATCTCTGACCTTCGCCAAAGCGGCCGTAGAGCAAGCAACCATGTTTAGGGGGTCTGCAGGTGTTCCTTCAGCTTTCGTGTAGAGGGCTATTTCGCCCGTTTTGTCCAAGGCGATAATGACAGCACCCTCGCTAACAGCCTCCTCGCTTGAAGTTGCATCCATGAGCGTGATTTTGCCTTCATCATACAGGTTGAAGGTTATGGATAATGGCACCTTCGTGAGATTAAGAGGCACCGGCACTTTCTCTTCGGGAGAATAAACAGTTACCTTCCCATCACTGACGGTCGACTCAGGGATGCGGAAATGGAGAAGTCCAGCCATGATGGCAAGGCAGCAAATGTCCACCAAGCCGCCATCGGCGTCAACGATGTGAACATCCGCTCGGACGTTCCAGCAGCTTAGACCCTTCGCTATGCACAATGATTCTGTGTCCAGAGCATTCGATCGACGCACAATTTTGTCTAGCGTACGGGAGAGTTGCGTCTCCAAGTCCGATTGTCTAAAAAGAGAAAAAAAGCTACCGTTAGAATACGCTGCCAGAGCAAACGAAATCCAATCGAAAGTTGGAATAAAACCCTTGGGGATTTATACCGCCCTGTCTCGAATCCCGGGAGAGCCATATCATTCAGTTCAATAGACACAGTAAAAATGCCATCGCTGTCTCGCTCGGGGCGGGGTGCTGTCACTTCGGCGGATATGCGAACAATTACACTATACAAAACCTAGCGATCAGCAATGCAAAGCTATATTGAAAGACGTCGGCATCCAACAGGAAAATTAATTGAGATAGCAATCACTCACCTCGTCCTCCCGAGCTGGACCTTCACGTGCCCATACTCGTCGCCAAAGGTAAGGTTGAGGGGACGAAATTGATCCAAGGCTCGACCGTCAAGGCGCACATTGTTATGCAAGGCCTCAAGAATAAATGAGCGTTCGTTTGCCGAGAGCTCTGTATCCCTGGCCATCGTTCAGTTAAAGCTCACTCGCCCGCAATTGCGACTGGAGAGCGGGAGACACGCAGATCACCATCAAGTACTACCTACTAGGTAGGGCCGTCACGAGAAACAACGGGAAAACGTTATTGCGGTCACCATAATTTTTCCAAACACCCTCGTATGGAGTACTCCGTACTGGCTTTTCATTCTGCCCCGGGACCACAGACTATTCATGTTCTGTAATGAGCTAGACTACAAAGAGACTAGTGTACAAACAAAAGGGCTCGGGCGCCAATTTTTCCGACATGCTCCTGAGGTCATGATGGAGGGTATATATATACTCGTATGCTTGTCATATGCTAAGCTACCTAAAGGGGAATTTCGTCTACCTAGTAGGTAATCTATGTGAATCACGTGAGCGATGGGTTAGTTCCGGTACGGAGTATATTTATTCCGAAACTCGACGCAGCTGTGACCTCAAGCCGCGTCAAAAGAAAGCAAACCAAACTGCACTTCTCTACGTATTGAACAGGATAGCAACATTGTCTTAATCAAATGCAGTGTCAGTTCTCGGCTCAGCCAGGAACTCACAATGACAACAGGTGTGTATTTCTACTTAATCCTTGATAGCCTTGGCACGAATCTCGCTAACACTTTGGCAGCACATCGACCAACGTTTGACCCTGTAAGCCAGATATGCGGCACTGCTCTTGCGATTCAAGGCACTTACATTATGGCAGGCCCGGGGAAAAGAAGCACTACGAGGACCCGCCTATCATCAACGACTCCTTCCGGCACATACTCACCTGAAAGTTCGGTGAGTGACCGTGAATAAGGTTTTGGAAGCTATTCCTACTGACGCTGATCACAGGAAACCAGGACAAGGCGGCGATGCAGATACCGAAGTTCGCGATCTTAGAGCAGAGCTTTTGAAGGCGGAAGCGGCCCATTTTGCGAAAAAGGCTGGTATCCCAGAAAACAAGGCCCCAGCTCCGTCGATAGACGCACAGACCCCAAAACACCTTCTAGAAAATGGCTCGGATAGTGGAGATCCTATAGCAGCCGAAGATTTTGAAGCAAAACGCCGTAGGATATTAGAGGAGACTCGGGATATTGATGCGGACTCGGATGCGGATGAGAGTGAGAGCAGTGAAGAGGATAGGTTCGTCATTCCCGGAAGCCGCTTAGGGTCCTCTATCCTGACAGTTTGACAGTGATGATGAGGAGGATGAAACAGCAGAGTTAATGAGGGAATTGGAGAAGATCAAGCGAGAAAGGGCTGTGCAAAAGGAGAAAGAGGTTTGCCCCGCTAAGCCCTGAATGCTTTTGGAATGTTTCTCATAACCTGGTACAGGAACAGGAAAAGGCGGCAAAAGAACAGGAGCAGCGCGAATACGATATTGCAAGGGGAAATCCCTTGCTAAACCCCCAAGATTTCAATGTGAAAAGGCGCTGGGATGATGATGTCGTTTTCAAGAATCAGGCGCGAGGCACAGAAAACAAAGGACAAAAGGAGTTTGTTAACGTATGTACCGGCCCGTCACCTCTAGAACTATCAAAGCTAATATGAAGCTCTAGGATTTACTACGATCCGACTTCCATAAACGGTTTATGGTGTGTTCTGATACCGCTCTTCATTCTCGATTTCCGTGCGTGCTGACTCGTCTAAAACTAGTCTAAATATGTTAAATAAAATCGCCACACCCAAAGTACTTCCAACTCCCTGAATACCTCCATGGACCTGCGACACTCGCAACTCCAAGCAAGCATGTTGTATTTCTAGTGTAGGTGTCTTGGGGCAAATAGTGGACGAATGCATGTGGCGTCGCACAGCCACCAATGCAGCCGTCCCCTGAATGGATGTGGCGAATATCCCCAAACTAGTGTGACTTTCGGGTGGAACCAGCCACATGTATCCGCCGGGATCACTCCAGCAAAATCGTTGCATTTTCGACGAAGTGGGCCAACAAATGACCCCGGCCTTTCTAGTTTAGCGAGGAGCTTTACGGAGTACGTTTCATGCATTTCGATCTGGATCTGGATGTTCAGCGGGGCAATCTTTGGTTGACTGCGGGGTTACGACGGAAGAATCAACGTCATCCATTGGCTGCCGACGGAGAACAACCTTTGGTACTGTGATGCGCAATGAATCAAGACATACATAGAGGGCGATGGGCCACATAGTCCCAGCATTTGCCTAGTTATATTTGGAATTGGGTTTCGTTCTTTCCCAGATGGGGGGTTGATGCTCAGCTGCGCCATAATATTCCATAGATCGGTCATACAGGGGGCATGCGTGTGGTGTCGGGAGCAGAGGGGATTGGCGCCCACTATTTCATCGGGTCTCAACAGCTTCGTCACGATGCTGAACGGGACATAAAAGCGGGTGCTTTCCCTTCTGTTCCCTCATTCTCTTTCCCTAGTGATCCGTCATACTATCTCGATTGTATTTCTCAATTGGAACCCTTTTTTTAAATTAAATTCTCGGCTACCGCTTAACCCAGCTTGATTTCTTGCTGTTTTGTAAATCATGTCTTACAACGATAACGGCAACTATGTATCCAATCCCCTATACCCGTGCTCCGATTTTCGCATTTTAACCTCAATATTCTAGGGTCGGAGCACCAGCGGCTATGGAGGCAATGACAGTTCATATGCCGTGAGACCCCTTCATATTCGCTTACGATTCCTCAAGCCCCGTGCAATTGAGTATTTTTGAACAGGCTTTATGATCCCTACTAATGATATATGGATAGTCTTCCCGTCGTGATGACGACTACGGTGTAAGTCGGCTAAGCTTCCCCAAAGCAATATTTCATCTATATCTCTAATACGATATCTCTGCGTCCAGTCTTCCGGCCGCGGAAGCTCCCACGGGGTAAGTTTTAGAGTGCTGGCGAGTTCCCAACGGTTCTGACCTGGCTAGGGCTCTCGTGGAGATGGTACCTATGGGTCCAGCAGGAGAGACGACGACGACAATTCATATTCAAACTCCGGCCGTGCTGGAATGAGCGGAAGCTACGGATCTAGCAACAAACGTGATGATGATTCCTACGACTCATCACGCCGTGATGACAATGATACGTACGGATCCTCTGGCCGTACCAGCGGGAACAATTCCTATGGTCCTAAAACGAGAAATGATGACACCTACGGATCGTCTGGCCGAACTGGTGGCTCTGATTCCTATGGATCCGGTCGACGTGACAATAATAAGTCCTATGGATCATCCGGATATTCTGGAAGCGACAATTACGGCTCTAACAAGAAGCACGACAATGATACATATGGATCTTCAGGTCGCACTGGTGGCGATAATACGTACTCCTCGAACCGTCATGATAACGGCTCCTACGGGTCTAATAATCGCGACAAGGACACTTCCTACGGCTCGTCTGGCTATGGGTCTAGCAAGAAAGATAGTGATGATTCATATGGTTCTAGCAAACGTGACAAGGACTCCTATGGTTCATCTGGCTTGGGGTCTAACAAGAAAGATAGTGATGATTCATATGGTTCCAGCAAACGTGACAATGACAAGGACTCCTATGGTTCATCCGGCTATGGGTCTAGTAAACGCGGCAACGATACACACGGATCGTCCGGATATTCGGGAAGCACTTCCTACAGCTCTAGCAAGAGAGATGACAACGATTCCTACGGCAGACGCGATAATGATTCTTCATACGGGTCATCTAGGTACGGCTCCGGCAAGAAGGATGATAATCCTTACGGATCTAGCAAACGCGATAATGATACGTATGGGTCATCCGGATATTCAGGAAGTACCAGCTATGGTTCCGGCAAAAAAGATGATAACAACAGCTATGGCTCCTCGGGCTATTCCGGGAATACCAGCTACGGATCTAGCAAGAGAGATGATTCATACGGGTCTAACACCCGTGACAATAAGTACAGCTCGTCAGGCTATGGGAGCGGGCACCGTGACGATGACAGGAACGGTATGTTCCCCTTAAGCAGTTAAACTAAACATTGGCTAATCTACATGTGGAAAGTGTAGAGTCCATGACAAGCAAGATCCTGCACAGAGTGGGTGATGTGATTGTAGACAAGATCAGTGACAGGATTGAAGGAAAGGGGAAATGAGCTTTTATGGTCGACAAGCTGTATTCTGGATATAATATTTTAGTATCTTAAAGACAATGAGTTCCGCGTCATACCAGCTTCATGTCATACTTGCATTAGAATAACCCCTTGCCTCTCATAAGGGGCTATGCCAGTCCGGATGTGGTCCTGATTAGTAACGGTCAGAGCGATCAAACAATGCAAAAGTACATCATCCCGAACAATGGAAAAACGGCTCAGAGTCCTGAATACTCTAGCCCTTCAATTGGTCTCAAAATGGATCCGCAGCAGCCGACATCCAAAGCATTCCAAAGTGTGTTTTACAATGCAATACCGTGCACAAGATGTGCTAATTAAAACCAACCTAACAGACCGTATAAACGCGGACATCGCCCAACTTCTCCAGCGATTCGAAAATATCATGGCTGCTGCCACGGTACGGTCCAGGGGCTTTCTTTGCGTACAGTCCTTCCCAGTGGAGCTAACTTGTCTCTAGGTGGATAATCCCAGCCATACAGCCTCGGCCATAGAAACATATCAGCTTGACGTGGAATCAACTGCTCTTGTCCGTACCCTCGAGCCCGTCCTGCCTTGCTTTACCTTATAGCCTTCCTTCGATTTTGAGCTAAACCGTTTCTTTCAATTCTAGGTCCGCGCTGTGGAGGACATCTTGGCCTTGACCAGAACCATGAAAGAACTATGGCTTTTCGGAAAATTGGATATGTTGGGCGAAGATGAGAGGGATGTAAGAAGGAGAGAGCAGCTAGACAAGGATGTGGAAATGGTGAAGAAAGCCATTGATGAACGGCTGCTGAAGTTTCTTTCACAGTCACTTTCAAGAATTTAGCCAAGCATGGAGGGATTGGTATTACTCGGCGTTTTTTGGGAAGTTTCGGGACTGGCTTGTTTTGTGAAATGGCTCCAAATGGCGGCATATTTATTCGGAGTTGGTGGAGACAGCTTTCTCGAGATACCCAGGTTTTCAGGCGATGTAAAATACCAGAATTTCTATTCTATAACTAATTTGATATTCAAAAGGCATCATGGAGTCGTGTTACAAGAGACAATGTTCAGCTCAAGCATCGTAGCTTGGTTTGGGTCGCGAGCCGCGTCTTCCCACACCACACTTCAAACTCAAAGCGTACAACTCGGTGCTTACAGGTAAATCTGCCCCCTGAATTCTTAGTACATGATTTGATTAAGCAGTAGACGGACGAGTAGCGTTTTCCTTGCATGGAGGCCATCATCGCGGGCTTTACCATGTCTCCCCATTGCCCCTCAGCATTCGCAAACTCCGCAAAACTACCGCCGCTTACGCTTGTCGTCGCAACAACACCAGTCACCTCCCATACAAACCCCAGTATTTCTCGCCTTGGAATCGGGAATTGTGGAACACTTCCATGGCCTCGCATAAAGTCTGACATGAGCTTTTTTGCACGTATAACGACGCGCCCGCCTGCCGCAGCCCAACCCCAGCTCCATACCCCTAACGCCCTAAATGCGGTGATAATGGGAAGGAAAACATATGATTCCCTCCCTAGCAGATTTCGACCACTTCCGAAACGGTTGAATGTTATTATAACGCGCGACGAGTCGGGAATGGTATGCGAGCGGGCGGCAGCAGAGTGGAAGGCTGCGAGAAAAAGAGAGTGGGAAAAAGCGCAGGAGAAGAAAGATGAATTTAGGACAGAGTCCAAGAGCTGTTCGTCTACGGAGAAAAATGATTCAATCGAGGAATTGGAGAAGGAAACCCCTGATGTCCTTGTGTCTAATGGTATCGGATCTGCTCTTCTCGCCCTACGAGATAGCTTCAACCCTTTTTCCCAGAATGGTCGACGAAGTCTCGGGAATGTCCTTGTGATTGGCGGCGCCGAGATATACGCATCCTCTTTAAAACTAGATCCCACTGGCCTAGGTTGCAAAATGAGGATTGTCATGACAGATGTCCGTCGGCCTACTTCGGAAGCCGAGAAAAACGATCCATCACGATCCAGCAATGGCTTTGAATGCGATACTTTCTTTCCAATTGATAACTTAGATGGAAACGATGAGTGGAGACGGGCTTCTGCGGGCGAAGTATCAGAGTGGGTTGGCGAAGCGGTTCCAGAAGGCTGGGTATGGGATCAAGACATTGCTCTTCGCTTCCTCGGGTATGAGCGAAGGTGAGAGTAGGTAGTGGCAAATACACGCGTGCTTGATCTACTTCTCACATATCTCTAACCTTTATTGCTGGGATGGAGTGAACTACCCCAGCACGCACTTTACCATGAGCTTTTGGGCAAAGCATCAGTGAGTTACAGTTAACACCGAGCGGAAAACTGAGTCACTTGGCGCCAAACAATATTTCCTTCCCTCATTAGGGGCAACATAGTCTCCTTACAAGCCAGCTCTTACGACTTAGCTAGCGCTTATATATATCCTTGCCTATTCTTGCTTTATTTTACTTACTTCTCTCATACCATGTTCATCTGATAGAGAAAATGAACCAGGCATCGATCGGTTTGCGCACTTACCAATATGAACAGTTTTGAGGCTGACTGAAGACTGAAACACAGCCTCTCTCTCGTCAAGAACTCCCTTGGGAAAGGGTATGGTTTGCAATGCAGAGTATATTACTGATATTTTCACCGTCAAGATGTATATTTTATGATCCCTAGCAATGCGCACACTACTATATATATAAGTTCAGGGAAACACAGAGTATGTTATCAGGTCACATGTGGTACAAACGGGCTTCCAGTTTATCTCTTCTGATACCCTCTTTTCCTTTTCACAAAGTAGGCATGTACTTATTTCTACATCTATTAAAGAATGTATTTTCTATTAAAAAGGAATGGTCAATGACTCAATGAGCAATGTATCACCTATAAGAGCCATTCCGCACAACCAGCATGCTCAAGGGATAGCTCCGCAGTCTGCTTTAGTCCAACCTCACAATTACAAAGCTATCCCAAATATGACCACAGGGTTCTGTCCCCTGATGGTGAGGGGAGGCGCCTCCAATACATCCATCATTTGGGGGAGCCTTTTTTTCCAAGCATTTTAAACAAATTTCCACTGCGGGACACTAGGATCAGGAGATGTTCTCTTTCTTTCTTTCTTTCTTTTTTTTTTTCCCATCCCTTTTTTCTCGCGGTGCTGCCTGTAAATGAGATGCTAACTCAGCGACCCTGTTTTGTGAATTTTTATTTCTCACAATGTCAAGTGAACTCAGCATAGATGGAGCTAACATATAATGTTATGACTCCTAGTAGATTTTATCTACTTCACAAGACCGATAAAGTCTCAGACCAAGTTGTGAAGGTATCTATAAGGCCACTATCTTGCCATGCTCGCCCTGTATCTGTATGTAAACCAAGAAAAAAAAAGGAATGAACAGAGAAGCTATAACACTAATCTCTAGGTGCCCATAAGGATATCAGACAAACGCGCCAGCTATCCAGCTTAGCATTCTAGAAAAGAACCACACCAAAAGGGAAAACAAGGACTTCTGGTGCGGACCAAACATATCAACAGGAAATATTATTGACAAAAGAACATCCAAAGCCAGGTACTTGCACTCGCTCGCTCTCTTTCTGCGAACACGTGTTTTACCTCTGACAGAGCTACCAAGCAGCTCATGCTTCTTCGGACTTGTGGGTTTCTTTCATAAATTTCACGAACCATTTTTTGTGAACCAGGCCAGCATATTTTCCGTCACGGAGTACACACATGTATCGTAGGCCTAGTTTCACAAAGCATTGATAAACAAGGTTGATCGGGGAATGAACATCCAGTGCCACAGGGGACTAAAATGAGATTAGCTGTTGTACCAAGAGAAATCGAGTTCATCGACATAGGAGAAAATAGTGGGGCATACCGGGTCAATGTAAGGCGTAAAATCCGTCGGTTCGAATCCCTCCTGCTCTTCGACACTGCTCCAGCCAGCCCATGTTGAGTGCATTGACATCAAGCACATCGCATCTTCTGTTTCTAGTTTATCAAGCGCGAATTCAAGCTCGGGAGCAGGGATAAACCCGACAAGAATGCTATCACGTAGGATAGGAAGACCACTATCCAACTCCCCACCACGGAGGAGGATATCGAGTTTTGTACGAAGCTCCGAGGCAGGAACGAGAGGAGACTCGGTAATATCAATAATACGGGATTTTCGAACAGAAGGCACGATTTCACCGAGTTCGGCGTCGGTAATCGGATTTAGGTTGTTATCGAGATAGGGATAAGAGTTCATGTCCGTTAGGAGGTCCTAAACTTGCGGTTAGGGAATCTGGGAAGCCATTGTTTAATCGTTGTACTTACGTAGATACTCAGAGGCTCCATTGCGTTCGCCGTCCATTTCGCACATAAAATCGCAAGAGAGAACGGAAGTACGTGATCAAGGCTACCGGTTAATTCAAACAAAATCACAACTAGGGTCACAGACAGTCTAGTCACGCCGCACATCGTGGAACCCGCTGCAATAAGGGCATATACTCCAGGGTTAACGCACGCTAGAGGGCCTCGAGAGCTTGGGCAGCTTCCAAAAAGGAAGAAATTTGGATAGTGAACAACAAAATATTGGGCAATGTGGCCCACGATCCTGCCCATCATCCCTCCGACAACCATTGACGGCACATAGATACCAGCTGGTACCTTAATGCCAAACGTCACAATCGTCAGGAAGGCCTTGATAACAAAGGCGATAATAAGGTAGCGAATTACTTGTGGGATTTCTTCCTTCGTCGGACATAACCCTGTATTGCTTGCCTGGGCGTAATCGCAGGGACTTGCGAGCTCGAAAAGGAGCTCAGATACTGCCAATTTCGTATATCGGTTCCACCAACTCATAATACCGGTTAATAACGCGACTAGAATTACTTCCAGCATTGGCCATCGCTTGATAGCTGGAATCTTTCGAAATGACTGAGCCCAAATTTTTGATGCTTTGATAAAGAGCGCTCCCGCAGCTCCACCAAGCGCACCAAGAATCATAAACAATGCAACTTCAAATATTTCCCAGTCTGAGACGTAGTGTACTTGAAACAATACAATCTTTCCGGTACCGTATGGGTTTAAAAATTTTAGGGAGAGGGCGGCAACCTGCAGCATGTAAGCGTTAAGGACCATGATGTGTGTCTGGAGCTTGGTTTAAATTGAACCTACAATACAGCAGAAAAATGTTCGAAAAAGGGTCTTAGGAGGGAAATAATAGCTAGAAGTAGAACAAGTTAGCACACTCGAACATGTTCATGCTTTTGAAGATCACATACCTAACTTCCTCCAAACTGAATAGAACGCCTCCAATTGGAGCTCCAAAAGCAACACCAACACCACTGGCGGCACTCGCGCTCAAAACTTCACGCCGTTTGCCGTCATTATGCTGATACTTTGAAAATATCCGACAACAAATATTGCCAATAGCAGTGGCAATATGCACATAAGGACCTTCCTTGCCAACACTCAAACCAGATGCAACGCTAAGAACCAGGGCTAGAGTCTTTATGATTAATGTTTTCATTCCAAGATAACCATGAATAACAAAGCCACTAAGAATGACTTTGACCTCTGCAACTCCACTGCCTGCCGCGGAATAGTAGACCATTGGCGGTGCAGATTCTTCAAAATCGGTTACGCTAGCATCTGAGCCAGCTTTGCCGTCATTTCGGCTGAAAACATCCGCTGAAGAACCAGCTCCTCCTGCAGCCAAATCTTCGTCAAGTGTGGAGAGCGAAATTGAAGATGGAACAACTGTCTTGGTGAGAAGAGTAAGAAGGCAGGATGCAGTAGCCAGAATAACAGCCCAGGCGACGAAGGCAAGAAAGTCTACCCAAGCATTTTCTGCTTTTGGAAGCCGGAATATATCGGCCCACGTACTCCAAGATGAGCAGTCATCTTCGCCAAGACAGCAGTGATGCTTACTGGAGAACCAGTTGTCTGTGCAAAAGCCTTCCTTCAGGTCATATAGAGCCCTTTCGGTCACATCCACGAAGTATGCAAAACAAGCGGTCACGATACCAATGACAGCGACGAGAATCCATCCTTGGGCACCGTCCAGCCAAGCCAAAAATCGACCACGGATATCCCTTCGGCTTCTCAGCTCGCGGAGACGTATTCCGTCGGCGATGGTATCATGGACCCAGTCAGTGGACGTAAACTGATCGTACCAAACCCGATTGTCTGAAAATCGGGTCTCCTCCTGTGAAAGAGGGCTGTTGGACCATTCAACCGCACCATTAGGGCCAAATTTTGTAGCTTGGGAGTTTGCACGGCTATGATTTTTCGACATCCGAACACTTCCAGCCGCACTGTTATGCCTGAAGAAAGCATCCGGCCGCGTCGAAGACGGTATCGTGGTATAGGAGCGTTGTGTATGATCGCCACCTAGGAGGCTCGATCTCTCGCCCATGTCCTGTGAGCGTCTCGAGGGTCGATCTAATCCGGTGAACTGAATGCCGTGGCCACGTCGAAGGGTCGACGGCGACGGAGGGGAAGTTACGGGTAGGAGGGCTGAGGATTCGTCGTCCACATCGTCGTCTATCCGACGTTCGGCCAGCGACCGCGAAGGTGAAGAAGTTGAACGCGCCATTTCAAAACTCAGAGCCTAAACATGATCCTTTTCGGGTGCACGCCACCTATGTCAATATTAGTTAGCACTCTAGGGAAAGCTGCGACGTGCTGAAGCTTATATCAGATGAGAAGCGACTGTGACTAACGGGGGCTGGACAGAAGGCCCATTAAGGCGTGTCTCGTGCCCAGCTAAGATTGCCGGGAAAATGACGATCACAAGGTGCAATAAAGAGGGTCAGCTTTGAGGTTTCAAAGTTAGCTGCAGGCATATCCTGCAAATGGACAGCTGTTGGCAGGTTTGGGAATATAATGTGCTATTAAGAGGGTGTGGACGGTAAGAGACATACTCACTCTGATTGACATCTAACCGTCCAACGCCAACAGTCGAGTATGCTGGAGAATCAGCTCACGGAGAAGCTGCAGTGAGGAGGCGAACAGGGGTTGGCGACGGTGAATATATCATCTGATGCCTCAACGCCAGTGCCTTGCTTCCGAGACCCTCGACTTTGCTTGGCGTGGAGACAATTCGCAGAACCGACAGGCCCAACCCCTACCACCACCACCACCGCCGCCACAAGAACAATGACGGCCAGCCACCACCGGTGATGTCCTTGGATCCCGATTATTGGTATCGGCTGCCACCTCAGCTTGACTATGATCTATATAATTCAATAGGAATGCCATGCCTATCTCCGTTGACTGATTCTTTTTCCTCGGAGGTATTTGCTTTGTTTACTTTCCAGCTAGCCTTGCACAAAGTGCTTAATTATGCAGTTCAAATTTCAAGCTTGAAGAAGAACAAACACCGATACTCCAGTCGCACAGCAGGTGAACCTGTTCAAACAGCAGATTCATGTTGGGTGGAGGATGAATTAAATGGTCACTTCTAACAAACTAAATGTTGAGGCAAATAAACAACAACAAACACCATCCGATGGTGCCTTTGCGAAACTTAGCTGCAACCATATCAAGTGCCACCCATAAACCCGTCAATGGACCCTCTCCCGAAAAAACGAAAGGAAAGGAAAAAGGAAAAAGGAAAAAGAAAAGGATAACCAAGATTCTGGATCAAAGATTTAAAGGTGCGCACTCTGTGAAAGGTTCATGTTTCGAGCCATCCAAGCAGTCTAGGCACTGCCAACCATGATAGAGGATATATTTCGGCGCCGAAGGGTGTTATATCTCCTTCAGCTCTTCGGCCCGGACGGAGCACGGAGGTGTTGAACTCTTAACTGTATAGTTTACTCCTCTTGGCGCACTTTGGTCACTTCCGGAGAGCATAAGCTCCTCGTTCCAAAATTTTGCCAAGGAGCATTTCTCGTGCTTCATGGCGCTGGTGTAGGTGTTCCTTTTTTTTTTTTTTTTTTTCCTATGACTGTGAGCCTTCTGAGGGCTGTTTACTCCTCACACACTTTGGAAAAGTCATCGATTGCATCTCCCTGCTCTCACTCCAGCTATCAGCCATCAGATTGTGATCTGGTCCAGGGCCGTCGTGCCACAGCAGCGCGCCCCGGCGCCGCGACGTGCTTTTCAACATGGCCCTGGAGGTGATGATGTCATGAGGGATGCCCGACTAACTAGCCTGTTCCGTGTTAAGCGGTAATCTTCGGTGCTGATTTCCGTATTCTTGGCACGGGATCGCCCCGACAAACATCATCCTTTTCTTTCCACGGATGGCAAACAGCATCATCCTGTTTGCTGGTCCTCTTGAAAGCACTATCATGCTCAGTTATTGATTCGAGTGCTGGGTAGCAGAGGTCTAGATTTTTGCTTGAATGGCATATAGATCGTCATAAAGGACCGTAAAGCCTCGGGCGGAGCGAACATAAATGTTTGGCTCTCCACCCCACAATTTCTTCGAGTCGAAACTCGCACCATACTCAAGTTAATTTCCCGGTTAGGAACAATGTCCACGGACCGCTCTCTGGACGGCGCTGCTGCTCCGTGTCCAATGTCCATCACTTTCGATCAGTTCATTATTTTCGGGGATTCCATCACTCAGGGAGCCTCGTCTCAGGAGAAAGGCTTTACGTTTCAGCCGGCTCTTCAAGATGGTATGCCGCCCCTCACGGATCGCTACGAAGACAATACCCTTTTGAACCAAGCAATGCCTTTGAAGATGGAGAACTCAAATGCTCTCTTGAAATGCAGTGTATATAAGGCGCCTCGATGTCATCAACCGTGGATTTAGGTACCCATAATCCACCTGGAAACCTCAAAAGTGTCTTTTCCCACTCTGACAAAACCAGCGGATACACATCCCCGCAGGGCTTGACTGCCTTAGGCCAGTTTTTCCCGCCAGTTGAGAAAGACAAAGTCCGGCTTATGGTATCTGCGTGCCCTCTTATGATTGCATTTCTCCGGCGTCAGAGCATATCTGACCTTACCGCGTAGACTATCTTCTTCGGCGCAAACGACGCAGTTTTGCCCCCCTATGACCAACATGTTCCACTGGAAAAGTACCAGCAAAGCTTGAGGAGTATTATCACTCATAAAGCGGTGAATGCGCAGAAAACCAAGCTCCTTTTGCTTACGCCGCCACCAGTAAACGAATATCAACTTGAATCCTACGGTCGTGAAAGTGGTTATTCAACCCTCACGAGAAAGGCGCAAGTCACAAAACTATACGCGGATGCCTGTCGTGAAGTAGGAAAATCGTTGGATACCCCCGTGGTAGATATCTGGTCTGCCTTTATGAAAGAGGCTGGTTGGACCGAAGGCGAACCATTGGCCGGGTCGAAGGATGCGCCGCCCAACAAGAAACTTGCCGAGTTGTTGTGTGATGGTAAGCAAAGCCCTACCCTGTGTTTACGCCAAATGACCTACAGCCTGGCCCCATCCCCTAACCCGGACACCCGCTAAAATGCTCAGGGCTTCATTTCACCTCGGAAGGCTACAAAGTCATGTATGCTGAAACCATGAAAGTAATACGGGAAGAGTATCCAGAAGAAGCGCCAGAGAAGCTACCGATCCTCTTCCCACCGCGGCTCGAAGCCCCCGGGAGTTGATAGTTAGCGAACGGCTTTTACCTGAACTTTCTCCCATGACCTCTTAGTGGCATACTATTGCATGAATTAACGACCCCGTAGTTATGACGCTACTTGATATAAAGGGCTTGTAATAGTTATATAGCTCAACGAGCCGCTCCGGGGGTTAATTGTAGATGCCGCGTAATAATAGCTAGGCAATCTGTCACGCCTTTCATGTCGCGTAGCAGCGAAGATAAACGCCCGTTTTCATCCAAAGTGACCCCAAGCTGCCATAGAGAGGCACTGATAATTGAGCCAAAACCGTGTCCTTGCATAGATAAGCTAGATACAAGCCCGCTGCCTCTCTGGTAGCCCACGCTCTGTCACTGGCTTCGGTCAGGACGGGCCAGGAAGCGCCCTAGGGAGGAAAAAAGAATTTCTCCGAGAGGTTGCACGACATCGAGCGGGTTGTTCTGGAAAGCCAAGCCCAAAAAGCCAAAACCCACGCATACGCTAAGCCCAACCAGGCTCAATTCTCCATCTTCCGATCGATCTCAAGGTTGGATTTGTGCCATCTTTATTGAGCCAATCTGGAGGGAGAGAGGTTGCCAGAAAATAACATCATCATCATCATCTTCATCATCATCATCAATCCCATCAACAAATTCTCAAGAGGCAGAAACACCTCCAGGCTACTACGTTCCTCCTCCAACTGCCGCCGCCGACTTCCCTTCTTTCATCACCTTTTCAAGCTCTCTCAGTAACTAAATCCGCCACCACACCACATCCACAGTCTGCTTTCACGCCAGAGTTAGATGAAACACTCTGTGTTAAAGTTCTCACCCTTAACAAGCTCTTTATCATCTCTCTGGATCAACCTGGTGAAATTTTAGCGACCCAGCCCATCTCCACGCTTTCAACCTATCCCTCTGAAGCCATCCTGTCAAAGAAAGCTACCCTCAACCACACGGCCATTTTCTTCGTCACAAAAGAACAGCATCATCCTTCCTGACAGCTCAGCCTGCTCTTAAAATAAGGCTTATTCTGCTCCCAGGCTACCTCCATACTGAGACAAGTTTCACCCCTCCTCTTTCGGTCCTATATCTACAGTCTACCTCAGCCTTTTTTCCATCACTCCATCCATCTCGGCAAACCAGAACACGACTAACAAAGTCACTCGGTCGCTATCATCCTGTCTCTGGCTAGAAGAGGATTTATCTTTATTTCGATCTAAATTAGCCCCCTTCCCCGACGTTACAAGCCTGAATTTACATGGTACATCTGATCTTGCGAGGTGGGGAGCAAGGGGTTGTTTATAAATCCAGATTCAGCCTGGGTGGGCGGGGGCCTTCAGGCCATCTCGCGAAACTCGGTGCGAAGCTGTGAGACTGGCAAGGAGTGGAAAAGACGTCTAGTACCTGGTTATTACCAAGTCTACGGATACAGCTACTAGCTCTTCTGGTCTTTTCGCAGCTGTCGCGTTTGAGGGGGAGCATCCCGGATGCTTGAGGCAGTGCAATCTTTCTCATAGATAAGCCTCTTGTCCTCGAAAGTCCTTCTTGGTGTGCCAACAAGCTGGTTATGGATGCGCAGTATCCTTTCGCGTCGAGAGAAGATATCTGGCGCGTCCACGAGGAAATCAAGGATCTCTACGCCACCCAGCTAGAGCACGGAGAACGGATCGCAAAATTAGAGCGCCGCAGGGACGATGATGCCCGCATGAAAAGTCTTTGGGGCCCATTTTCTCCTTTTCCTTCTACTGTTAGCAATCCCCCGGTTCAAGGTAAGTTGGCCCTAGCCACGGTCAACATAAAAACCTTTCTAACTGCGGATGCTTCTCTGGCAGAATCCACATATAACTCACCATCCGAGCCGTTCAAAGGATTCGACCAAGGGCATCAGCATAACCCGGCGAACAATCTGATCCTAGAAAACGAGGAGGACACGAGGCGAGGTGCTTCAAGAGCGAATAGTGTGCGGTTCGACGAAAGCTCCATGCACGGGTATTATAACCACGCCAACCGATCCGCTTCCGAACTTGCTCCCATGAGAACCGCAAGTGGATTGGGAGGTCACCCACTTACCGAGCGCTCGCTTTCCCATCGGTCAGACGGCAATAAGAGTTCCTCTGGACAGTCGCATCGCACATTCAGCCTAGGCTATGATAATGCTCGAGCGGATGGGTCCACGACAGGAACAACCATGACCCCGCCTCCTGGACTTTTCATATTGGGCCCCGTTCCTTGCATTATCCGATGCTGGCTCACGACCCACTTCTCGAACGACTCCTTGCTATATGCTGCGATTTGTAGTGGATCGCACTCTTCTGCAATCAGTCAGCGTATGATCCAGAAACTGGCGCTCGAAGGGGACATCGCAGATAAAGATGGTGCGCGGTGTATCAAGCTGCCTGTATATTTCCCAGAGGCGAGTATTTGCCAGTCGTCCTCCCGCGCTGGAAGCCCTGCTCCACACCTCCCGGCCATTACGGTCCAGTTCATGGTTCGTGAGGCACGCCCAGACGATGACAAGACTATCCAAATCTTCATCGGCAGCGATGTTTTGCGCCTCCATAATGCGGACATCTTGTTCTCCCGAGACAAACTGCTTATTGTAGACGATGAACGAAATAGGATTTCTGTGCCGCTCGTCCGTCCTGAAAGCCAGGAGGTGTTTAAAACTTTATCAACCGTCCCGCAATCGCATCTTTCACCTGTTTGCGAAACTAATGGTAATGGAGGTGGCAACCACGCCCTCGGATACGAAAATGGTGATACAGGGATGACAAGCAAGCCGAGCCAGTTCAATCTGCCGCTTCGAACATCGACTGACCCCATTATTTCCCAATCAAGGCGCTCTGCTCATTTTGCGGATAATCAGGACGACCATGGTCCCGATGAAGTGCACACGAAATCTACCGCGGATGAGAAAGCTCCGGAAAAGTCTTCAAAGGCTGAAGGCACCGGCGTCTGGGGACCTTGGAGACGTGATCAGCCGGTCAACAAAAGCGAGCCAAGTCCCTATTTGGCTACCTATCAGCGGAATGTCCGAACACGGAATATGAAGGTGCTGAAACCATCTAAACCACTTTCATCATCACGCCAAGTTTCTGGTGGCACTGCGTCGTCCGGTGGAGAACCATCGTCCAGCGGTTCTCTGGATGGCGGTAGCAAGGCTGCGAATGGCGATTTAAGGTCTGAAAACCCGTGGAATAGAGCTCGCAGTTCGAATCCCGTTGGTGGTGCCTCTGCGTTTGGCTGGCTCAATTCCGGCCAGGGAAAGCCGGCTGCCGGTGGTACTGACTGATCAATTGGTGGCATCGTCATCATCACAACATCGCAAGAGCAACCAGAGCAGAGAAAGGTCTAAATGACCGCCCTTGCTCTGAGCTCAGAGCCACATTGTCCCTGCCCTGGTTGAACTTGAATGCGCCTGAGATGGCTGTTCATTTGGAAGTATTCTGCGATTGCTCATGAATTTTGATGCTTTTTGTGGCTGAAGGACGTGTTTGTTTGCTGGCGTATGAATGCTTCACCTCTCGCTGAAAGATGCCAGAGAGTGCACGGTATCATGTGATGGAACCATTATGCTGTAGCTAGTTTTCATACTGTCAAGCCTGATGAACAAGAACCAACAAGGCCTAATGAATTGATAACTAAATGAAATAGAAATATGCAAGATTTTCCCGGCCACAGGTTTCCTTTTCTTTTTTTTTTTTCTTGCTGTTTTCCAGCTGGGTGTCATGTTTGATCATCATGGCGTGGGCAACCGTTGCAAACAGAGCAAACAGCGCTTTCCGCTTCCCCACACCACGCTGTGCCGTTTCCCCGCTTTCTCCAAGTCTCTTCATGCCTAGGCTGTTTGGCTCGGAGGTTGCACACCGGATATAAAGCGCAAATTCGCCGTCGGCGTTTGCATCCTATCCAGACAACACTTAAATCCTGCTTTGTTAGTATTTTGGCTGTAATATGCTACTTGGAAGAATACCTTTGGCTCCAGCATCCTCGTTGTTCTCTACCACCAGCAGAAGCCAAGTTCAGATTAGGCGATTGAATTCAATTGCACATAAAGCAATGGCAACTTCAAAGAATACCCGGATCAGTCAGTGCTTCCTTTTTCTCATTTAGTGCTGTCAATCAAAGAAAAAACACATCCCTTTGCCATGAAGATGTTTCGAAAACTGGTGCTAACCTGGGTTTGCAGAGAATCCGGCTCTGTTGTATGTATTATCCACCTAGTGCCAACTGCTCCATTCGATATATCCCGAGGGATCCGTACGCCCGCTTGGATGACCATCTGACGAAAAATGTTAAATTACAGTGTCTGCGATATCCAGGAACGTTTCAGGCCAATTATCTATGAATTCCCGAAGATGTGGGTGCCCATTTGTTCCCCCTTCATGTCCAACCCTGCCGCCGTACCAAGCCAAATCCAACCAAGACGGAATCCAAACCTAATCAGCTCACCGCAACTCCAGGGTATCTACCTCCCTCAAAATCCTCCGAGCCTGCAAACCACTTGGCATCCCCATCTACGTAACCACCCAGAACCGCGCCCGTCTAGGCAACACAGTGTCCGAATTCGCACCCTACCTCGACCCTTCCAACCCCAATCTCCGCGCCGATTTCGACAAGACCTTATTTTCGATGGTGATTCCGGAGATCAAGGCTCTGCTGCCCAATACCGCTGCCACAGGAGGTAACCAGGAGCCTCTCGATGTCATCCTGATTGGAATCGAGTCGCACGTTTGCGTCACACAGACAGCCTTGGATCTATTGGCCCTAGGCCATAGGGTGTATTTGGTCTGGGATGCTGTGAGCAGCTGCAATGCTGAGGAGAGGAATGTGGCGATGGCGCGACTGAGAGATGCTGGGGCAATTGTGACGACGAGTGAGAGTATTTTGTTTGAGGTTATGGCGGATGCGAAGGTCCAAGGATTCAAGGAGGTCAGTGGGCTGGTAAAAGAGACTGGTGAGGACACGAAAAAGGCCCTGGGGGCCTTTTGCGCAAAGATTTAAAGAATTTTCGGCTACAGTGGACTTCGACGGCTATTCGGATGCTAGGCGGCAGAATTATTACGTATTTTATATAAGCTGATAACATATAACGTAATTCACCCCCGAGCGGCTCACACCACCAAGCGGCTCACCAGATACACATACAAATCTCAACTTTTTGCTCTCTTATATCTCAACAACCTTGTTGAATATAGACTTTAGAATTTAGATGTAGGGTATATAGACACTTAGTAAACAGTATTATCAATTTGATTGATTTAACTCTATTATTTGTGAAGATACTTTGATACATGTTAGTAAAAAGATAATAAAATACTATAACTTAAGAAATAATTATTATATTTAGATAATTCTTATAATTTACAAAGTTTATTACATCTCTATAGTATCTTCTTCATTTTATAATGATCAGACATACACTTGTTAAGATATAAAAGAGCAAAAAGTTGAGATTTGTATGTGTATTTTGGTGAGCCGCTCGGTGGTGTGAGCCGCTCGGGGGTGAATTACGTTATCCTTTCTGGACGTTTTGGGCAAGTCATTGACGCTCGTCTAGGGACCATGTGGTAGATTTTCTATTTTTAAAATTTCTATTTTCTTTTTCTTTTTTCTTTTCTTTTCTTTTCTTTTTTTAAGTGTGTTCTGATTCATATCAACTTCTAGCCTTACAGCCAGACCACATGAATCCACAGGGCTAAAAATGGCAAGGCTTGATGCCACTGTGCTTCGTTCAACTTGAAGACGCAGCGCCATCGGATTCAGCAGTAAACACCGTGATCTGTGCGCGCTGTTTAATCCAGTTATTTTCTGGACTAGCCTTCGTATCTTCACGGAGAGCATACAATTCATCGAGAAATGCGGGCATAAAGGTACCAGGGCCGCGAACGTATTCTTTCAGAGCAGCATTTTCTGCCGCTATTTCGAACATGAGGACACCAGCGAGAACCGCGAGCAACTTGTCAGTGCGCTCCACGGCAAGGAAGGCCGCTGCAACCAGACCAATGACACAGCCCGTCTAGAATATGTTAGATTGCGTAGAGTTTTGAGGGGAAAGGGGATATGGGTGGGCGCTTACGCCGGTGATTTGGCCGAGATAACGGTGCCCATTCTTAATTGCAACTGTGCGTATGCCGTCGCTTAGGAAGTCAACAGGCCCCGTCATGAGAACGATGTTTCCTGTGAATTATTCATTAGCACCATCTGGGACCGGCCCATGGCCCTTTACCAGGGATCATTCAAGGAGGAGTAAGCCACGAAGGTGTGGGGCGTAGGATCGAGCGTAGAGCGACCAATACATGGTCTAGAACAAGTCTGGGATTATACAGCGGAGTAAGGGGAATTCGCGACTTACTCTCTCTGGTAGCAAGGTCCCTGACCATTGCGACTTTCTCTTGTAAAGTAAGGGTACTTGGCCCACTATCAACGCCGATCTGTCGGGAAGAAGACTGCCCGTATATCACCTTGATCTCGCTTTCGTTACCCTTGATGAGATCGAAATATCCTCCCGCCATGAGCGTCCTAATCGCGTTTTGTCGGACCTCGGTGGCACCGCCTCCAACTGGGTCAAAGACTACGGGACTGCCACGTTGGTTGTACGCCTGCACGGCCTGGGTATAGTTGTTGAGACTATCGGCATTGAGGGTGCCCATATTGATTAGCAAGGAGCCGCCAGCTTTCGACAGATCGGTGGCCTCGGGCCCGTAGGGTGACATAATTGGAGAAGCACCACTAAGGATGTTAGAACACCTAGTATTCGAGGAGAGGCTAGGGACGTGTGGAAAAAGCTATCATATCTTACATCTGCAATGACACGTTAGCCGCAAAGTTTGCGACTACATAGTTGATCATGCTATGGACCAAAGGCATGCGGACTGCAACTTTGCGCGCCACGCTGATGGCGTTGTTTAGTAGATAGGAAAATTCGTCTTCGCGAGGGTCTGGCGGGATAGTTGCGAAGGAAGGGCTTTTGGTGATAGCCCGTGCAAGAAGAGCAGCGGCTTTGTAAGGATCTTCAGCTGCCACGATAGCACTGACAATGGCGACGCCATCCAAGCCCTTCGTGGCTGCTGCAGATTGATAAATGACCCTCTGCGTATTGCTGAGGTTGATGCCACCGATGGCAACAGTACCGACTTTCCGCGGAAGAGTCGAAAGAAAGTCTAAAATTTGCCTAACACCAGCAGTCCCAATGATTGATTTGGTGTTGGTTTTACTAGAATGATCAGCGTTGATGCGACATAAGACACCAATATCAAGAGACGCACGTCGGGGTTGCAAATACGGTCCCAATGCCAAGATAGTTGGCCCCTTTTTCGACAGCAATTCTTGCCTCCTCAACAGAGGATACAGTCGCACCTATGAAGCAATTCTTTGGGAGCAGCTTACGCGCTGTTTCAATATCTGCGAAATGCATAAGTATCGTATAATGTTGTGAGGCGTTGGGGGCCATACCCATGTCATCCTGCCCGAGATGGACTCCCTCGGCACCCACAGCCAGCGCCACATCAACTCGATCATTGATTACCAGAGGGACACCGTGGGCTTTAGTTATGGTGTGTAGCCTCGAGGCAGTCTCAATGAGCACACCTGTATCAGCATGTTTGTCTCTATATTGCACAATTGTTACACCTATCTCCAAAGGTGAAACGTGAGTGCTCTCCCTTGAGAAGCAAAACCTTGTTCATTGCATTTCTTACCGCCTTGGATTGCCTGCTCTACAACAGTGCATAGATCCCTATCACCCAAAATATTTGGGGTAGAATCAGTGACAAGATACAAGGAGAGATCGATGGGCATCTTTTCTGGTGTTAATGAGCTCCAGTAAGGAAGGTCTTAGAGATATGAAAGTGGCCTAGTTTGGTGGAAAGGGGGGGGAAGAAGTAAAAGTAACACCGATCAAGTAACACCAGCTAAGAAAAATTCTGAAAGACCACTAGATAGAAAATAGAGCTGACGAGTCAGCAAATCTCACGACATCAACCAACCAGGTGCACATGCTCATGGGGAAACAAACGCGCCTTGACCATAGAGCATACAGGGAAGAGGTGCCACAGCTATCAAACCAGGCTAGCAATTGCACATACCCGGATAAGTGTTTAGATATATTATATACACGACAAATGAAGACTATTTTATACAAGCTATCCTTTGTAGTGTGTACTTAAAGCGTTTCGGCAGCAAAGCCGAGAGCCACTGTTAATGCAACTCTGAGGAAGAGTCAGAAAAGGTACAATTCAATTCCGCCAGAAAAGATAAAATTGAACATATAGGATCCAACTTCTCCCTGCTGCAAGGCAATAAATAGGTTTAGGGAAATATTACTGGACGCACGAACCTGAGGAGAAACACGCAGTTTCCGAGGGACTAAGACCTCTGATGAAGCTGTGTGTATAGAAGAATATAGAAGAAAAGGAGAAACTTAGCAGAGATGAGCGCAGAGAGTCTATCTAATTGCACAGGGTCAGACCAAGTACGGATCGTGTATCCAAGCAGAATCTCAGCGACACACCCCTCAAACGTCGTCAAAGTCGCCCCTCCCACTGTAGAGTCTCGGCTTTTCGGGCCGGCTTGGCCTGATTAGATACTGTAAGACCTGATATTATCTCCGAAGTATCTCCGACATAGTAGCCACGTGTCATCCACGTGAGATTTTTTTGACTTCGGATTTAATTTCTTCCGAAGATTGAAAATTTCTTCCATTCGTTTCGATACCGTTAAGCCCTGGTCACGCCCGCCGTATTAAAAATAGTTTACACGACGAGTTCGACGACATTCGCTATTTTCTCTTTTTCCCTCCTCCCATCAAACCGCTCTTGGTTCCCAAATCCATCGAAATCCCCATCGAACAAGGCCCTTGTTTCGATTGAATTTGTTCCGCAAAGCGACCGCATTTAATTGATTTTGGTCTCCCGTCCGGAAGCCATCACCTTTTTGCCATCCCGGGTTCAGTTTCAGCCCACCAAACCCTCGCAGCGAAACCGTCTGGCTTCCTTCAACTCCCAGAGCCGCCGAGCATATTCGAGCGACTGTCTATGTATTCGCCCTACGTCAACGCTTTTGAACACCACCTGCCGCTCAAGCTGCAACCTTTTCGCCCTGTGCGAAAACCTTGTAGTTACCATTCCAGATCCTGTGGTTGAGATCTGCTTTCCACGTCGCCCGTGAACCCTCTTCTCATCAGAAAGGGAAATTATATCGTCTCCCACATCTCAGACCATCTGCAAGCTTCACTACGCATGTCTTGTAGTAGCAACCGCAGCTTTCATTCTCTCCGCGTTCCTTGCTCCTTGCGTCCGCAGCCAATAGCTTTTTAAGACTTATCTATCCCCCACTCATTCACCATGGCTACCGTCAATATCCGTCGGGTAAGGCCCCTTGTGTCCTTGCCCCTTTCGATCTCGATACCTCTACTGACAACGTAATTGTCGTGCAGGATGTTTCCGATCCCTTCTATCGTTATAAAATGGAGCGCCTCCAGGCTAAAATCGAAGGCAAAGGAAACGGTATCAAGACCGTCGTTGTCAATCTCAATTCCGTTGCCCAGGCGCTTGGCCGTCCTCCTGCATGTAGGTCACCCCTTCGACATGTGATATTGGAATACTATTGTAGCAATTCTAACACTCACTAGATTTGATCAAGTACTTCGGTTTCGAACTTGGTGCACAGGCTAATCCAAAACCAACTGATGATCGTTGGATCATTAACGGCGCTCACGATGCCGGCAAACTTCAAGATTACCTAGACGGATTCATTTCCAAGTTTGTCCTGTGCAAGAAATGCAAGAACCCTGAAACCAATGTTGTAATCAAGGATCCACGTATCCTCTTGGATTGCAAAGCCTGTGGTGAACGCTCCGAGGTCGATAGCCGCCTCAAACTCAGTTCATTCGTTCTGAAGAACCAGCCAAAAAAGGGAAAGAAAGACAAGTCAACGAAGAAAACCCGACGCGAAAGGAACAAGGAAAAAGCTGAAAACGGAGAGAATGGAGAAAATGGAGAGACGAACGGCAGTCCGGGAGACAGCCCTTCTGAAGGGGACGAAAATGGTGACGTGGCGGCGGAAGCCCATAGTGATGACGAGTTTACCCGTCGAATCAATGCTGAAGCCAAGGAAATTGAACAAGACAACGAGATCGATGACGATGAGTGGGCTGTTGATGTCTCTGAGGAAGCTGTCAAGGCACGTGCAAAAGAGCTTCCGGACGATCTTAAGCGCTCGCTCGTTTTTGACGATGAGGATGAAGGCGAGGGCGAAAATGGCGCTGCCAGTGCTTATGATCAGCTCGGCAGCTGGATTGTCAGCGAGGCCGAACAATCCGAGAAAGGAGTTTCTGGTGTCAGCGATGTCGACATCTACATGAAGGCCAAGGAACTCGGCATTGAGTCAAAGCACAAAACCCTCGCAGTCCTGGCTCAGACAGTCTTTGACGAAAAAATTGTCAAGCAGATCCCGTCTCGAGCTGGAATGCTCAAGAAGGTATACCTCTAACCTACCCAACCTTATGCCCACTCATTGTTACTAATTCAAACCCTAGATGATCACGTCCGAGCGCCACATGAAAGCTTTCCTTGGTGGCACTGAACGTTTCGTTGGAAAAGAGCGCCCCGAGCTCATTCCACAAGTCCCAGCCATCCTCCTTGGTTACTACCAGGAAGATCTTGTATCCGAGGACATTCTCAAGAACTGGGGTTCCAAAGCCAGCAAGAAATACGTCGACCTGCCTACCAGCAAGAAGGTCCGTAAGGCCGCAGAGAAGTTCCTGGAATGGCTTGAGACTGCTGAAAGCGAGGATGAAAGCGACGAAGAGTAAGCGTGATGTAGCATGTACCGGATGTCTCCTTTCCCACGACCTTGCTACCGCTGCTTGACCGACCGCTCTGCGCTTCTTTTTGTTGATCATGCCTGTTACTTCGGGGTAGTTGTTGGTTCTTTTTGCATTAATATGCCAACGTGTTATTGTTCACTCATTAGTGGTTACATATGCTTTGTTGGATTCCAGAATATCTTTACATAGGACTAAATTGAAGTATCTCTGCTTCTATGAAAACCACTGGTCTCCTTACGAGTTTTCTTTTATTTGCTTGTATCAACTACTTCATTCCATAACCGACTTTAAGCCTGATTGTTGACATGAAGGCCAAGTTCTTTTTAATTCCTTTGTGCCAGGCATCAAGAGTCGCTTTCTTTGATACCCCAACACATAGAATGGTGGATCATTATCAAACAAATTCCCATTAACTGATGCTTTAAAACGCCACCTCAGCGAATCGCAGCTGGCTAACCTCTCTGCTCCCGCGAGGTGAAGAGTCGAGTATCTTCACCAATTTAGCCTCCATCTTCCTCCTCGCCACATCAAAATCCGCTTCTTTGCCACCGTTCACATTCTTAGCCCGCCCACGTACAAATATGAACCAAGCCAGGTCTGCGTTCCAGGTATCCATCGCTCGAATAGTCGCGTCGATGTCGACTTCGCTCGACGAGCTATCCGTCACTTGCGTCTTGTCCGCAGGAGAGGGTCGACTCAGGTCCCGCCAGGAATGCGTGAAGTAGTAGTTAGGGTAAAAGAAGGAGATCCATGTACCCAGGCACTGGCAGATTTCATCGCCAATGTCTAGTGGTAAACGGGTGTGCGAGAGAATGGTGGTGAAGAGGGAGGATAGAGCGCTCCAGATGTTGTGGTGCGGGGTGAAAGATTTGCTGGTGAAATGCGGGAGTGGTGGAGGAGGGCGTGATTGTTCTGAACCGATTGTAGGTTTAGGTGCTGAAAGGGATGTTGACTGGTTGGAAGAATGTGTTTCCGTTATGCTTAGATGCCCCATTTGGGAGATTGTTTTCGTGGCATCGAGCTCCGGTGCCTGAGACTGGTTTAGGAGCCGCTGACGTTGCTGATATCTTTCAAAGGCCAGCTCGGCGTCGTGCTTAACCCGCTCCCAACACCTGAGATATATTTGTTTCCATTTTGGAAATTCGTGTTCTATTCGGGATGACATAAAATCTCCCCCCCCTTCACACATCGCAGCGACAGTCTTGCAAGAGGCGACAATGACATAAGTTTGTTCTTGGAGGTTCATTTCATTAGTGCCGCCTGAGGTCCGTGGATTCGGAGTTGCCAAAGATGTAGAAGTATCGGAGGCCAGGATAGGCGGTAAACTGATCCGGACACAGACGGAGGGCCAGATATCGTTTATCAGGGGTAGAAAGCTATTCTCATCAGGCGCAAGGACACCCATAGCACGAGACAGAATACTTAAAAGGGAACGTCGCAAGTGCGGAGATGGCGACGAAAGATGTGGCGGGATGGATTTTAAAATACTCAGGAGGAGGTTATGAGGTTTGCTAAGAGTCTTACTGTCATGCTCCGGCTTAGGCGGCTGGTCATCGACAGCTTCGTTTTCTTCACCTGCATGTTCGCTGTAACGGCTTCTTTTCCAGGGACGCGTGGGATGAGATTCAATAGCCTCGAGCTCCTGAGCTTCATGGGAGTCGTGTTCAGCACGTCTTTCTCGGAGTCTCTTAATTTCAGATGCCACATCGGAAACTGTCCGGATTTTGTGCGGGTGTTTCCCATGTGTTCTCAGTTCCGTTTGTGTGCTACTCGTAATACGAAGAGTATCCGGCGATTTGGCACTTTCATCGACAATTGTCCCCAGCACTTCAAAAAGAATCTCGACCAGCTTCGGGTAGCCGTGGAAAGCGTCAAGAATAGAGAATATTGAGCCAATCAAATCATCCAAGTAAGGTATCAACCGTGCACCGCAAAGCCTGATCATCATAAGTAAAACTTGCGGTGCCTGGTGTGAAACGTCGAAAGTATTAAACTTCATTCCAACTGAGTTGATCAGATAATCGACATTGTCGACAAGCATCGTGCTTGTGTCGGAGTATTCGCATGCATCTGCCATTATGTTAAGACATGTCATGGCATGATTTTGTAGGCTAGGATTGCTTGAGCCCATTAATTGAAGTACCGGGTATAATATATCAATTAGCTCAGGTCGAAAAGACTCGCCGAGTTGCTGCGCCTGGAGAGCCACAGCCTCTAATGCAAGCGCCGGAATGCGCCATTCTTCTGGGTTGGCAGTGGGAAGCTCGACAAGAATCGGTAAAGAGATGGAGTAAAGCTCCTCAATTAGGCCTGCCTGCGAACTCGATAAAGTTGGAGCATCCAGGTTTAGCATATCACTCAAAGACACGGTATTTGCTGCTCTATTTCTCAAGAGCGACAATGTGAGCCAGAATGGCGCCACTGCTGAGACGTCAGACGAACTGTAAAGTCTATCCATCATTGATCTCGTCAAGGAGAGCGACGTGTCCATATGGCTGAGTCTTTTTATCATACAATTTAGCTCCGAAAGCGTGCCTTTCTGGCTTCTATGGTCAACGAGAACGGGTGGAAATAATTGAGACTTGGCGGCAGCTCCTAAGGCAAGTTCAAGACTCGGATTTGAAGTAGAAGGTAATTGTTGCGGGCTTTTCGAAGATGACTGAATAGCCGCAGCAACACTCTCGCATAAAGTAGTTGCCATCGTTTGATCTAGGATTTCCGAATTTGTGTCGGTTTCTGTCGCCGCCTGGAACGCGACGGAGATATGTCTGATAGCCCGTTGTTTAACAAGGTCATCGTTTGACTGCATGACCCTGGGTAGTGCAATGATCCACGTATGCAAGCTTGATTTCAGGTTGTTTGTAACGGATTCGGAAGAAAGTACTAGCTGCTTTAGAGAATTATACGCGTCACCTCCGTCTTCGGGTTCGGCGAGCGCTATAACGGTTTCGACCATCATCGGAAGCGCATCTGAGAGAGAAGTTGGACATCTTTCAATAACCATAAGGCACAGCTCCAGTAGAGACCGACGAACAGGCAATTTCTCATGAGTTCTGAGGGGTATTATATTGGCCAGTGCCAATTTGACCTGTGAAGCTGTAGCTTTGAGCCATGAATCATCGAGAGCCATCCCGTTGGACTCACTCTGCTTCGCTGGCTTCTTCCCTGAAGTCTGGGCAGATGAAATAGCCCCATCATTTAGAACAGAATCCAAAATCGCAGTTAAGATACTCAAACAGCAGCTAAGAAACTTGAAGGACCGACGAGTCTGGGTCGTGGGTCGCAAAGCCTTGGTCAGTGTCGAGACTGTTCTGGGTAAGAGACTGGCGAGGACAACTCGATCTGTGATGCGAGACTGAAGCAATTGCAGCGCATCTGCAGCAGACATTTGCATGGCATCCGAGGGACCTTCCAGAATTCCTTCGAGCAAGACATAAATAGTCTGATCGACTATCGTGGCCGTGCCGACCTCGTTGAATATCGTGGACGTGGCAGCTCCTCCCTGAAGCATGCCGCAGAGGGCCCCTATACAGTCATATGCCGCCACAGTCAATTCCTCGGACTGGGGCCTAGTTGATGATTGAGCTTGATTCTGGGCCGGTACCCCTCCAGCCAAGATAGTCATTAGGATCATCAACTGCTTTCCCATCGGAGCTGACAGCTTTTGGCGCCATCCTTTCTCGATTAGAAGCTGCAGAGACTTCACAGCCAATTCAACACATCTAACAGAGAGCCGTTGAGTCTGGTTAAAGATTTGAGAGAGTGGAAAAAATGCATATTCGGCAAGCTTTTCGTCTAGCCAGTCTTTGTTGGCCGCTTGTGTTAAGACTCTGTGGACCTCTTCTAAAGCCTTGAGAACATCTCCGGGACGTGCAAGGTTGGCCCTAAACCTTAGAGAAACAGAACTGAGCTCAACACAGGGGGGACGAAGCTTCAGAGGCAGTTAGTAAATTTTCGCAAACCCAGAGGAGATATGTTCCATGAGCACACAACCTTTTGGAAAGCTTCGTGTCGCGCACTATCCATTTTGGGGTCCAATCAATAGACAAGATATAACCTCAGGAGGTCTTCCATACAACCAGGCTGAGGGACCTAGCAATTTCATTGCTTGTTCATTATCTGTTTTCTTCTTCTGCTAAATATTACATATCATCACCGGCTGATATCGTCACGCATGCTTGGCTTGGGTGGCTCTCAGCGATCAAGCCACACTTGAGCCGCATTCTGACGCTAGACCGCCTTTGGTTAGCTACCACGGGATGAGTGGCTGAGAACGTCGACGAAAGCAGTCAATCCGAGCGCCTGATTGGTTGCCCACCTCGACATCACTTCAACTGGTCTCCTCCAGCAGTGACATAGCGAAATTCACTCCTGAGCTGTTCAAGAGAAGCAAGCAGGAACTTGGCTCAGCTTATTGTCTTGTTTCCAGTTCCCGCCAGCGTGAGATCGTTAATATCAGTCGGATGCTGCCCTTTATCCATTTGAGACCAACACCGTGATACCCAAGTTATTTGTGCGGCCCTCCTTTGGTTCCGAGTCTGAGACAAACTACGGGTGCTTTCGGCTCTTGAAAAGGAGCCCTAGAAGACATGGTTCTTATGTCGTGTCTTTCTTTATCAACACCTTGGGCCCTGTCTCCAAGATGTGTCTCTCTCCAGATGAAGATCCCAGTCTTATCTACCAGATGAGCCATGCTCGATAGGCCGCCGACTGCCTTGGACATTTCGTATCCATGAGCGAGGCGTAAACCCCACCTTCTGTCGGTATTCTTTTGTAGGCATACTAGGAATATTCCCGCTATCTCTATGACTCGCCTCCGAATGGAATGGAACTGTGCCAGGTCTGAGCAAGCCGTGTGTATCTCAATTCCTTCACGCAGCCTATAACAGGGATTTTACTGTCTCTCGAGATGCCCTACGTTAAGCGCGTCCTTTTCGGGATTACACACCCACCAACTTCCCAGAGGAGAATATAAGGATGCTATCTGGAAAGAGCAGTTCCCCCGCTCTGTCCTGCTCTGTATGGCTTCTTCCCACTTTTGGTCAAAAATCCAGCTGTGATTTCCAGTTCTGGCGGGAAGATCAGCAGGGGACAGCGTCATCTCGCTACTTTGGGAAGCATCAGGCTGCTTGCTGGCTCACCCTCCTTTCCTATTGCAGCAAGCGAAAAGCTCATCAAGTGAAGTTTGGGAGTTCCTGAAAAGGAAACCACTGCTGTTCACGTGCTGCGCGGCGGGAGGCGCCATATAAAACCATTCCCGTTGCCTCTCTCTCTCGCCTCCTTTTCTTCTTCTCTTCTACCCTTCATTGTTTTTCCCTTGTGCGCGACCTCCTCTTAACAGCTCTTCACTTCACATAGTGCTGTCAGTCTGACTACCACACTCCTTCGGTTCTCTGAATAGCCCACTTGCTCCACTCAGCAATCAACAATCACTAGGTTTAGATTCACTTCCTTCAAACATGAAGCTTTCTGCTGTGGTCTCGGCAACATTCTTCACTGCCACTATGCTGGCACAGGATATTGAGCCCATTCTCAATCTTCCAGCATGCCCTGTAAGTTTTGTGTTGTTTTATCAATGCTCCAAATCGCAATCTCAAATCTGTACCAAATACTGACAAATTTCCCTTCTAGAGAAGCTGCATTTGGTCTGCCTTAAGCAGAGCAGGAGAGTTTGGCTGTGGCCCTACTGATGCCAAGTGCCTCTGTCGCAGCACTGCGTACCAAAACGAAATCGAAAGCTGCGCTACCTCCAAATGCAGTGCTGGCGAAACCGATCTTATGCGCAAAGTGGGTAGAAAGTACTGTGAGCAGGCTGGTATGTCGGCAATATTTTGTCAACTCTTGGCTGTTACATAGAAACTGAAATCTTACCTTAGGTGCCCCGTTGCCCCCTGCGCCCGGGATCTCACTCCTGTCGTCTACTGGCCATCAGTTCCCTCGTTCCATTTCCACCAGTGACATCGATAATCCTTGTCCAAGTGGCACTGATCCCAATTATCCAAAGTGTCCGTTTCCCACCGACAGCTCGTTTACTGTTATCGGTCCAACTGTTACCTTTGCTCCCCGCCAAAACTATTCCGCTCCAAACAGAGCCACTACCGAATCGTCGCAACCACCAACAGGCAAAGAAATTCCCGTTGGTTGTATTCCACCCACAATTGGCATCGAACCGCCAAAAAACACATCCTCTGCCGGAACTGGATCTGCTGCACCAATTGCAACACCTACATCAATCATTCCCATCAACACCCCTACTTCAAGCATTGTTCTGCCTACCGTGATTAAAGGTTCAATTCCCAGCGGACCAAACTCAGCTCCACCTACTACTTCCAATGTTGAATCTGGCGAGCCCACCTTTACTCTTCCCGTCGAGACGTCCCCGGTCTTAGCTTCTTCGAACGCTGAACCAGAAAAACCTACTTCTACAATTAAAGTATACCAACCACCAGCCTCTGGCGTGACCGGGACAGACCAAAATGAGCCTACTTACCCCACCGGCGGACAAACCATTGCACCTCCCTTCGCTGGCAATGCTATCAATACCCGTGCACACGTGTATGCTGTTGTCGCTCCTCTCTTCGCCGCCTTGCTCTAGTTGAACACTGCCATATCGCCAGTTGTGTGGACCGCATATGCCAAAGTCTTTCTAGATTCCATATCCAACCGAGGAAAACAGGTTGTCTTTTACTGAAACATTCAATACGGGCCAGGTTCAAGAGAGAATATGCAGTAATTTCAGATAGTCCATCACTTTCTTTTTATTTATGTTTTCTTATTATTAAGGAAAATTTTAAAGAAAATAAAAAAGTAAAGTAAAATAAAAATAAAAATAAAAATCAGAGAAAATACAATCAACTGTTCCAGCAGGACATATTCAATTAGATGCAAAATACAAGTAGATCTCGCAAGACAAATCCTTTCAGCAACCCTTACTCGTTCAAAAAAAAAGAAAAAAAAGCAATCACCCAGTAAGGATATGTCCCTGGAATATTCATCCAGGAAACTTTTGGAATATGGACACCCAACATGCTCATGGAACACGGAACTCTAGTCGAGGAGCCTAGGTGAAGTAACCCCCCAATTATACATTCTATTCCCCTCAAATCCAAGTGAGTAGCAAGCACAGTGGACAAGGCCTGTGGTGTACAGTTTAAAAAGATATACTGCCTACTCCGTCAACAGTGTCGCGAATGGTCCTAATCGTTCTTGAATGATAAGATGGAAGTGTCGAGACCAAAGGCGGCCTCGCCCATACAGCATACCAGCCATCCAGTGATTGCAAACATGCATAGGCGTGTGGGATCAATAAATCAGCAGATATTTTTGTCCAGCCTTCAGTGTCGTTCTTGCCTCCTTCATAGTCGCAAACCTCCGTTCTTTGGATCCACGACGGAGCATGGATCATATTTACATACGCAGTGTGCCAAAGATCCGGCTCCGGTGGACGCGGGGCCAGGTTAACCACGCTGTTGAGACTTTCTGCACCCACGTGCACGCAACACAGATATCTGGGTGTGATTCCCAGCATGCTTCTTGGCTGCATCTCAGGTTCGCCTGCATGCATCAGTTGCTCGTGTTTGGCCTCTTCACTCTCAACCCAGTTCAAAAACATGCCTCCCACTGTGCCAACATTGGCGCCATCTAGTTTCTCTTTGTCCTCAATAACGGTCCATTCCAATTTATCTTCCAAATCAAGGGCATCTTCCCTCTTCAGGTGGCCATGAGTACGTTCCTTCAGAATTGATAGCATGGTTTCCCACGCCGCATCATCCTCGTAGGTGCAGCGGTATATGACAAATCCCCACGTAGTATGCTTCCTCCGATCGAGAAGATGACGGATCTGTTTGGAAGATGAGTTGAGAATATGCCGCTCCCCGCTCAGCACTATTCCTCGGCGCTGTATGTATGTATACGGCTTGAATCTAGTCACTCGGGGGACCCTGTATGGCTTGACCAAAGCGGCAATGCGACACGTGAAGTGAGTGGAGCGAACGTCATAGGGAATGAATTTTCGGATGATCATGAAAAGATGAACAAGCTGCTTATCAAAGAAAGAGAAGAATAATGGTCAGGATTGAATCAAAGTGATTGCAACCAGGAAACAAGAATGATCTCGAAAGCACTCCGCTGTCTATCGCCGTCAATTGACGACCTTTTTGGGCTCTTGACTTGATATTCAGTCCATGTTAGAGTTCATTAAAGGGTTAAAGTTCCACCGAACTCCGAAAATTCGTACTGCCACGTGACGTAATTGGCCGGAACGCGACGAAGAGGCGCAGAGACGCGGGTTCCGACGACGGCGCGTGGCTGCTGCCTTCAACCCCGGCTGCCTGTCGCAATCTTCAGGGCCTGCAGAATCCCTGGGACGCCAGTATAAATTGATTGATCGCAATTGAGCTGAGCGAACAACTGGAGATTCCTTGTGTCGACACCGGCCGGCGACTCAGTTTACTGTCTGTGATTATTGATCTCAACGCGCCATCCTTGATTTTTCGAGTCGGTCCTGAGAAATCCTCCAATCTGCGCAACACAGAACAATGCACAACGTCGCATAATTCTATTTTCGACTCTTTTTCATAGAGTATCTCCCCACAAACCAATGCGGTTGTCGCGTTTTTGTCTGACGCGGAGCAAGACAACCTTAGCGCCCTTAATTTACGGACAACCCACGTCGATCCGGTTTTCTTGCTCAGTATCCTCATACTTTGTTATCCAACGCAGGGGATATACCTTGATCACAACAAATATGGCGCAGAAGAGCGAGAGAAAGCAGACTACTTTAGGGTATTTTATTTTATTTTATTTTTTTTTTTTGGAGTTGATGGTCAAGTCCAATTTTCCGTGGAGACGCATTTGATATTGGATCTATACCTTATGGAACCATTTTTATTGATTACCTATACTAATGTAATACTATGTTTGTGTTATAGGAAGTTCTTTGGCGGAAACGCAGCCTCGCTCCCCGAAACAAAAAACCAGTCTACACTCTCTTTTTCATCTGAAGCTGGAAGCGCGAAATCTGAGACAAAACCGGCCAAAGATCTCCAAGATAATGAAGACGATGATGTTGATATGGAAGATTCAAGTCGCGATATTCCTACTAAGACTGGCCCCGTAACGCCAACGAAAAACGGAACCGTTTGTTCAAGGCCAGCTTCTCCTGGGGCTCCCAGAGTAGATTCAGATGAAGAAATTAAATCCGAGAGTGCGAGGAGTGAAAGCGCGTCGCCAAGCGCAAGAAAGCTTAAGCGACAGAAGGATTCAGTGGTTGAAGAGAGTGATGGAAATGAGAGCGAACCTGTCACCAAAAGGCGAAGAGGGCCAACGAAACCGAAAACAGAGAGCTCTACATCGAAGCCTGCCGCTGGAAGAAAAAACAGAAAGGCCTCGCCAAGGGGTAAAACCAATGATAAAGGCGCTACCAGCACACCCAACAAGCAACTGGAGATAAATGAATCAGCAGTCGGAAATGCAGAGTCCTCAGAATCTGACCAGGACGATCTATTGTCAGAAAGTAGCTCAGAGGAGCTGGATATCAAACCTGAAAAAGAGGAAAAGAAGAAAAACACAGCATCAAAACAAAGACAGAAGGTTCAGGCAACCTTGAAAAGCAGCGCAAATGATCCATATCCAGATTGGAAAGCTGGTGACCCTGTTCCCTATGCCGCCTTGTGCACTACATTTTCCCTCGTTGAAATGACCACCAAAAGATTGGCTATTCTAGCCCATTGCTCTCTATTCCTTCGTCAAGTCTTACGATTGACTCCTGAGGATTTACTTCCAACAGTCCAGCTTATGATCAATAAGCTAGCTGCGGATTACGCCGGTATCGAGCTCGGAATCGGCGAGTCCTTGATCATGAAAGCCATCGGCGAATCCACCGGGCGTAGTCTTGCCGTCATCAAAGCTGACCAGCATGAGATCGGGGATCTGGGCCTTGTCGCGGCTAAGAGTCGATCAAATCAGCCCACTATGTTCAAACCAAAACCATTAACCGTGCGAGGAGTCCATGAGAGTCTCTTGGCAATTGCTAAGATGCAAGGACACGGATCCCAGGAGAAGAAAGTCGGAGGTATTAAAAAGCTCCTTTCTTCAGCTGATTCCGCTACAGCTGGAAAGGGCTCAAAAGGGATTGACATCACAAAAAATAAAGGCGGTCCGAGTGAGGCCAAGTATATTGTCCGATTTTTAGAGGGCAAGCTGCGGCTAGGTCTTGCTGATAAAACCGTCCTCGTGGCTCTAGCTCATGCCATGGTAGCGCATGAAACTTTGTCAAAGGGCAACAAGACACCCAGCGCTGAGCAGCTAGCAAAAGGAGAAGCTATTCTTAAGCAAGTATATAGGTAAGCAGCATTGCTTCCGAAAGCCGTTTATATTCTCTGACATGGATTGTTTTCAGCGAATTACCATCTTACGAAGTGATTATCCCCGCCATGCTAGAGCATGGAATATTTAACCTTCAGGAGAATTGCAAACTGCAGCCGGGGGTTCCATTAAAGCCCATGTTAGCAAAACCCACAAAATCCATTTCTGAAGTCCTCGACCGCTTTGAAGGAAAAGACTTTACCTGCGAATACAAATACGACGGTGAAAGAGCTCAGATTCACTACGTGTCACAAGATGCAATCAAGGATTATACTGCCACAGCTGGAACCTTACAAAAGGATGGCAAAGGCCTTTGTGCTATATTTTCCCGTAACTCCGAGGATCTATCTAAGAAGTATCCAGATGTTCTTGATAAGCTGGAATCGTGGGTCCGGCCAGGAACCAAGAGCTTTGTCCTGGACTGCGAGACTGTCGCATGGGATCTCGAGAACAAGAAGGTCTTGCCATTCCAGCAACTCATGACACGCAAGAGAAAGGACGTGAAAGCCGAAGACATAAAAGTCCGCGTTTGCATATTCGCGTTCGATATCCTGTTCTTGAATGGAGCAGTAAGCGATTCCTTACTACCCCGTAATGTGTGCTAATATGAGTGTTAATGTATGCTTCTTTTAGCCTACTGTGAAAATGACATTCCGGGAACGGCGTGCTCTTTTACATGAAACATTTGTCCCAACCGAAGGGGAGTTTGCTTTCGCACAATATGGAAACACGAGTAACGTGGAAGAGATCCAAACTCTCTTAGACGAGAGTGTGAAGTCTTCTTGCGAAGGTTTGATGGTAAAGATGCTAGATACCGAAGAAAGTGGCTATGAACCTAGTAAGCGGAGTCGCAATTGGCTCAAGGTAAATTCGTCTTCATAAGGTAGCAAGGAATATTTGTCGACTAACCGTATGGTAGGTCAAAAAGGACTATCTTGCTGGTATTGGTGACTCGCTCGACCTTGTTGTCATCGGCGCCTACTTCGGCAAGGGTAAACGTACTTCGGTCTACGGAGCCTTTCTCCTCGCTGCGTACAACCCTAGCACTGAAAATTACGAGACAATATGCAATATCGGTACGGGCTTCTCTGATGCCCTATTGGACGAACTTCACAAATCTCTCAGTCCCCTCGCCATATCCCAACCAAAACCGTTTTACTCGCATTCTTCCGTCCCCAAGGACCAGCCAGATGTCTGGTTCGAACCTCGCCTAGTATGGGAGGTCAAGGCGGCGGATTTAACCATCAGTCCCCGATATAGGTGTGCGAGTGACGAAGTGATGGGGATGGCGGGTGCGGATGGAAAGGGGGTCTCGCTACGGTTTCCAAGGTATATCAAAGCAAGAGATGATAAAAAGCCAGACCAGGCGAGCACGACTAGGATGGTAGCGGAGATGTATCGAAAGCAAGAGAGTGTGACAAAAGAGGACAAGGGCAAGGGAGTGGACGATGACTGGGAGTACTAGGTTGGGCTCGTTCTCCCTGACAATCTTCTGTTTTAAATGTTGGATATCCTCGCCGGGGCTATTGTATGATTGGATGGAATGTTGGATTCACACATTATTCCAGGAATACAGATGAATATGGTTTGCGACGATGATGAATGTGGCTACACGTGTATATTTTGGGAGTTGGTTAGACACTCCGCTCCCGTCTCTGAAGAAGTATGTGGAAACCACCCCCCTATAACCGCTAGTTAAAATAGAACAGCAGTACAAAATATTCATCAGGGGTAAAACTATTCCCTCTCCATCAAGTACCAGAGGCAAAAAGGGGAAAAGGGCCTCTTAGGACAACTACCCACTGAAACTACCCTCCATGCAGAGCTAGTAAAGCTAAAAGTGTCCTGATATATGAACAAAAAACAACACCAGAGGAAGCCGAAATAGAATGCTCAATAGCGCACATATACCAAGGCAAGTTCAGTAATAATGTACACGGTGAAGGTCAAAAGGCATAGAATAGGTTAGAGAAAAAGTGGGACATGAGAAGGCAAGGACTCTAGCGAGTTCTGGGAAGTGATGCCAATGAGACCTAACCACTGGTTAATATTATGATTTTCTTGTGTGGAGCCTAGGCGATACAGAGAAAAGATCATGCAAAAACAAAGGCATGATAATTTATTCCTCATACTTCCTCTTCACTCCATTGACACTTGGATGAGGAACACCGTTTGGTTTCCTCCTGGCCGCCTCTTCATCAGCCTGTCGCTTTTTCCACGCAGTTTTGATTGCCGGCGCCGCTCGAATCAAATCTTCCTCCGTCACCCGGTCCTCGATACTCTCAAGGACCTTCTCCACAGTAGAGATATGATTCGCATCAGTTTTATCTTCGCGGAATCGGAGGAAACGCCAGCGGCCATGCTCGTCACGGTAGCACTCGACAATCGTATCGTCAAGAGGTTTCTGTAGAGCTTTGAGTTCGTCCCATTCGGACTCTTCAAGGTGCATGAGGCCGAAATGACGGTAATCGTTTTGTCTGTAGAAGACGAAGAGATGACATATCGGGATAGCATCGTAATCCGGATATGCTTCCGTTACCCCTGCGGATTCATCTTCAGAGTCCGGTTCTACCATCGGAAATTCCAGTCGCATGCGAAAATCAATGCTGTTTTCCTCCGGAGGCTTCCACTTTAAAATATGCTCGTCCGTTCCAATCTTATATGGAGTGCCTCGACACGTAAATATCAGCCCATCGTTTCCGTGAATCTTCTTGACTTTTGGTATAATGTCCCGGAACATCATCTCAATGCCATAGCTGAACTGTGTCGACTTGTCCTCAACGGCAAACGCCCGGTGCTGCCTTTCCTCCGGAAACTTCTTATACATTGCATTGTACGGCTTCAATACCTTCTCCTTAAAATATGCCAGTCTCTTATCCAGCGTGCGATGCATCAAACTCGTGCCATCCAGCACCAAACAATCAAAGACGTAGAACTTCAGCTGCTCCGTCCCGTCCTCGTATATATCATTCACCAACTCCCCATCCACAATTGTATCCACATGAAAGCTCTGAAACGACTCATCGTCCGGCATAGGAAAGTGTAAGCCCGGAACGTAACGATAGTCGTTCTTCCGATCGATCAAGTAGTGTATTTCGGGCGTGTCTGAATCCGGGTCTCCTCGCGCAAAGTACATAAGACACCGTATGCCGTCCGTCTTCTCGCAGACATAGTAGTCTTGTTTTTGTAGCTCTAGGAGGTGCCGCGACGAGAAACTGACGGGTTGTGCGCCGGGGAAATTAAGAGAGGAACGGCCGAGGAGGTGTGCGACTTCACGACGGAATTGGTCTGCAAGCTCGGGTTCTGCCTTTATGCCCACCGAGTCGAGGTCGGGGACCGTGTTGGCCATGGTGGCTTTTCGCGGGACCCCGCAAAATTTCTCTCGAGTTGATTGCACAGATGCAAACTCGCCGTGCTTTTTATTAGATTCGCGAGGGTCGAGTGCAGGAGAATAGCGACCGCTCAGGTCTCCGGTTCCGGCCAGAAAAGGTTCGACACAATGGGTTACGAAGCGTGTAGCGAAGCCAGAGAGTGGTCGAAGTGAAATGGAATAAAGGAATCCGCAAGCTATTAACTTTGATCGAGAACTCGTTGCTGTGGAATTAGGGTGGCTTTCGATTCCAAGTCAAGGAGAGAGTGATAAACGTGGTCCTGGATTGTGTATTTTAGTGCCTCAGGCCGCAATTCTTAAGCACATGGCGCCGCTCGCTTTTATCAATCCTCAAGCAAATGAAGCACTGTCATGCTGCACACGATGAATTTTAACTTGTAAGATATCGCAATTTACAGTCATCAGATTAAATTAAAGGGTATCTCGTTATATCGTACAGGAACATTCACCCTACCCCGTCCAAACGCCTTATCCACCAAAGAAACCTCCCAAATGTTGCCAACTCCCACGCGAGAATGGAAGAAAAACAAAATTGATGCATGAAGACTACAATTCAAACGCCGCTCACGATGTACCGGTAGCCATAACCTTTTTCGAGGCCACAGTTGGTTGGCTCATTCGGTTCTGAGAAGGTTGCTGGGGAAGTGAAGGTTTCTTTGAAGAGTCTGACGGCTGCGCAGGCCCATCCACAGCATTGCCAAAGGTAGGAGAAGTAAGAGATGTTAGCTCGGGCTGAAAGAAACCTCTACCCTGAAAGCTACTCTCGACTGGGGAGAAGAGACTGCCACTTCCCAGCACCTGGGAAAGCATCTCCTTCATCCGGACAAGATGATACTTCTTCCTTGTCGGAATGAGCGGATGTGTCACCAACGGCTGAGGCCGTGATCGTGCAAGCCCAGCCATCACGGCATCCTTCTCTTCATCCGAATCGATGGGTCCATTTCCATCCAGGTCATCGTGGACCGGAGCATTCGCATCGATGGCAGCCTCTATTATAGAGTAAACATCACGTATTATTTCGAGCCCGACAAAGACAATGAATTGCAACTTACTTTGCTGCCGTGCTTGATTTTTTTTCTGGTACGCTTGTAGTAACATATCGTATGGTAGAGAGCGGCCTGGGACAGCTCTCTTTGCACCCATAGAATGGCTTTTGCAAGTTAATGATCGTGCACATTGGCCTCCATTCGGCAATACGACGCCGCATTGTTTCTCTACGTCAACCGGGCCTTTTGGCTTAGGCACCTTTGGCTTTGGCTCATCTTTCTTCTTTTTCTTCTTAGGCTCCTTATCGTCATCGTCAACCTTTCGCTTCTTTCCTTTCTTCGGGCCATCCTCTCCAGCGCTTTTCTTGGCGCTCTTTTGTCCCTTCATGGCACCCTCGCCGTCGTCTTCGTTTCCTTCTTTATCGGCCTTCTCTTTGGCCCGGTTCGCATCCCTTGCCTCCTTCTTCTTCCGTGCCTTTTCCTGCTTTGCTCGCAAACAACCGCGGATGTGTTCGGCAGCAGTCTGCTTCAAAACTGGTCTTTTGCAATGCTTGCATATGACTGTCTCCAGCTGCGTTTCTCGCGGCTTACCCGTCGGAAACGACGCCATTGTCTTCTCATCCATGACAGGGAGAATAGGGGAGGAACCCCCGGACTCTGCGTTGGAAGGTTCGGGATCCCTAGTTCCTATAAGGTTAAACCCGCCCAATGGTCAGTTCTCCTAGTTGAAACAGGCACTGGAAATGCGTCATGATCCTGGGTAATCATGGGCATTTCAGGAGGGGGAAAACCACACCTTTCACAGCTTTAGCAACAGCCTTTTTAAATTTGATCTTCGTAGGCCTTTGATCATTTTCGCTGAATTTGTATCCGGAGGCATCAACGAAACTGGCTCCTGAGCTCGATGCCACCGATGAGGCTGTCGACCCGAGGAACAGTGGGGCATGGTGTTAGCCTTTTGCTCGCTCGGCGAACATGGAATGGAAGAGGCCAGGCCGAGCGGAAGCAGAAACCGCACGGTCGGGCGATATGGGTGATGAGAAACAACTCACCTCTCACTGTGCCGCCATTTGACGCCATCTTGATGAGAATCCCGGAGCCAGAGCCTGATACTGGCAGACATCTCGTGTTCAAAGATTTGACGAGATGACCACAGCGGTTCTTGGCGCGTGCTGCGACACGGATGACTAAGCATAAATGCTTGTCTGGCTTTACCACTATTCCGTATGCTGCACGAGGTATGTACGGAGTACTGGACATACTGGTGAGACTGTTTTGCTTAGTCATTGACCTTAGTCAGTCATCCAATGCAATCGGCGATGTTTACGTCCTCTGATAACCAGAAGAGCAGACAGAGTATGCTATCCCATGCCACAGATCATGACAACTTTTTATACGATCTTCCACTGCGAGTTCACTATGCCGGATTTCCCAATTCAGTAAGCCCCAGCTTATCCTTGCTGATAAATTCATCACCAGGATCTACAAAACCTCACTTTGGCTTTCGAATCACAAGCGAAAAAGCGAATCTACCAGCGACGCTCGACTGAGCTCGACTCCTTTCACTACAAACGTCAATTGCTAGCCTAGGACATGCTCCCACGTTACATGAGCACTATCAGAAGACCGCTCTCGTCGTCTACATTCTTCTTCCATTCCTTTCTCTCATCGAGCGAGGCATATGCCTACGAGAATGTATCATGTATCACATATTATAGTTACATACACACATATTACCACCAAAGATAAGGTTACTGAGAAATTTTCACCGGTGAACAGCCTATTCTAACCACCGGATCCTGCCAATTCCCTACTTTGCGTCCGTACTGAACCGGTAGCCACTACGCTCGGCGTTTAGACTGGCGCATCAAATAAGCATGCATCATGGTGACAGCATCGAAGGAGCATATCACCGAGGAACACCACTGATTAACCATGGCCTGTCAGTACTTCTAAAAGGATATAAGCCCAAAGAAGAAGTCGTCAATAGATAAAGGGGACAGTATCAAAGATATACTGCGCAGTACCCATCCGTTCATTCAATGAGGTCTTCGGTGCTAGTGGTGACGGGTTCATTTTTGTTTGACAGATTTGGACAATTTAGGGTCTACTTTGGTGGTTCGACTTATGGGACCTGTTTCTTCACTGGCACTGAGAAAATAATCAATGATATCAAGAAGCTCACAAATGCGCCTGAGGTTGAATTTATGCTCTAGTCATTACAGTTGCAGTATTTGCTGGTGGACCAGCTCTCAAGGTATAGTTGTCCGACCAAGGCAGCCTCATACATTAATATTTACGGAGTCACTCCTATCCTACTCTGTAACTATCTGAACAGGAACACTAGTCCACGAGCTACAATATCGATTTTGAACTACATTTTTCGAGATCGAATAGGATTAAAACTTGCGAGAGTGATGAACAACATGCTCGGCAGATCGGGTATATTGTCTTGGGTCGCGTAAAATCTTCCATTATATTTTGGCGTCATGATTGCGTAAAAATGCTAAATATCATAATCTGAGGGCGTTATTTTGTTTGCATTTGCTCAAAGTACTTTTCCCATCCTATTTCCCGCATCTTAACTCCTTTTACGTCCAGATTCTCATCTTTTGCGGCTTTTGCGTATTCTGCCACCTTCTGTTGTAAGGTTTCATCGTAACATCCTAGTATGCGAACAGCCAGCAAGGCCGCATTCACACTGTTGTTGATTCCCACAGTTGCAACCGGGACACCTATATTGAAGAAGAAACATGTAAGTAAACGGGTTCCCTCTATGCGAACAATTGGGGTTTACGAACCTCGAGGCATTTGCACAATACTGTATAGACTATCAACCCCATCAAGGGCGCTTCCTTTCACTGGCACGCCAATAACTGGAAGCGACGTATGTGCCGCCGCCATTCCAGGCAGATGTGCAGCTCCACCGGCAGCAGCGATTATGACCTTGATACCGCGCGATGCCGCTGTAGAAGCGTACTCGGCCATATAATCAGGAGTCCGGTGGGCAGAAGTTACATCTACCTCTGGCTTGACGCCGAAATATTCTTCCAGGAGTCTCAGACCAGGAACCAGGGTATTTAAATCGCTATCTGAACCCATTACAACTCCGATTGTTGGCTGAGGATTGCTTGCAACCTTGGCCTCAACTCCCATGCCACCTGTCCGATCAATAAGAGGCTGCATCAACTCCTCGGCTTCACGCATTGTAGGAGCGGTAACTGTGACATGCCCCATTTTGCGTCCGAGCCTGCCTGCGCCCTTTCCATACAGGTGGACGCTTGCATTTGGGATAGACAATGCGTACTCAGCATCCTCAAGGTGAGCATCTGGCGTAGATCCACCTAAGATATTCAACATAATTGCAGGTTGACGCAGTTGGAGACTTTTAGGGGGGATCGGAAGATCTAAAATGGCGCGCAAATGGGTATCAAATTGTGACAGTGGGCATGCTTCGATAGTGTAATGTCCAGAATTGTGGATGCGGCTGGCAAGCTCGCAGAGCAGGATAGAGTTATCTTCTAGGAGAAACATTTCGACTCCAAAGACTCCCTTGCCATCAAAGGCAGCGACTGCATCTCTGGCCAGCTTCTGTGCCTTTTTGTTGATCTCGTCTGAAACATTTCTTGCAGGAGCATAGACTAGTTTGCATATCGAGTTCTCTTGGACCGTCTCAACAGTAGGATAGGACAAGACGCTGTCCTTGGTTTTGACTACCATAACTGCCAATTCCTATTTGTCGGAAATAAGAATCGAACTGCACTCAGCTGGGAGAACATTACATACCATTACGAATTTCGCCCATTTCTCTGCATAAAGAGGTCGGCCCTTTAGCGCTTCCAGCGCCGCCGGTATGTCTTCTTCGGTCTTTACCGCATAATTGCCTAAAATACATCTTCAGCTTGAATTCCCAATAGAAAACAAAGAGATACAATAGCATCGCATCCTCACCTCTACCATCGTACGCCCCAGTCTTCGACTTCAACATCAAAGGAAACCCAAGCTCCTGTCCAATCGCACTCAGTTCCTCAGCTGTACCGTCCTTCAGCTCACGATACTCCGCCTGCGGAATTCCAAACTTCGCCAAGTGCTGCTTCTGCGAAAATTTATCCTGAATAATTCTGATGCTCTTCCAGCTGGGCTGCACATCAACCAAGGACTCAACCTCCTCCAGAGCATGCGTATCAACATGCTCGATTTCGGCTGTCAAGACATCGCTATTCGCCGCGAGTCTGCGTACAGATTCGCAGTTCATAAAAGAGCCAGTTACGTGATCATCATGAGCACTGATTTGCTTCGCGGGGGCTTTGTCCGCGTCTAAAATATTCATTTGGATGTTGAGTCGATTGGCCGACTCCATCAACATTCTCCCCAGCTGGCCACCCCCAAGAACGCCCACTCGTTTTGAGCACGCCATTTTTCTTATATAACAAAAAAAAAAAAAAAAAGAGGCCAATAATTGATTTAAGCCTGAGAGTTCAAGTCGAAAGCGCTGAGAGGAACTTTTGGAGATTGAACATTGGCTGCGGGACTTTAATATCACGTGATAAAACTTTTTTTTTTTTTAAACTACGGGCTACAACAGGGACCAATTTGGTCGCGAGAATCGTGCAACTACTGGCGATATCTCGCGAAGCATAGACTACTATTCGTCCCTCCAAACCCAAAACTGTTTGTCAGGACAACATCCACTTCTCTACCCTGTGCCACATTCGGCACGTAATTGCAGTCAAACTCCTCTGTTGTGTTTTCAAGGTTGATGGTTGGTGGAAGTATTCCCTATGACCTTTTTGAGCAACGACATCTCGGAGTTTAGGGTCATAGGACAGTCATGCCTTACCTCATAGATTGTTAGGACGGAGAAGACTGCTTCTATCGCACCAGCTCCTCCCAGCAAATGTCCTATGGCACCCTTTGTGCTACTGATGTTGATATCCGAAGGCCTTTCTTTTCCTTCAGAGCCAAGAAGGAGCGTCTTAATAGCGGCGTTTTCCGCAGCATCTCCGATGACAGTGGAAGTACCATGCGCGTTAATGTAGTCAACCTTGCTCGGTGGTAATGCGGCATTTTTCAATGCACGTTGCATGGCCAGTAAAGCACCTTTACCGTTCTCCTTGGGCGCTGTCATGTGGTATGCGTCCGCCGAGCAGCCGTAACCCTTTAATTCCGCGTAAATACGTGCTCCACGGGATGTGGCATGTTCTAATTCCTATATAAAGTCCGAGATATGCGTTAGTAAAAGCAGGCCTCTTGCTCACTGCGAAAATCAGTCGATGGTACCTCCAGGATCACGACAGCGGCACCTTCACCGACAACAAATCCTTGGCGATCCCTATCAAACGGACGAGAGGATTTTTTAGGCTGATCGTTAAAATCCGTAGCAAGACTCCGGCACCGTGCGAATCCTCCGATTGCAAGTGGGTGGATGCAGGATTCGGCTCCACCCGCAACCATTACATCGGCATCACCATGTGCAATGAAACGAGCAGCATCTCCGATGGAATGGGCACCGGTAGTACATGCGGTCGTTGCTGCATGATTCGGTCCCTATCCTTAGAGATTTAGAATCAATTTCTAAAATAAAAGAGTATAGTCAATACCATGAAGCCATATTTCATTGAAATATGTCCAGCGCCCAAGTTAATTAGTAACTTGGGAACGAACAACGGCGAGATCTTTCTGTATCCCTATAATCCATGATATGAGAAAAGCTCTACCTCCACCGGCTCAAAGATTGCGAGTGGACGAGGTACCTTTTTATCACGTAGCCCGTTATCATAGGCAACGGATGAGTTATAAATTTCTTCGAAATTCCCTATTCCAGATCCTAAGCATACACCCTATCCCATATATCAGCAATCTATAGCGTAAATTGAGGATTTCGAAAATGAAGGTATGGTGGACCTACCGTCATTTCCATTGCTTCCTGGGTCCCGGGTTTCCACCCTGCATCATTGAGCGCTTCCTCTGTTGCTGCTAATGCGTATTGTGCAAACAGAGCGGTTTTTCTTTCTTCCTACCATCAATCTCTGTCAATATCAGATCTTCTTAGCATCAACGGCGCCAAGCAACAATGCTTACAGCTCCTCAGACACAGAGAAACCTACATCGCGAGTCACCCATTCAGATGCTCTCCAGCCGCCAAGCTCCTTGGGGCCCTGCGGCACAACGGCCGCAACCTGACATGGTACTTCTGTAAATCCGGGATGTCTATGTTTCACAGATACAATACCACAGTGGCCCTCCACGAGACGCCCCCATGTGTGACGGATACCTAATGTTTTTATAAGTTAATCAACACGCGCCATGACGATGAATTGCAATACTCCCATACCAGTTCCCAAGGGAGTGACGGCGCCCAGCCCCGTAACTACCACTCGGCGCATTACTCAACCTTAGCCCATGGGGGACAGTGAGAAGCTCGGGCAATTCAGTATAGTAACACCCGGCGATGTCTCAAAAAATGAATCCTAATTGCCCAAGTGCTGTTAAAAACTGCTGGATGTCGAGATCGTGTCGTCATTTTACAAGACAGCTCTATGCGCTACCTAAGGCTCCCAACTCAGTCGTTCTCGGAAATTTGGATTGTCCGTTTTCGCATCGGCTCAATGCAATCTCCAGCTCAATACTGTGATCACCGCTCGGTCGCCCCAAACGCGTTCACGAGGAGCGAAAATGCTAATCCGTGACTCGAGTTCGGCGAGTTTTGTCTTCCCTCGGGAAAAATTGTCACTGGGCAAATTTGAAATTAACCGCGATGGGTGCGACTTCAAAAGCTTGAGTTTCGCTCTTTCAAAAGGCCTCCTCGGCCAGCCTCTACGCTTTTCTATTTTGGCTCAGCTTAATGAATAAAAAGAGGTTGAGAAGGAGGCAACCGACGAGGGTGATGCGTTTTTCATACTGGCAGGGACTCCTCCTGGGGCTATTAATCTGTTGGAAGCCCGTCGCTGGCCATCAGGACCACCAGCATGGCGAGCAGGCGCCAATTAATGAAAAGGACCTGCTCAAGAAATGGGGGCAGGAAGTAAGCTATCCCTCATGGCTTGTTTCCATGGACTTCTCGCACATAGCCTGCGTTCATAACTTATATGCCTTGAAAGAATTTATTTTGCTGCTGTGAGCCGCGATGCATTGACAGATGTAAACTTACAGTGGGCGTTCTCGGGCATTTCCACCTTTGCGCGCCTCAAACATGTTAAATGCCTTCTGGAGCCAGACGAACTCTATGACATTGCAATCATCGGAGCGCCATTTGACACAGCGGTCACATACAGACCCGGTGCGCGATTTGGCCCTCGGGCCATTCGCGCTGCCAGCAGTCGCCAAGTGCCGGGATTGGCATACAACACCCGCGCAGGGATAAACCCCTATCTCAGCTGGGCCCGAATCCTGGACTGTGGTGACATCCCCGTCGTTCCATTCGACAATGCTATTGCCGAATCGCAAATGTACGAAGCCTTCCTCGAGCTTGGTAACCGACCAACGCCAAAGAATGGCAGACCCAAACTCATCACCTTAGGAGGTGATCACAGCATCGCGCTTCCAGCGCTTCGCGCCTTGTACAAGATTTATAACAAGCCGATTACGGTGGTGCATTTCGACGCCCACCTCGACACATGGAATACACTCCGGTACTCGGAGGTGTGGACTTCTGAGCAATCCCGCTTCACTCACGGCAGTTTTTTTCACACTGCTAGTCTTGAAGGGCTTATTTCCAATACTAGTTCCGTCCACGCGGGACTACGAACTCGTCTGACGGGTACTGACGATGGCGACTACACCAATCCGGGTCCGGAACAAGGCTTCATGCGAATTCACGCTGACGACATTGATGATATCGGCGTAAAGGGGGTGATTGACGCAATCATCTCTCGTGTCGGTCTCTTGCCCGACGAGCCTGTATATTTGAGCCTCGATATTGACGTCCTCGACCCCAGCATCGCGCCAGGGACAGGGACGCCCGAACCGGGGGGTTGGACGACGCGAGAATTGATTAGAATCCTCCGGGGGATTGAGAAGCTGAACCTTGTTGGAGCAGATATCGTGGAAGTATCACCCACTTACGACGGACATGGAGAAGGAACAGCTCTCGCAGCGGCTCAAATGGTCTATGAGTTACTGGCCAGCATGGTAAAGTTGGAACTTAAAGAAGAAGCCGGTGGGTGGTATGGCAAGAAGAGTCAGAAATCTCGCGACGAGCTGTGATATAAGTTTTGGAAGTGGAAGTGTTGTAGCTTTAGCCATATCAGCATAATTGATTTCAAATAAGAATCTACATGTATCAATTGTTAACATTAAATTATAGTTACCCAATCTCGACAAACAATAGTCAATAAATATCTTTATGGGAAGCACTGCCCGAGATGACTATGCTAACATTTAGGCAGAGGTAATGGCTGACTAGAAGTCCAAACAACTGTCAGAGATAAAGAGCAGCACTTTATGTTTCCACAGCAGCAGAGTGATGAAGGGCCTGAAATGATAGCGTAACTTTTAACAAAGACAGGCATAGGAACCAAGATAAATATGGAGTTTAAATAAAACTATACAAGGGAGAAGGAATGTATTTGCAATGTGTCTTGTGGATTTTCCCCATGTACATAAATCTCCTCAACCATCAAATCCAAGCATTAGGTTAAGACGCAAGAAACAAGGTGGGAATCAATTAAAATAAAATAGGATTCATCAATCTGTCTTAAAGACCTGTGATCTGCCTGATTCAGCACAACACTCAAAGTAAAACAGACATGTGGACACAGGAGTACAGAGATGACTATGACAAGGGTAAAAAACAAAGACACAATTCCATCCCTTCAATGATTCGCCATTTCACACGCCTTCCTGAAACCCCTCATAATGCCATCATCATATTGTCATCTTGTTTGCAGACATAACAAAACGCGTTTGTCCAGTTCAATCCAGATTGAGAGGGCATGCTCGACGGCGCAATAAACAGCGGATAAGCTAATCTAGAAGTATCTGGACGGATAATTGGGAGGACGACTAGACTTTGCCTCAACGCCGTTGAAAAAAAATGTAAAAAGAGCTTTACAGAATCTTGCAAACGCGAGACTTCTTGCGGGTGCTTGGGGGCTCAAGGGCAGCAACGATGGCCTAGTTGAAAACTGATCAGTACACAACATCTGACGCGCGAATAGCATGTAGCTCACCTCATCGAAGACGTCCTTGAGCTTGTACTGAGTGAGTGCAGAGCATTCGACGTATTTGACCGCTCCAAGTTCCCTTGCCATGCGCTCTCCGTCTTCTTTGCGAACGGGAGCCATCTTCTGTTTTGAGAGTTTCTCACGAACAGCAGGGTCATCGCGTAAGTCGGTTTGGGTACCAACAATCAAGCAAGGGACCCCGGGACAGTGATGACGGACTTCCGGAAACCATTTCTCGCGGACGTTCTCGAATGACGCAGGAGAAGTCACGGAGAAACAAACGAGGAAGACATCGGTTTGGGGATAGGAGAGCGGACGAAGACGATCATAATCCTCCTGGCCGGCAGTATCGAAAAGGCCGAGAGTATACGGTTCGTCTCCAATCCTGTAGCAGTAGGTTGGCGCCGTGTCAGCTAGCTTTTCTAAAAACTCTTGCATGATCTCCAAAAGAGGTAGAGGGACAAGAATCTGGCTTCAAAAACACAAAGGACCTTTGGAGTCTAAGGAGAAAGGATATGTATAAACAAAAGACGCGCAACTCACATCACAGTCACTGCATAATTATCGAAAACAGTGGGAACATATTCAGAAGGAAACTTGTTTGTAGTATATGAGATCAACAGACATGTCTTTCCGACAGCTCCATCCCCAACGACAACACATCTATTATGTTCCCGAAGCATGGTTAGTTCGGTGCACCTGAACACAGATTTATCTTATGACATCGGGGTAGCACGATGTATTCATCTTGCCGAGCAAAGCACACTTACTTGATAGTAGCAACAACCATTTTTGAAGCTTGCTAACACAACAGTTGAAAAACTGCGGTTACTTATGTGCTGAGGCACAGATGTTTCAGGGGTAGGAAGTATGTCAGGATGCAATATTGAATCGAGAGGATGTTGGAGCTCACGAGGCGAAGACGAACGGGTGAAGAGAGGAGAGGAAGGGAGCAGGCGAGGAGAGGAGGGCAAGGAATAGTGGGGAGTTTGTGAGGGAAAGTTCCGTCAGGGCAAACCTCAGTTGCTAACGGTCACACAGCGAAAAAGTGAGGGTGAATTGAGTGAGTAAGGCAGAACCGGAGGAGGATAAAAGTGAGAGAGAGAGACCTAGAACGCTGAGCTACAACTGTTAACCAATAGCCCACACAACAGGCCGTGCTGCTTCTCTGATTCCTGAGCTCCAAGGCCAAGCTGAAGAGAGAAGTTGGGATCGAAAAGAAACAAAACAAGATTGACCCTGGGTGGTGTGCAGACTCACTTGGATGGTGGAGGTGAAGGAGAGGACGGAAGGGCGACGACGAGACGGATTGCGCTGCAGAACGCGCCCACAAGGACTTGGGAAGACCCTTGCGAGGCTTGTCTGCTGAAAGAGAAGCAGGTATTGGACAAAACCGATTGGACAAGGCGACGCTCACAGTGGTGGCTGGAGAAGTGATTGATGACGGGGTTGGAGGATTGATGTTTCAAAGAATGGAGGTGGTTGTTGAGCAAATGGGCAGCGATGCCAAAAGGGGGGGAAGTCGACACCTCAAATCGCCCCGGATGCCACCAAGCAAAGATCTTGAGAGCAGCAGCGATGAAATACGGGCGGCAATGGAGATGTTCTACTTTGCTCTGCAACAATGATACGAGAATTGCCAGTGCCTTTACTATCCGCTGTGACGTCCCTTGCGCCCTTCTCGCTGCCGTATTTCACCCGCGCAGTTTCTGATCTGTCTGAAGAAGACTGGCCTGCAGAACTCTTTATCTAACTTCGGCTCTAGTCTAGTCCACGGACGCTGGAGATGTAACGGCTTTTAGCCATTCGCTTGGTTCGACGACCCTGAAGCTACAAGCACCAAAAGCTCGGCCAGCGCCTTGCAGAAGGTATTGCGAGGTATCACCCCGATCACGATGATCATCGGCAACCATGCCTCTATCCCAAATGTATTCTAGGCTGAAACGAAGACCAGCGAGCAGCTTCACCTTCTTTTCGACTAGTTAAGAGTGGGTCATGATCCCTTTTCTCTTCAAACAGCGACAGTCGCCGGATCCCCAAAAAGAAAAAGAAAAAAAGAAAAATCCGAGGCTAGTTACTGTCTTGCTTTCTTCCCTTCTGAGCCGAGCTCAATCCACGAACGACAGCCTCAGTGCTGCCAACAAACCCACCAGCAACGTGTTGTCTCATGAGCAGAAGAGCAGCGTAAGCCGAGCTTATAACACAGCCAAGTAAATCCGCAGGATCTCCTCCACCCCCTAATTCATTGGGGTTCAGAGGTTAGACAAGGAGATCCATGCTTAGCACCAGTGTCTACGGAGTATCCTCCGTCCAAAGTCCCAAAACCGACTATTGAACTCCCTAAATAGCCGCTGCTGACTAGTTATATGGGACGGGTTAACTCCTCCATTTCCAGGATAGACGTACCCTTTCAGCAAAGAGGAAGATACCAAATAACAAGCGACCGTTCTGAGCCAGACCCATTTCCCCGCGCACACACAGGAATTCTGTGCTGCAACCTGTACATGATGTAAGTAAGCACGCATACATATACTCAATGCTATTCAATCACTCCGTATACCTCTCAGCTTGGGCGGAAGGCTTATGTGCCTTCTGGAAGAAAGAATGCCATTGAGAAACTAACGCACGGGATTCAACAACCCATCTCAGCCGCGGAGTTGCGATGCATTGTGTGACGTCGCATCCTGCCATCGACACAATACGAGAAGCGACTATCAACTATCACAACCCATATATATTCTCAAAAACGTTCCAGCATCGCCAGCGCAGTTGATTTAATGCGAGAAGCAAAGCTAACTCTGGCATCCTTCTCAGAATCCAGTTCACCCAAGAAGCTCTCCAAAAACCCCCTTCAATATTTGACTACATGAATATTTCAAGCTCCTCTGCGTCCAAGAAAACAAATACCAACCCAGCTGTTTGGATCCCGAATTTAATTGCGCAACACACCAACGGGCCATTGTGTCGCTTTGAAAATAGTACCAAACTACGCACGACAGGCCAATGCCCAGCGAAGAACTGAGCACAGAACCATCCGGTTCTTCGATGTTGCGGCCCAATTGTCACACACAGTATGAGCCACGCATCGTTGCAGGATAGCATACGGCAGAAGGGTATACATGCTATTCCTACATCGACAAATATCAAAACCTGGGTCTATTTCATCCTGTGATTGAATTCCCGGCATGCGACCAGAGACAGTTGTAAGGAGGAGAAGATAACTTCATTGATGGCGAAGGTGAATGATTTACTAGCAAAAGAATGACTTCACCAAGCCTCGCTCGTAAGGCTCTAGGCAGAAGGAATATTAGGCTGAGTTGGATCATCAGGCTCGTCGCGATATTCCGGGAAGGCTGGACTTAAAACATGAGTGGTATTGTGGCAATCTCACGTTTTGTTCGAGACTTTAGAATTCCTCTAAAATCTACAGTGAAATTTATCGCCAAGGTAAAGAAAAGACGCTAATATGCCACTGAGTATCAACCTACACAGCCAACACGGCTGGCTTGTGAGCCGCTCCTCAGAAACAGGGCCTAAACGTCAAAAACGGTCTCTGCAACCTCTTCCAACACTTCGTCCCACTCTTTATCTGACCTTCGGGTATACTCAATTGTTGCCAGACCCGTAACAATAACCATATCCAAATTTGCGATCACATTGGCGTCCTGAACCAGCAATATAAACTGATCCATCTGACGCGAAAGTAGGGAGGACCGCTTCTCATATCGAGCGATCACGCGTTTGTGCTGATCTACTAGCTTATGGCTGCTCGTGAAGATACTATCGCCTCCTTTCCATTGCATCCTTCCCAGCGGTGAGTCAAATTTGCGTCCACTAGCAAGCAGATCAGAGCGCTGCATTGTCATATCCATTGGCTGGGGACCGGAGTATAAGGAAATGCCAATCTTGGAGGAAAGACCGTGGAACGAAACAGTGCTAACAACTGTGCCGCTGTTGGATCCGCCGAAAGGGACTTGAACTGGCGGATGTGCGCAGGGTGGAGATGGAGATGGGTAGTGACATGCTGGAGGAGCCATCTGCTGGTACGGAAAACGGTGTCGAATGAGTGTCATATGTGGCTTCGCTTTTTGTGACGTTTCTACCGTATAAAGACGTGTGGTTGAGTCGGAGTCGAGAATGGTATATACCACACCCGATGCCAGCTGCGATTTCGTTATATAGAAGACTCGCCCTGGGTCCATGGTGGATAAGCAAAGAGAAAAACTAGGGAAACTAGAGAGAAATTTGGGGCAGCGTATTCAGCAATGAGACCGATAATTCAAGGGAGATGTTTGATCTCGCTGCAAGTCCATCCTGGCCAGAAAGGAGTCATTTCAGGGCGAAGCGGCCCTGTTATGAAGGTTGGCATCTTCTGGCCTTGTACACGGGGTCCTCCATGAATTACCCGCTTCAGGTATTAAGATCGCAGGCAGCTGAACGTGTCTTGTGGATAGGTGACGTGCTGGACACAGCCTGGCTATCACTGTGGTCCAAGGTTCACTGCCTTGGAGATTGGGATGGAAGTGGGCGACTCCAGAAAAGGTTTCTCCAGAAAATACCCCGATGCGGTTAGTTCCCGCGGACCAGGCTAAATGCCGTTTGCAGCCAAGCCGTGCTTCGTGTTCCGTCAGAAACAATTGAAAGCCACACGAGCTGAGATCGAAGGAGAGTTTGGGTGAGATGATGATGGGAGCAGAAGAAAGTGGCATGGCCATCTTGTTAAATAACCAATTCGAGCCATTTCCTCAGAAAAAGGTCTGGAGACGTTTTGGAACGACCTCCCAGCTAAGTACATACGGACTTGAAGACTTTCAATATGAGAAAGCTATTCTATCGTGGGGGAGGAGAAGCGAGGCTCGGCCATGCCACCTGCATCAACAGCAGACCTGAATCGCTCGCTATTCGTTGGTGTCCACGGATCCCTGGTTGCTGACTTTCTACTGGATGAAGTGCCCAAATCCTTGCAGCTCTGGGGCAAGCATTTGGCACCCACACGGGCCGGCCTGTCCACGAGACGTTCGCGGCCGTTGAAGCTTGAGGAGAAAGCTTCAGTCCTTCGACGCTTATATCTACTCCGTAGATGGGAAGTTCTCGCACTTCGCTTTTCGTGTTGAATCTACGACCCGTGGAAACTCCCATACCCGCCCTTCAGTATGGCATTTGTGACGCTGTTCACAGCCCTTTCCCTCCCCAAATGGCAGCTTCTTGCGCTCGGCCTTGGTATCTGGGTTGCTCTTGACATATGTCGGGGTATTTTTCGCGTGGTGACTTCTCCATTTCCTGGGCCCAGAATCGCCAAGTTCACTCGATGGTGGATGCGGTGGAAGCAGTGGAAAGGTAACCAGAAATGAGGACCTTTACGCATTCGGGTTAATAAATTGGACGCAGGAAATGACAAGCACGAAATTCTCTTATTGCATCGAAAATATGGCCCAACCGTGCAGCTGGGCCCTCGTGAAGTTTCCTTCTGTCATGCTGATGCCCTGCCGCAGATCTACTCGGGTCCACGAGGACTTGACGCTGGTGAATCTTTGCTCGCTTTTCAAAATTATGCTTCAGAAAACGTCGTAACGACGCTGGATGCGGATCTCCATGCTGTTCGCAGAAAGATGGTCGTTGGTTTGTATACTGGACCTGCGGTTGCCGCTCCGGCTTTTCAAGCTGGGTTTAAGATATATATAGAACAATTTATGCGGATAATAGAGGAGAGGGCTGTTGCCGCGCCCTGCAGGACCGTTGATGTTTCTTCCTGGCTGAGGTGGTTGGTGGCCGATATCATCATTCACCACATCTACGGGGAAAAGGACCATCCTAATATGTTGACAAACGAGGAATCGAGGAAGATTTACAAAGGACTGCTGATTACCACTGCGGATATATTATGCCAACCGTTTGTAACGTTTCTGGGGTGGTTTCCACGTTAGCACATTCTTTCCTGCTTGAAACCATAAGTGACCATATTAACGATTTGACAGGCATTTCCACGCTATTTCAAAGGCTTTTTGGACCAGATGAAATAGGAACTTTTGGGATGAAACGGGTCGAAGCAGTTCTCTCCGCCAATTCAGAGACAAAAGAACACTCGATCACTCACCTTCAGCATCTCACGTCCACCCTTAAAAAGAACGGCCCATCACGTGTCCTTCCAGGTAAAAACTTCATCGCAAGTGACTGTCTTGACCATTTCATAGCTGGTAAGTGATGGGCCATGGCTAGTCCCACTGTTACTTCCCAGGAATTGATTTTTCAACAAGGATACTTCGCTCCTGGCGATTTGCTCGCCGCATTGATGTGGGAACTCTCCGCTCCTGAAAACAGGATATACCAAGATAAACTCCGGCATGAGCTCCATGATGCCGGAATCTTACCAGGGAAATATCCTGATCCTTCGCTCGTCCAAAGACTGCCATACCTGGATTGTGTACTACGTGAAGTGCTTCGACTCCATCTTCCTCTTCCATTTGGCTTGCCTCGAACAGTGAAGCAAGGACAGAACGTTGTGGTTTTGGGAACAAAAATCCCAGCTGGGGTATGTGGAAATTTTCGTCAAACAAGTCCATACTCCACCCGATCTAATAGCATATCAAACAGACAACGATACACTCCCAAGGTTATTGTCTTCATCGCGACCCAGACGCTTTTCAGGAACCAGAAAGATGGAATCCAGAACGTTGGAACATTCCAATCACGTCTCCAAAATATCGAGAGATGCAGCGGATGTTCTGGCCGTTCGGCTCCGGAGCGAGAATGTGTTCGGGGAAAAAGTAAGTTTTCGATATCATCCAACTCAGAAAATTATATCCAAATCGAATCGAGATTGAGATTGGAAATGCCCTGAATTCTTTATTTATCTAACTCCTTTCTTCTCGAATAGCGTTGCATGGGCAGAGCTGCGCCTGATTACAGCTAGAGTGTATAGCACGTACCAGACGGCGTTGGATGAGGTCTTTGTTGATAAGGATGGGACTCTGCTTCCAGAAGAGAAGAGAAAGGCCTATTTCCCGTTCAAAATAACATTACCCATTCGGTTTCTCAAGCTTTAGATAGTCCTGTCGCGCTTTTCTGGCCCTCGAATCAATCATTAACTTCTGTGGTGCTGTATAACAATGTGTTAGGTCAACGTGTAGCGGACGATAGGCATCTTCACTCCAATTGGTTAGGTCAAATATAATTGTTCATTTTTCCAAAGCATCTCCTTCAATTGAGACCCAAGTGGGCATGTTGCCCAAAGCCTGTTAAATGTTGTGTATGTACAGATACATATGATCTACAAAAGGGTCAAAAGGCGAGGGAAAGGTAGGGAATAACACTGGGATCCCGAAGTCAGACACTTGTCTATTTCCCAGAAAAATTTTATAGCGGAAATGAGAAACTCCAGCCATATCCTACGCTGGTGGTAGTAAAACGGAAAGATCGAAATATGCATGAAGGGTATCTTGCCATCATATGCAGAAAACGAGGGACATAAAAAAGCTGTCGGTATATGCTAAAACAAAGTTCGTTTCTATATGGATCTCGGAAGGAAAATGTTTGCTCCTTTGAAAGATCCAGGTCCATGGCTTGTGCAATACGTTCGTTTGCACTTGTTGGGGCCTTGCGGAGAACGATGCTGAGGGGTCGAATGAGAAAAGAGGGGGTGGTTTATATCTCTAAGGTCGAGAGTTCGACCTGGATGATCGAGAACTGGTTCTGGCTATAAAATCATCTTCCACATCATCGTGGCCGATGACTTTCCCTTTGACTTTTTGAGCCATCTATCACGTCTAGGTTAGCACAAGTGAGAAATAAACATACGTCAGCTTGGTATTCACGAGAATACGTACTGTGTCTAGGTGGTAATCCTTCATCAACAAGCTCAATGGTATCAGCGGAATGGTTACACAAACCGCAATCGTCAGCAGCGTCCCCATTGTTTCTTCATATGCCCTATTAATAGCGATCCGTGTTGGGGATCCTAAGGGATACGAGAGTGCCTCGGTCAACTTTCCAAAGATCTCATCCGCCTGCTCCCGGCTTTCTGGAGGTAGGTAATTCCGTAACCGTTTCGGGATAGAGCTTGTCCACACCGCGCCTGAAATCGCCGAGCCGACAGCACCCCCCATCTCAAGTGCTGTTAGGAACATTGCTGTAGCAGCTGCAACTTCCTGATGACTTGCTGATGCCTGGACACCCAGCTGTACAGGAACATTCACTAGTCCACCTCCGAGGCCAACAATGGTCTGGATAACAAGTGTTTTGAGGACACTGCTACCTTCTTTGTGGAACAGGAGCATTAAGATCAGCCCCCCAATGTAGACGAAACAGCCACCCGTGACAAAGGAGCGGTATCTCCCAGTATATTTAATGAAGAATGAGACTACCACGGCAGCAATGGTGGATGTGAATGAAAAGGTCTGTGTCACGCGGCCAGCGGTGACGACAGATTGGCCTTGTACGACTTGGAGATAGGAATAAAGATACGGTTGGATGGATAAGTAGAACGCCACTTATCGAATGTCAGTAAAAGGGGGCATCCTGGATGAGAAGGGGTGGGTTGTCGTCCTTACTAAAGTAGAAGAATGCGAATGCACAGCCTGCCAGGGCCGTTCTCTGCTTGAGAAGTTTTAGGGAGAGCAGCGGGTGCGGTGCTAGCCTTTTCGACGTCTCCCAGAAAGGAAGAGCAACTAGGCAAATGCACCCTACCACAATCATCGCGATGATACTTCCGTTTTGCCATGTATCTTTTGCATTCGACGCCAGCGTCAATGGTACCAGAATGAGGATGAGCGCAGCTGAGAGCAATATCAAGCCAAACAGATCCAACTCGTACCAAGTACTCCGGAGCAAACTCCTTAGACCTTTGCCTTTCCAAGGCTTAGGCTGCAGTAGCTGCAGCTTCTGTGCTTTTCTCTGATTGAGCCACAAGGTCAAGGCCAAAGGCAGGAAGGCCAAGGGCAAAATAACCACCCACATTCCATAGCCCCAGCGCCAGGTCAAATTCTGGAGAATAGCTGAAGCTACCATTGGCCCGACCCACACAGTAATGAGGAAAGGTAAATCGGGAAGGTTGGCAAATAGTGCTCGGTTGAGTAGATCGCTGCTATCGGCGATAAACACCTGTTGCAGTATTTGCAAGCCTGTTGAACCAGCAGAGTAAAATATCTGCGCCGAGGCATAGGTCTGCACATTCTTCGAGGCGGCCATTTGGATGTAACCGAGGACATAAATAAAAACACCGATACAAAACGCTTCAAACCGACCAAACACATCCGCGATCTTCGCCATGGGCGGCTTTATGACAGCTATTGAAAAAGTGTTAAGAGACAGGTGCTCAAAGGAAAGTGGAAAGAAACTTGTCCGGCTTACCATTAGTTACATTTTGAACAACCAAGACCGTAGATATTAAAGAATGTTTGCTAAAGGAACTTGTTGCATAAGGTGATAAAGACATCACCGTCTGCCCCTCGAGCGAGGTAGAGAATGCCATCAGAAAAATTCTAAAACCCATTAGCCCATGACACACACCCACAAAACCACCATGGACAGGCCGTAGAAAAATCCTCGAAAAAAAAAGAAAAAAGTCTCACCCAAGATATGCTATTATCAATGATTTCTGCGTCCACGTTCTGCTAATAGCCTCGATTTTCCGGACACCATCCTGGACGTCCGTACTGATGGACGTCGACGAGCTAATAATCTCTTCAAATATAGGATCATTCTCTCCAAGTTCCCTCGGTTCCACAAAAAGCAGGCCTTCACTTTCGTTATTTCCCTCAGTTCTCTCGTCTGACTCGAATGCCCCATATGTTGGAGGGCTCGAAGGCCCCCTGGGACGACTCATGACTCCCAGCAACCCAAGACCCCTTATTTGGTGTGACTATCAATCGTCGAAGGCCACGTTATAGCCGGGATAGGGCGACAGAGGTTCATCAATAATATATAATATTCCGTTTCCCAGCAGGACGTTCGATCGGTAGCAGCCGGGCTTTGGAAAACACTGAGAATCACGCCGCACACGAGCAAGGCAGAGGATGTCTGGAACTGTAAACGCCTCCGATTGTGCGCCGAAAAGTACAGCCAGCCAACTGGCCGCTGAAGGTCTGCGAAACGGCTGGTGGCTGCCGGTCCACAAAGTTTTGTCGATCCGCAGGAATCGGATGAGAGAGAGACGCCCGTTGGGTTAAAAATGCTTCGTGACACGTACTCTGTCGAACGCAAGACAAGGAAAATAAATAAGAAGAACTAAAATATAGCCCCGCTAGTGCCTTAAGTGCCCCTTAAAAAAAAAAAAGGCAAATCCCAAAAAAGTCGTGAATGTCCGTTGATTGATCGTGTTCATGGAAAAAGTTAGCCAATGGGATATCCGCGGGTGAAGGGAGCTGGACTCAAGGGGTTCGAAAGGAGAAATAAGGCGATCCAAACCCTGCCAACCCTCGCTGGCATTAAATTGGTTTAATAAAAGCCCAGCTTATCGTAGATGCGGAGAACAGACCACCAGGACGACCGCAGGCAGAGCCAGCAGACGCAGTCATGAATCGAACGGGTGATGGAGGGGGGCGGAAACGGCCGGGTGGAGGCCACGGCTGCTTGGCGAGATGATCTGATATGATAAGATTAACTAACCAGTTAGGCACCCAAACGCTCGCCAACCCAGCGTGGGCTCGCAGCCACAGTATGATTGGGTGAAACGAGGCCCGCTAGGCTACTTACGGTATGGCATCTCGCGCGTTTCCCCGTGACCAGCTCTAAACCTCCCTGGGCGAAACTTCGGCCAAGCTCGGATCTGATAATGCCTGGTGATCCGATCAGCTGCGGCGTCCGACGGCGAGTCGCCGCTGCGAGTCACCCGAACCCTGCGCGGAGTACATGTTTGCTTAATCAGTTGCCTCGTATCGTTTCAACATGGCGCAGAAAGGTCGCCCTCAACCCGAAAACCTACGTACATTTAACTCGCATAGTTAGTAGCTCGCGCGGGATTTACTAACTTAGTTAACTAAACTGCTGTGTACGGCTTTTGCGATGTGTGGTCACTTTGGTTATGTATATTCAAGCTCAAAGTCCCGAAATACCACGTCTAACTCCCCGCCCTCTTTCGCTGGTCGGCACGCATACACTCCAGCCAAAGCCTTGACATCCTCTTCCTCAGCGAAAGCCCAGGTAATCTCTCTCACCGGTACCATGATTTCCTCCCCTTCCCTCTTCTCAACCACGTAAACCCACAACGCACCCTTCTGCCTCACCATTTCAATCGTCACCCCGCCTCCGCCATCCGATATCGGCGCAAGGCTCCAGTCAGCCCAGTTATCCTTCGCTACCGTACTCACATACGGCCTCCCACTGACGAACTCAATCCCCGTCTTGATCCATTTTCGGGCCTTGTGCTCCATCATCAAGACCAGTCCGCCCTGGTCGTAGAGCGTGGACCAGTCAGCACTGACGTGAACACGGGCTCTCTGGAAGCGGCTCAGTGCTATCGCCCTGGTGATCGTGGGTGCATTTGACCGGACCGTCGAGGGTGGTTTGGACCAGAGGTCAGTGCCTGGGGCGGCTTTCAGGGTGAAGCCGTTCTTGAGATCGGCTTCGGTGGGGGGTTGCTGGGAGGTGTTTTCACTCCGGAGATTGAGACTGGACATGGCGCTGTGACGATGAGCCACAAAACTATGATAACTGGTATATTGCAGTGTCTTTAAATGATTTTTGATGAGTTGTTTGATAAACGCATTGATTCAGGTTGACGTGGAATCAATAGGAACAAGTGTGGAGTGATGACCAAGTTCAGCCGGCAACTTTCTAGACACGTACATGCGGACAGCAACCAGCAACTAGCAAGGTTGTATTCCCGAGAGTCCGAGTTCCCGAAGAACTCGAAATCCGACTCTTTCAGCAATTGGGTCTCTCAAGTTGAACCGAACTTCGTTGCCACAAAACGATGCTCAAGTGTAACCCCAACGCACCCGATAACGGAAACCCAGCTCCAATGGTAAGAGATACCCCTTTGAACGTTATAAGCGCGCGGCGTTATCCCATGTTCGTAAATCGGAGTGTATATCCGGTGACAACTTGGCATTGGGACGGGAATGTAAACCCTGGCGAGCCGGCGGTATCTTCTAACTGCTTCTGCATTGTCCTTAAGGTCAAACTTGCTGGCCCATGGTCGGAAGATAGTGCCCATATGTCAAATTTTGCCCTGCCATTCCTCAGGGATCGATTGATGGGATGAATTTTATCTCCGGAACTCTCTGAATAGGAACCCTTTTAGCCGTGACAAAATATAGGATATCAGTTTGGTGAACTTAAAACTACCTGGAAGACGATGCATCGGGGACAACGTAGAGGAAGAGAGAGTGGATTTTCGAATACCAAGAGCATTACGTCCAAATTATTGTATTAATACAGATTAAGAAAGCACACTATTATTTATATAAACTGCGGACTCCCGCAACTTTTCAGCTGTCCTCGTTGGAACTCATGTATCCCTGTCAAGACTCTGAGCTTGACACATCTCGTAATACCGCCCCTTTTGCCGCAAGAGTTCTTGATGAGTTCCTCGTTCCACAATTCTACCGGCGTCCAGCACAAATATCGCGTCACAGTCTTGTACAGTGCTAAGACGATGAGCAACGGCAATAGTCGTCCTTCCCTTTTTTGCAGTCTCCAATGCAGCTTGGACGACCCGTTCGCTCTCAGTGTCCAACGCACTGGTAGCCTCGTCCAAGAACAAGAAGTCAGGATTTCGCAGAAGCGCCCGTGCAACAGCAAGGCGCTGTCTTTGACCTCCGCTGAAAGTGAGACCACGCGAGCCTGATTCCGTGTTATAGCCTTCAGGCAGAGATTGGATGAAGTCATGAATGTTCGCATCCTTACAGGCCTTGACAATGTCGTCGTCTGAGACTGTTGTCGAGTGGATTCCAAGTGTGACGTTTTCTCGGATAGAACCCTGGTAGAGCGTCGTCTCCTGAGAGACCAAGCTCGCGCTCTCTCGATATTCGTTGACGTCGATTGCAGAAATCGATTTTCCGTTTATGAGAATTTCACCGGAGGAGATATCGTAGAATCGTTCCAGCAACGCGATGATGGTGGTTTTACCGCATCCCGAAGCGCCCACGAGACCGACGTTTTGCCCACGATAGATCTTGAAATTGATCTTTCGGAGTACCGGATGATCTGGTCGGCTTGGGTAATGGAATGAGACGTTTTTAAATTCAATTGCAACGTCCTTCTCGCCGCCCGGGAGAGGTTCTCCCTTCGAGCCGTTAATCGGAGCAACTTGTTGTCGGAGGTGCAAAATATGATTTGCAGCTGAGTGCGCCTTCGTCGTATCTAATAGCACGTGTTAGCGAAGAGAATCCCCCCCTGAGCCCAGCAGCAAAGGAAATAACCTACTCAAAGTGAACCCAAACAGAAAACCCGCTGCTTGCCCACCAAAAATCACGGCTACAAACACGACGAAGAACGTCTCGGCATCGTATTCGTTGAATGTCAGGAGCCGCCCGCCATACCAAAAAGCGAGCGCCATCGCTGCCAAGTCAATACTTTCGGAAAGACCGAAAAATATCATACTAATCATAGTATGCTTGTAGGATCTCGAAACAGGGCCCTTCAAACGCTCCGCATAGCTGTCATAGACCTTCGATTCTAGCGTCAAGGATGAAACGGTGCGGATGGCCCCAACCGCTTCGGACGCAAACCGCGCACTCTCGAGATACAGTTTTGCGTTCTTATCCTGACTCTTCATTTCCATACGCATACGGGTAAACCCAGCCATAAAAAGCGCCGGGAGACATCCGAAGAGAGCAACAAGGGCCAATTTCCATTGAGTGACGAGGGCAAGAATTGTGCAAGAGACGAGATTCACGATGACAATCAAGATCAATCCGATATTTGAGGAAATCAAGTCCTGCAGAGCCTGCGGGTCCGTCGACAATCTTGCAGTCAGGCTTCCGGATGAATTATCCGGATTATCGAAGAAAGCGATATCCTGCGATAACATGGCACCAAAGTATTCACTGCGATAGAACCGCGATACGCGGAAGGCCGCAACAGTCAAGAAGAAACCAACGGAGCCGTACGAAAACAACACCCCCAGCGCAAGGACGAAAAACATCAGAGCCCAAAAGCTCACCCGGTCAGCGAGCTCGTCCTCTGGCAGCTGGAAAATTGTCACGATTTTTGAAAAGAGAACAGCTTGTGCCGGGAAAGCACCGCCTCCGCAGACAGACGCAACTCCGCCGAACAGAAAATAGACCCAGTGACGGCGCTGCTCGTAGAAGATTTTGGCCAAGCATCGGAAAAGGGACATTTTACGAGAGACATCGACTTCTTCTGGTACTTCCTCGGTGGGGAGATTGCTGCGAACCGATTTTGTCGTCGCGACCTTTTCTAGCTCGCCTGGTTGTACATCTTGCGAGTCGTTTTCAGTCTCCGAGGAACTTTCGTCGGCCACTGTGGAAAGGCTTTGAGCATTGACGAGGTTCCAATATGCGCCATGTGCTTCCAGAAGCTCATCATGAGTCCCTTGCTCGACAACCTGACCTTTATTCAGAACGACAATGTTGTCTGCTTTTTTAACGGTTGAGAGCTTATGTGCTATCAACACGGTGGTACGCGTCCGTGAGACTCTATCCAGCGCGGCCTGAACGACGGCTTCGGCTCGGGGATCCAGCGCAGAGGTGGCTTCGTCAAGGAGAAGGATTTGAGGATTGGAGATGATACTGCGAGCAATGGCAACTCTTTGCCTCTGACCTCCACTCAAAAGGCTCCCCCGCTCACCAACCACGGTGTCGTAGCCCTTGGGAAAGGTCTGGATAAATTCGTCTGCATTTGCCTCAATGCACGCTTCCCGGACCAGTTCCCTTTTCCTCTCTTCATCATAACCGTCCATTTCTGTCCCATGAAGACCGTGCACGATATTGTTATAGATGGTGTCGTTGAAAAGAATCGGTTCCTAGCACGCGTTAGCTTGCAGGTATATATGGTTTGAAGTGGTTTTCGTTAAATTGCGCCTTTTACCTGCTGGACCAACCCAATCTGGCTCCTCAACCATCTCACGTTCAAATCCTTTATATCCTGTCCATCAAGCTGAACTGAGCCCTCAGCAGGATCATACCAACGTTCCAAGAGCCCGACGATCGTGCTTTTCCCACTACCGCTAGCCCCGACCAGTGCTGTGGCTTTCCGGGCAGGGATATTGAGGGTGACCTTGTTCAAGACTTGAATGGTGGGTCTTGCAGGATAAAAAAAAGACACTCCTGACAGTTGAATTTCCCCCTTGACTTCTTCCGGTTTTAACCCTTCAGTGCTCATGGAATCGATACCAGGGGTTCTGGCGATCATATCGAGAACATCATTGGCGGCTGCTCCGGCTTTCGTGAAATCGCCTATGGTAGGAGAAATCATAGTGAGAGCGGAGGTGCCAAGGGCGACGGCAAAGATAACGCTATTCAAGAAGTTAGAGATGAAGAGCGCTCCTTGTGCGTGGGGGTTTGACATACGTGAGAATTTCTCCGCCCGATCCGATCTGCCCCTTCGTGACGAGTTTAACACCATACCAAAAGGCAAGTGAATAGGCGCAGTACATGATGAAGAATTCAGAGCTGTATTGGACACCCAATATGGGGCCCTTTTTCACCCCAAACTTCTTCGCTGAGTCTAGATGCTCGTCATATTTCTTCCGCAGTTTACCTCCAGCACCAAAGGCGACGACGACCCGGATACTGCTCAGAGTCTCTTCGACGAGGCCACCTGCCTTTGAATAAATATCCAAGACTTTTGCTTCTATTTTCGTGTCTAGCACAACCGTGATTCCAACGAGGGTAACGGCAGTAGGAATGGAGGTAGCAACGGGTAACGTAAGTCTCCAGCTTCTGGTGAACGCTACGACGAACGCGGCGATGAGCATGGCGAAACCTTGAACTGCGGTTCCCACTTTTTCCGATAGACCATTCTGAATGAGATTCGCATTGTTGGATATGCGAGTGGCGACGGACCCTGGGGTGTACGTGTCGAAGTACGCCATATCCTGCCTGAGGATCGCTTTGATATACTCCAAGCGGAGACGGCGCACACCACGAACGGCGGTGATTGTGAAGCAAGTGGTGTGGATGTACACCGTCTAGAGCCGTTTTATTAAAGATAAGTTCAGCCTGAAGACAAAACGACGTGGGGAGTAAACATACGGCAAGCTTTCCAATGAAAAGATAGACAAGATACAAGCTGGCGGCAACGTTAGCCAGAAAGATCATTAAAAAGGGTTGAGTTGGCGAGGGGGTTACAAACGCATTTTTTGCGATTGCTTTCCTGAGTTGCTCGGGGGTTGAAACCCCTCTCCCGTAATCATTGAATTCATCGACGAATGCGCCAAAAACAATGGTCATTAAGGGAAGAGCCTAGATTCCGCCAGGTCAGAGGGTTTATGAAGCTCTTCTTCGCATTGCGCCTGGGAAGCTTTGACATACGGTTCCCGACGCGATCGCGGCGAAAAACCCACAGATCCGAAGAACAACATCGACTGGAGCACACCATTTCCAGAGTTTCTACAGCACTTTATCTTTAGCTAGATACATTGAAAGGTCGTGCATTGCATGAAAATTTACCAAGTAAGCACCGAAGCCGCCCGAGGTTTCGTCTTTGTCCTTCTCCTCTCCGGTCTTTTCCACGTCGATTACCGCATCGTCCTTTACATCGACGGTCGTTGGGGCGACTTCGGTCATCTGCTTCTCTCCATGGTCTGAAATTCTCTTCACATCCACAGATGCTGGATGTGCTGGCTCGACGGAGCTCATCAGCAGAAGGCGACAGTTGAGGGAAAACTTTCGAGATTCGGGAGGTAGGCCTATATTGGGTCTAGAAAAGGACAATACAAAGACACTCGAATAAAAATAAGTAAAAAAATATAAATAAAATAAAATAAATAAACAAGAACTGCACACAGCCCCTTTCAGGTGAAAGGCGGATGATCTAAACTAATTACACCCAAGAAACTAAGTACATAAGAAAAAAAAGTCGATTGAAGATTGAATGAAGAAGAATCATTCTTATACATGCCAGGAGGAGGCAAGCCCTGGGGGGTATCTCTTAGGAAACTGGGGGTTAGGCAGAAACTTTTGATCATCGTCACGGCCTTTTCGTGCGTAGTCCCGACCAGCAGGCCTTGGGGTCATGGATGGATGGCGATGGATGCGGGTTTGACCGTTTGCAAGATCGCTACCGGGAAGCCTGCTCGGTTGCGGACTTGGATAAGCAGCAACCTCGAGCTGCTTGGCATCGCCAAGACAAGTCGGGTTCCGCGAAGGAGCAGTCCACACGCCGCTTTTAGTTTGTTTCTTCCTCTAAGCGGCGACTGGCGCGCGCTGCAGGTGAAGGTTGTACCCGCATAGCCCTGTCCACGGCGGGATGGTCGCATATACGTTGTTCCGGCCGGGTATCTAAAGCGGCATCGGAAGGCAAAACGGTTAGCGCAGTTGCTGAACACGGAAAGCGCTCGTGACGCCGCTTGGCTGGCCAATCACAGCGCCGGGCCCGCAATCATGTTTACTCATCATTGCTCACCGTTTCAGCCACCGGCGGAACCCGCGGGCACCGGGCGAAGGAGTCCTCAGCGGCCGGCGAAGGATGGCGACCAGACAAGTCTTGTACAGACCGCCAGGGGGGAAGGGAACTCTGAAGAACGAGGGAGATACAGTAAGGTCACGGCGACAGACAGGGTGACTCTTTTCGCGTGGTCACGCTGCAGGGTTTCCCGTTGTGACGAAAAGCTCAGGCAGAACCCCCCGCCAATCGTAGGCGACCCCGGCCGGGCGTCTCCGCGCCTCCCGAGAGCCCTTGGAAGACGAACGCCCCCCAATAAAGCTTGTTGTCAACGCGTCACAGAAACGACACACCCCCCGGAACATTCCTCCACACACACGCACAACAGGGCTGCTGCTCAGGAAGATGCTCAGCGTCCCCTTTCCTCCAGGCTTGGCAGAGGATCCCGGAACTCCCTCCACGCTGTGATGCCTCCGAGACTACTTCATCCAGATGAGTACGAGCTGGTCTCTCGCTCGTCCTTCGATTCGCGGGACAGCTTCGACCTCGACGAGGCGGACCCCGAATCCCGCGCCCTAGCCACCCCGAGCTATCCCAAACAGAGTCTGTCTCTCCTCCAGCGCCTCTGGGCATCTCTTCCTCCCGCCATCCGTCCCCCTCGCCGCTTTCTCCTCCGGAATCGCTCAAGTCGACCTGCCTGGAAGGGCTCCACAAGGCCGTCTTGCTCGTGTCGCCCCAGCGCGTGTCGTCGCTTGTTCTTCGTCGCCTACATTCTCAGCGGCATCGTAGCTGTTCTCGTCCTGCTCACCGCGATCATCAGTCCTTCCTACACACACAGACCAGCCCATTACGATGCTCTTCGACAGGCAATTCGAGACTCGAACGAGCCCGGCAGGGGCAATCCACGCAACGAAAAGGTTTTCATAGCGGCGAGCATATATGATCGGGATGGTAGCCTTGCTCGCGGACAATGGGGCAGGAACGTCCTTGATCTGATCGAGCTTCTGGGGCCGGATAACACCTACTTGAGTGTTTTTGAAAATGATTCTGGTGATGTATCAGCGGCCGCCCTCCAGGATCTTGAGCAGAAGGTTCCGTGCAACCGATCGATGGTGTACGAACCGCACCTGGACCTCAAGAATATACCGCGTGTAACGCTGCCAGGCGGCTCGGAACGCCTAAAGCGGATCGCCTTTCTCTCCGAAGTGCGCAACCGTGCCCTTCAACCCCTCGACGACCCCGATCGAGAGAGATTCGACAAGCTGTTATACATCAATGATGTCTTTTTCGACCCCATAGATGCCGTTCAACTACTTTTCGCGACTAACGTAGATAAGGACGGGAAGTCGCAGTATCGCGCTGCGTGCGCTGTGGACTTTATCAACGCCTTTAAGTTTTATGACACATTTGCCGCCCGAGATCTCGAAGGATACTCGACCGGCATTCCCTTCTATCCTTGGTTCTCAAACGCTGGACAAGGCCAGAGTCGGCGCGACGTTCTACACCAGCGCGATGCTGTCCGAGTCAGAAGCTGTTGGGGTGGTATAGTTGCCTTTGACGCCTCTCTTTTCCAGGCCTCGGCATCGCTAGAGACCTCACACGGCGATAGGCGGCACCACCAGTCGCTTACGCCACGAGCATTTCACCCCGCTCGCTTCAGAGCGGAGCCAGACCAATACTGGGATGCGTCGGAATGCTGTCTGATCAATGCTGATATTCAGATTCCACCTCACAATTCCAAAGAACCTATTGACACGGGAATTTATATGAACCCTTACATTCGAGTGGCTTATGATACATCCACACTCTCCTGGCTTGGTCTCACGAGGAGATTCGAACGGCTTTATTCGCTGCCTCATAACATCCTGAACCATCTCGTTGGCATGCCGTGGTACAACCCGCGACGAGAAGAGCGAGCAGGCCAACGAGTTGAACAGACCGTTTGGTCCCCTGAGAAGGGATCTTACGAGACAGTGACTCGAATTGCAGGCACTGGCGGATTTTGTGGACGCCGTGCTTTGCAGGTGATGATACCCAACCCAAAAAAGGGCCACAAGAACTGGGAGATGCTCCCAGTTCCACCCGAGTAAAGTGATTCTTACGATTTTTCTGTTTTAATAACACCGGGATTCTCTGGTTAGAGGTTTTGGCGTCCTGGGTTTCTATGGAGTCTGGCTGTCTACGTACGGTGATACCATCACAGCACCTTTTGACGTTTCCTTGAGGGCTCCTACCTCTGCGGAAGAGGTGGGGCCAGTGACTGGAGCTTGTTCAGGGGCATATTCTTTTGATATATGGCCAATTTTTTTGTCTTTTTGATATATATATTTCAATGTCTGCTATTTGAAAGTGATATAGACTGCGCCGGGTGTGTGTGATACACATAATTGAGGTTATACAATACACTTGCTGTTCAGATCCTACATTCCAGATGCTTCCGGCGTACATTCACAACATTCACAATTGTAAACTTGTGTCATCTCCTCTTCATGATAGCCAGTACAGCCTATCGAACAAAAAGGGCGTGAATTCATTGTTTCACGCCCAGCCACCATCTGGTGTTGACTGCACGGATATCTCCATAATAAGTGAGTCTTTTCTACTCTTGGTGCCTATTTGAACAAAAAAAAAATTTTTCTCTCTTGGTTCCAGTCACTCTAGAACCCGTTTCAGCTGCTCACTTTTTGTAAGGCTGGTCACAGCTGTTGCAAGGATACTTAAATCTCTTCTTCCTTTCGCTCACATCTCCTTTCCTTTCTCATTCTCCTCCTCATCCACATATTTTGATTTATGACTCACCTTGTTCTTCAGTTCCCTTGAACCAAATCCACTATCACTTTTCCGTTATCGCTGTTCACCTTGAGTGCATTCTTGTTGGCGCACCAGTTTGATCATCCGTAAACAATTAAGACTCAGTTACCCCCCCATTTCATCATGGCGCAGGCAAAGAAAACCCCTTCCCCCTCGTGTGCTACCTCTCCTTCTCCATCTCGTTCACAGAATGGAGGCCAGCCACGGACTCCTCCCAATAAGAAGGGGAAGGCAGTCGTGAACTCTTCTCCTGAGAGCCAGGGGTCCTCCAAATCCCCTCAGCGGCAGAGGGCATCTCCCAAAAAGAAAAAGAAGAAGGTTGGTTCTATGCTTGTCGTCTCAGTCTCATGTTTATCCTGCTTGTTCCGAAAGACCACCAATGCTAATAACAATCTTCAGACCGCACGGTCCCCGCTGCAAGCGATTGAGACCGAACCAACGAAAGGGATTGAAGCGGTCGTTGGACCGAAGAAGTCCGTTGGCCCGGCTTCGCGGAAGCATGGAGAGGCCTCCCAGGCCAAAAGGGCAAAGGGTGCAGCAAGCCCCGGAAGAGCCCCAGGGGGCCAAGTACCGACCACTTCGCCTGCATCTGCCACACCGCAGAGCAGCAAGTCTTCCTCTTCCTTGACAGAGGAAGAGCTTGACAAGATCTACCCTGGCGCGAAGAAGGACAGGGAATCTGAGGCGTCCAAGGTCGGGCGTATCCTCTTCGAAGCCTTCGACGAGGTTGGGAAGACTGGAGGATCACGAGGCCTGGAAGCGAGTCGTTGGGCTCCCGGTGCATCGGAGCCCTCTTCTCCCTCCGCAGACGAAAAAGATCGAACCAAAAACAGGCAACGCAAGAAGAGTCGCTCGCGGGGCAGAAGCAAGAAGAAAGTTTTTTCCAAGAGCTCTCCTCCATCAAACGATACCCCCTCCCATGCGAACAGCAAACTGCCCGCTAAGAACGCGAAGATCATGGCTCCAGCACACACGGTTGCTCCGATTCTGGACACCCCTGAGTCAAAGGCAACAGAGAAGGACGCGGCACATGTGGCTCAGGTACTTTTTGACGCATTCGATGAACTTAGCAAAGACTCCCCGCGCCCCGGCCTTGAGGCTAGCCGATGGGCCATCATCCCTACAGGGAAAACTCCTGTTCGAAAGGAAAGCAAGCCTGTGAACAAAACCCCAGCCATCAGTAAGGATGAACAGACTGTGAAAAAAGTGGTGTCTACGAACGTTGCCAATCTCAACAACACATCGGCCTTCATGGCTGCAGTTCGAGGTCGCTCCACCCAAGCTGCCAAAGGCGCATCTGAATCCGTTGGAAATAGTAAGTGTCTTCCCGACTATGTCTCTTCGATGGCATGTCCTGACGCGTTTTCAGTGGTTTCTGCAAGTAAACCAGAAGCTCCTTTGGAGATTCAGCTTCAAAAGTCTCCAGAGCATAAATCTGATGTTGCAAGCCAAAGCCGAACTTCAGTTAACAAAACGCTCCTCACCTCAACTAACTCCCCAGCCTCCGTTACATCTTCGAAAGGTCCGACGACAGGTAAAGAAGACCGTGAGCACCTTAGCTTCTCCAGCAGTGGGGCAACTCCGTCACCAAGATCAAGACCACGTAAGAATCTATGTTTCAAAAAAGTTATCAGTCAATAGTTACTGTTCTAATATGACTTGTTCACCTAGGTGTTGAGCTTCGACGGGTTATCCTGTCTCCAATCCCAGAATCCTTCGCATCCCCAAGCAAGGTCTTTTCACTCATTCATGGCGGTCGTATCGAATCCGTAAGATATTTCCCGCAGTCAAAGTCTGCACATGTTCTTTTCTGTGATCCTGCAGCTTGCCAGAGGTACTATGACAAGTATCCGAATGGAATCGAGGTCAACGTGAGTGGCCGCAAGGCCATAATTTTTGTGGACTGGCATAAGGAGGTGGACATTGTTAGCTCCCGCCTTAGGGAATCCTTGCGCTTGGGGGCTACGCGTGTCGTACGTGCTGTCGGTGCCGATTTGGCTCTGAACATGAAGGAGCTGGCGGATCTCCCCGAGAGACTGAATTTCAAATTGGAAAAGGTCATTGATGTGTTTGATGCTTCAAGCGTGAGTTATATTTGGTTGTTTCTAGTGGTTTTACCCTCATTCGTCTTGATATCCAGCCCTTGGTGCGTCTCTTCAAAGGAACTTGCTAATGGGACATGTAGAGAGTTCGAGCTGTCACATTCCGTCTCTCCTCTATTGAAAATGCTGTCCGCCTGCGCTCCTATCTAATCCGCCAGGATGACTGGCAGCAAGCAAATGTGCAGTTTGGTGTTGACCCGTGAGTCCCTCACCAAGGTTTCCTTCCTGAAGATACATCCTGTTGTCTTCTCGCTTTCCTAGGCTAACTTCTCGACGGCGTTTGAAAAATTTTAGTTGCGAAGTCGCAAGAGGAATCCACTGGGATTAAGGCTGTTCTCTCGACTGCTTGAGAGCTGGGCTCTTGAGGGCTCGCTCGGCAATGGACGATCGATGATAAGTCTCATTATGAAGGACGGTTGTCATGTTTTCAACGATTTCATCTCCCTTTCAGTATTCTTAAGGTTATCCAAATTGTCGATCTGGGACCAGGAAAACAAATTGCTATTTTGAGGATGATTTTTGCTTTGTGGACAGGCGATAGAGAGACAATGGTGTTTGAACTGGCTAGCATCTGGAATTCGCAAATTGCTTGAAATATCATAGAATTTGCAAGCTTTGAGTTTTCTGTTTTCTCCTTAACACATTTGCTGGCTGTTGTTATTAGCTTCACATGAATTAATTATTATTATCTCTGTTCTTTAAGATCTGAATTTCTCCAGATGACCTTTGCCTCGCCGCAATAGTAGGGGATGAGGGGCCCATGAGGGGGGGGAAACCAACACTTTGCCCGGGCGTCGCCCAATATCAAATCACGCATCCCTTTTCCACACAACCACCACCTTCGTTTTTCCATCTTTCCACTTATCGGGCGTTGCAGCTGATCGACTAGTCTCTTCCCAACATTAACAAACAAGGGTCAGTAGTACGTTTCTTCTAGCCGTTTAGTATGTACGTACATACGTATCATCGTTCTGCCATAAACCAACGCGACTTGCTCGAAGCGCCCGTCGCCGAGTTCGACTGGGATGTACAAATTGTCGGGAGAGATGGTCGCCTTGAACTTCCTAACCTCTCACTGGCTCTAACTGCACCTGTGCGTTGTCTCCGATTTTTCTACCTGGTCATGCTGCCCCTCCGCACGTACATAGAGCACATATACTGTACATACATATGGGGGCCATCCCAGCAGGAGGGTAACGTTTCAGCAGCCCGAGCAAGGAGTGCCACCAGGTAATATTCCGACGGCGATGGCGTCGATTCCTGATAAACCCGGTCATCGTGCTTCGCAAGATTCGCCCAGCCACGAAACGCCTCGGCTCTAAACTCTTTACCACCTACTCCGTACTTTGGTTGGATACATCTGGAGACCTTCGAGCTTGGTTTATCCTTGCCCTGCAGGTTTTCCAACTTTCCCGGGCCCAGTCTCATCACGCAGTTAGGTATGTTCAACTCGCCATCAGTGCTTTATTATAGCTCCCTTGACCATTTGGAAGACCTACTAACTACGGGGTCACATTTTGAGCTCAGGTTTCAACCGAATTTGCCTTGGTAATAATTTGGTAATCAGACGCCCTGGTTCCGTTGAGAGCGCGGCTGGACATGGAGCCCGATATTTCAGCAAGTTGATGCCGTTGGTCAGGTTCTTTGACATATCAATTTAACCCACTCGGTCGGAATCCAACTTCAAGGGGGGGGAAAAAGCCACATAGAAAGCGGGAAGGACATCCCGTATGATATTCCATTAAAAACACACCACTCATTTCCTCCGGAAATCAGCCGGGATTTCTTTTTCTAATGTATGTAATTAAGTACCATACTAGGTAAGGATTGAGAGAGGAATAGTACGAGTGAGATAGCTTGTCGACACTCCAACCTGATGGATGCGCGCTCGGTTGATCCAATGGGAATAGATTTGGCGGCTCGGCCACTTATTAACTCCTCGCTGTGCAACTCAGAACGCCCGAGGTGGGACAGGATACATCGCTGCACGTCGACTAGTCGAGATACCAGTCATAATCCCTGGATGAACGGTGGTCAGATCATTGGGGGCGAACCTATACCGAGAAATAGATTTCACAGAGGAGGCGAAGAGCTCATAAGATCCTGGAAGGTGAACAGTCGTTTTCGAACGACACGGAGTCCAACATCAACGGTGGAGCAATTTAGTCCTTGAGGCTCTTGCATAAATCTGAAGAGACCCGCATGTTCAGGAGAGGCATGAGATCCGGACGAATCCTAAGAGCGCGCCAAGTTTTGACCTTCAAAAGGAGGACTTGAGTGGAATGAGTTGCCGAAACGATTTACGATCTCTCCGAAAATAGGAAACAATTGGGGGGAGGAGGAGGTACGGAGTTTATGGTAAGGCCTCCTTGCAGGAGCACAGGGACTGGTGCGTCTGCCATGGAAGACTGTGATCCAGTGGATTTGATGGAGTGAGGACACATGACACAGACAAGTGAGGAATGCGTCGCCGCTCGATAACCATGGACTTTTCGATTCCATGCACGATACGGAGGAAATGGTAGATCGACTAGCGAGGGAGGAAAAAGGAATATTCCTTGTCTGTTTTCACAAGGAAACAGGACCATGGAAAGTCTGCGGAATTTGCGGCGCGATGAGGGAGAAAAGAAGCGGCAAACAGGATCAGGGAAAATTCTTGGACAAGGAAAAGAGATGGAAGAAATCGACCAATAAAGAAAGTCTACGTGATATCAGTGAGTTCGAACGGTCCGGGTATCCCCATGAGACTTCCGTAGTCCGAGCGGGACCTAACGGGGCGAACTGGAGAAGAAAGGTGAGCATTTTGGACGGATCGCTTCCTTCACGGGAGACGTGAATCGCAAATTTTTGATCCACTCCATCAGAGTCCAGAACCAGCAAGTAGATGACTAGTTTTTCCACGGAAGCTGCATGAAGCACATATATAAGTGCATTTATTTGACAAATCCTTGATCTGCATGCGGAGCTAAGATACGAGACGCATCTCGACCGCCAGTCCTGAAGAACGAGTCAGAGTGGAGAGATGCGTTCTGGAAAAGGAAGAGCGCTTGCTGGGGCTGAGATAGCGGGGATTGGACGACAGGCGCGTTGACATTCTTCACTCACGACGGCAAACAGACTTGGCAGGGCAAAAGGCAGGGGCTGTATGGCGCTGTGGATGTGCCATCTAAATTCGATTTGCATGGACTCCCCGGTGCGGCATCCACCCTTGAATTGCTTGGCCCTTGTCGATAAACGGCCACGTATTGAGAGGCACTGAAAGGGTGGGTGGGAGTCAAACGGAGAGGAGAAGCGTGACGGAATGCACACCCTTGGCCTATTGGGTTAGGTTTCGGGGACAGCCGCAGACTAGATGTCTTGGTGTGTAGCTCCGGAGGAGATGATTGATTGATGCTCGAGGCGAAGAGTGCATGTAGAAGACTCGGAGACCGGATGATCGCTGGTCAGTGCTTAGACGGCGAGTGCAGCGTGCTCAGCAGAAGGAGTGCCTCTCCCACTCGTTTTCCTTCTCGCGGCATCTTCCTCTTCCGCGAGTCATGAAATGCAAGACAAGACATGTTTGCGGCGCAGCATCAATGGCAGGATGATACGTGACCCTCAGCCGTCGCTTGTTTCAGCCGCGGATGAGATGATCACAACGGCGGTGATGATAATCGTACTCTGTATGTCATTACCACATTTCTTACAGAGGCTGCACGCGTTTGTTTTTGGGACATGGTGTCTGTAACTTACAGACAGACCCTGCCAAGCCAGAAATACGCCGTACAGATGCACTGCACCGAATTCGTCGGCGGCCTTGCCGTTCGACGACCAGCAACAGGAAGAAGGCAACCTAGCTTATGCAGGTAAACAAAGAGAGAAATCTGAATGGGGCAACAGCCGCCCAGGGAGCGTTGATCTGCCAATGAAAGGCCCCGGGAAAAGTCACATGACCATTCTGCGCTGCGGGCTCCCCAGGATTTTGCACATTGTGGCACAAGCCAGAATTCCCGCCAGGTAACGTTCATGACTGAGGGCGGTAACCGTATGTATGTACGGAGTTCCGTACAGGACATCTAGCTATACAATACGGCATGGGTATGCTTTCTGTAAAGTTACCTGTGTACGTGCGCCGCACGACGACGCGCACCAGTCAGAGTGCCCAGGAGCACTCCCGGTCTCGACAGCCGTTGACAGGCATCTCGAGCAGGTAATATGGCAGCGATCGAAAGTGAAGCGATATTTCCACGGTGCATCGCAACGATCGACCGCAAGCCATCTGGAAACTTTAGATAGCGAATATCACTTCCTTCTAGCGGACTTCGATTCCGTCTGTGATTCTCCGGCCATCTCGCCTCACGAGCCACAGGAGCAGACCCCCACCACCACCAACGAGAAAGCTCAAGGGTTTCTTCAGGCTACTAGTCGCGCGGCAGACGGGCCCTCAACCTAAGTTGCTCCCCTAGCGTCGTTGCTCTCTCTCCTCAAGCCCCCCGGCGCGCCTTTGAAACAGCGCAACGTAACCTTCGCCGTGGTATCCACTTGGGGTTGGCGTAGCGGCCATCTTGACTGGCCCGACGGTCCCGGCACCACGGTTCGCCCCAGCAAGCGGCACGAGCTATCTGCAGGGAATATCCGGCCTATCACAGCCCGTCTTTGCACCTCTCCTCACGTTGGCTCTTCGACGTGTCTTCTCCAGCGGTTCAACGTAGCGAGGGGGCGAGGCGCTTCCTCTGCCTCGCGGGCGGTTTTCATATGGATATCGGAGCACAGATGCTGAAACCGGGTTGCACTGCGTCAAAGAGAATCATTTCTGGCAGTGTTTCTGCCTCCAGTCCCACTATCCCTGGCCATTCCTCTTTTTCGTCCGACGAGCCCAGCCCGCAAATCCTCTCGGCTGGCCTTTTTTTTTTTTTAAGTTAATTCGCGTTCATTAAACTATCCCCTCTTCCCTGCTGACACTTGTTTAACTAGTTCAATTTCCGTCCACAGCGCAATCTTCTCGCGGCCACGGGTAGGCCTGGCCCGCGCATTTCCTTACCAGCCCCTTCTTCCAGATCGCCGATATTTCCGATGCATTCAGCAGCATTTGGAAGTTAACTCACCTTGCATCTTCCCTGTAATTTCTTGCAGCCTGCAAACCCGTGCCTTTCCAACACATAACTTTTGATCTGATTTGAAGCTCGCGGTTCTTCAAGGAAATCCAACTGGTTTCAGGTAATCGTCTCGACAGGGATCCTTCGCTTTTGCCACAATGTATCGCTTTAAGTGGTCGACATCCATGAAGAATTTCCTCTTTTCTTCTTTTTCTTTTCTTTGCTCTCCTGCGGTAAGTGTGACGTGATGGAAAAGCCAATTTTTTTTTTCTTTTTTTTCTTCTTTTTTTTTTTTTTTTTTAAAGTGCCAAATATGTCTCTGCCAGGCTCTTCCACTGTCGTACATTCTGATTCTATGACAAAAGGTCACCTCCCGGTGACATCATTCCCTTGCGCAAAGTGGCCATGGCAAAGAGGTAAGGGAATCCTTCATCACTCCTGACCCCGGCAGTCCTAGGTTGTATCAAATAGTTCGATTAGCAATGAGCCCGTTCTTCTCTCCGTTCTGAATGCTACCTTGTTCCCAAACTGTTGGGTCTCTCTTCTATCTACCCGTCGTAATTGCATTCTCGAAGCACTGCGATTGAATTTTCATTCTGTTGGCTGATAGGCAGCAAACGACAGCCGACTCCCAGTCGCGCTTCTCGAACTTATCTGGTCAGCATTTCCAGTTCCAGATTACCAATCCGTGGTTAGCTCCTCTAGGAGACACATATTTAATTATTAATCGAGGTAAGGCGTAACTAGTAACATACGTTTCGTAGTTTGCTCGCTTGACATAAACGCTACCTGGAACAAAGGAACTTTCGACAAGCCTCAGGGGCCCTTAAAGGGCAGAGGCGATCTGTCCGCATGCAGAGGAGCCCATGAAACCGACAAGATCTACCCCATACGCAGTGCACACGATATGTATGGAATGAAGTCCGACACCCTACTCTGTACGCACGTATATACATCGCTTGTGACCAAGGCCCACAATCATTGTCGCCGTGGGGGCCACCATCTCCTAAGTCACCGCAACAGACTACCTGAAAAAGACCCAACGGTCGCCTATCCTCGCACCACATACCGAGTACTCCGCGCCTATCAAAAAGCCGCTTAGCCCAATGATTCCTTGCAACTTTCATTTTTACATAATAATAGTCCATTCGGCCTAGTTAACCCATCTGTTGCAGTCGAAAATAATCGGTGGTGAGGGCAAGTAAAGGAGTGAATATGTACTAACTGGGCAACAGACCTACAATGCGCGATGCTCTCAGCGTTGAGGGGCTCTGGCCTAGGCAAATTTGCGCATTTGAACTCCCTTATCTGGTCTCCACAAGCCGCATCGGGCTGTGGGGTCGGAACAAACCCACAGTCTCAAGCCTGCAAGGGTTACGCGGACAAGAGGATGGATCGGTGATATGCAACTTGATCAGAGAGCATGGAAAGCGATATTCCTGAGGTGGAGGTCGCATAACAATGGACGCCTCCGGAGTCCAAGACAGGAAGTCCTAAAATTAAGACTAAACATGGGTGAAAGGGAAGGCATGCGTGCAAGTCTACATGGGGCTCCCCCTATATCTGACAAGTTACCGGAGTACCCGGTAGAGACATTCGAGATATGACATTCTCGATTCCGATGGCATATGTACACCCATAATGCAAATTGTGGGTTGCATCAGGCCACCAGGGCCGGCCACATTCCGCGTCTACTCCTACTACAGTACTACTCCAGAGGCGTCCGACCCAAACGTACGGGTCCTCGTGGCGATTTCCTGGCGGCACAGCCCTCATCAACCAGTTTTTCGAGACGGATAACCCACTCATTTTTGCAGTCCTGGATAGAAAAGCCTTGACTTGCGCTGAGCTTGAGGTGAAGGAAGACATTTTTGCATGAGTCCATTCATATATTTATGAGGTGCTCTTACATTATGTACTCCTTCTCCATCCGGTTTCAACTCTTCACGGACTGTAGATGCAATGTTCAACTCTTTGCGGCTTTTGAAGAGTGAGTGCTCGTCATTCCTCAGGGATAGGGATCCTTTTCCAACCCAGAACTCGCCGCACAAATCACAAAGCATGAAATTCGGTTGAGTAATTGCCAAACTAGCCAATCGCCAGCTGGCGATGTTCAGACTTGGCACCATTTTACAAATGCGACGCAAAATTAAAAATAGCCCATTGAAGACCTCCGTTCCGCTTGTACGTACTCGGTACGTCCACTCTTTACAGAGTACGGAGTACGGAGACCCTGTATGAATATGTATGTACGGAGTACTCCGTATACATATGTACTCCGTACTGAGGCACATACATACAGAAATGTAATTACATACGGTATGGACTACTCCGTACATCTCTTTGAACACATGTGTCCGAGAGGAGGTCGTACTCACGTTGAGATGCTGTGCCTCGACTTGGTGGACACCCTGACGCTTTAATCATATGACGTTTGCAATGGGGCTTTGATATTGAGTTGCCATCAACTTCATAGCTGCGTTGCCAAATCTACCTTCGAGGGTGAGGTTTGAGTTAACTGGCCATTGGAACTGATCCCTGAGAGGCACGCGTCAGGAAACTCTCTACCGACGGAGAACCCCGTACTACGCAGGGCATGTGTACACACAGTAATAAATACTTCGAGGCCCGGCGCGGCAATAGGGAACGGAGATTTGCCCAACCCGGCTGTTACGCGGTCTTTAGGGGGGAGGGGGGCCCCGCTCACACTTTTCATCTTCAGAGATCACATCCCAGGCATGTCCACTCTTTGTGCACTGACCTTTGGCCACGAACCGGTTCTTATCCGCACTCGCACCAGCCGTTCCCATGCATGACTAAGCAAAGCTATTTAACCCTAATCGAACGCCATTCCAATTTTCCCCTCCAATCCCTACGAACAGCGATTTCTTCAAGTTCCACTTCTTAGCAAACAACCCTTGACGGAACTTCATCCTCGTGCTCCATCCACAGTCAGCAGCAATCAGGTTGGCCCAACAGGTAAAGCGGCTGCGGCGCGATTTCTGATTTGCCCGGAGAACAAACACCAGTTTATCCAGCAATAGCCTGGCTAAATCCACACGCACCATCTCGCCGTCAAAAATAATACACCGATTAGTTATTTCATTCTCTGTGTGTGTACTGCATACGGGGTCATCACAATAGACCTCTCCTCTGCCTGATTATTTTTCTACCGCCCCATGGTTTTACATGTATTAGTACGATTTCGGATCAGGCCGCAAGAAGGCGAGCCTACGCCCAAACCTCAAGTCTCAACCACAGGCAACACTCGACCACTCAAGAGGATCTGGTAGTTAATGAACCCAATTAAGTTTCTCAAACGCGTCCTCCCAAGGATGATGATGCGGGTCACCATCACTTGTTGAAGGAACTTGTTTTTTGTTTTTTCTTCCTGTTTCCAGTGTAAAATCGCTCATTCTTGATGAAAGAATAATGGCCAGGTTGGGTTGGAATGTTACCCCTGTTTCTGGGTCTTTTTGTTACTCACTAACCGATTAGCTCCAACCAGTGAAAGGGAATTTGGGAAGCATAATCATGCCTTTTTTAGGCCCGCGGCTTTTTTAGCCAACAGGATCCATTTGTCAGAATTTGGGGCTGGACCACTGGGTCTCTTCTCTGGCTTGTTACTTGTCAGATCCCCAGAAACACTGCAGAACATGTATGCAGCTGTGAGAAAAGCGCTGCCCCCGAGGATAAGAGGGGAGAATGAACGGCGTGGGAAGAATGCGCTGATGCGCCCCAAAAAAAGCCTCATGCGAGACCTGTCGATATATATGATGATTTTATATATATCCTCCTGCAGAAACCGTTCCTTCGACGGAGCATCCGCGGAGAATTTTAGTTCCTTTTGCTTTTTTAATTGTGATTTGTCTTTTACATTTGCTCCCACAATGCCATGCACATTTTTGGTTTCTTTCTACTTCCTTTTCCAGCCGTCCCTGAGTTTGCTCCTTTGAACTTGTCGGTACCAGATTACCGGGCGATGGTTACGAAACTTCGCTTGCCGTGCGATCTCGGATATATATGATTCGACGCATATGCGGCTGGGGTTCGGCGTCTGCTATGCGTGGGAAGAAAGGTAACTCTATCTTACCGGAACATCATAATCCTTATCCGATTTCCCTTGTCTCGCTCATCCGCTCCCCGGTTTCCTGCTCTTCATCGATATCTGACGCCTGCCCTATGCGACATCTTCTTTTTCAATTCCCCCTGTCCTGGTCCTGGCTGGCCCCTACTTTGCTTATCCCTACTAAATCAATAACTACTGGGGGCATCCTATCCAGAATCGACTTTCGGTAATACTAGCTCCCTTGATCCCCTGTCCCCTTCCCCGGCAAAAGATGTAGCCCCAATTTGGCTGCGTGGTTTTCTTTACGGAGAGCCTCTTGTGTATTCATGGATACTTATTGTACCCTTCTGGTTTCCTGCAGTGCTATTATTCTGATTTTCCAGACAGCTGGGACGCTGTCCTAACTCCATACATGTGCATATAATGCAAATGATACAAGAACAGCCTATGCGCGCACCTCGTTGATTTTTTTTTATTTTTTTTTATTTTTATTTTTTTTAATTTTTTCTTGCATTTGCATTTCCTAGCCCATATAGTTGTTCGCTCGAAGTTGGCGATATATTTGACTGACTCTAAATATTCTTAAGGCAAGGATTTCGCCGTATAAAGCCTACAGAGCTCTATCTTACGATTGTGTCCAGCTAGAAGCCGTGGTTGAGTTGCAAAAGCTTGATCAAATCATCCCTCCTACCTTAGATTTCACAGCATCCAGTGGATCCCGGTTGGATGGGTCGTCCTGACGAACGTGAATCTCTGTGCTCCCGATAACCGTCTTTTTATACTCAGAGTCGGACTCGGTTCTGCGACTTTGCGATCCGTTTTTGCTGCCCAATCGCTCTTAAGGCTGGGTAGATTGCTTCGAATTGGCGCCTCGTTCAACTGGACAGATTGATTTTTTGAATTTTGTTTTTGTTATCGCAGTCTCCGATAGATTTTGTCGAAATTTTGATACTATCCCGAGAGTAATTCTTTGGCAAAGCCTTAGAAAACTTTTTCTTCCGCGATCCGTCATTCTTGAACGCGCGACAGTCACGCAAAACCTCTATTCAACATCGTCAGTTCGTGAAGGATTCCAAGTGCATTGTGCTGTGAAAGTTGTGTGTTTAGGCTTCACTTGACGCCTCAGGAAATATGCCGTCCAGCAGACACGATGTACCCGCTCTTCAGACACCGGGGGAGTTTGGTTCGTCGAGGATTAAAATCGACAACCTGTTGAACCCGAACACCGATAGCGAACCCTTTCCGAGACATTTGTCCGGGTCATGGCAGGGAACATATCACCATTACTACCATCATCATCACCACCACCACCACCATCCCGATCGCTATCCACAAACTACTAGCAGTCCTCCACCACTTCAGCTCCCTCCGTTTAAATCAATACCATACCCCAAAAGTAACCTGTCTCCCATAGACACCCGCCCCGACAGATCGGTCCAACGCTCTGGATCTGCCAGTTCTTCACCATCACCGTACCGAAGGGACCGATTTCCTTCTGTGTCAAGTGGCTCCTCTACAATCGTTGAGCGGCGTCGTCCACCGCGGCCAAAATACGAAGAAGAAGAGATGTATTTTATCTGGTATCACCGTGTCGATTTGAATCAGGAATGGAAACAAGTCCGGGAAAGCTTTAATGCCCAGTTTCCCAACCGGCAAAGGAACGGATTTCAGGGAATTCAGTGCAAATACTATCGGTTTATCAAGGAGAAGAAATGCCCTACGCTACGAGAGCAGCGAAGAATAAGAAATGGAGACGGTGGCGGTATTAAGCATGGACCCAATGATGACTCCCCCGCGTATGGAGTTATTCGATGGTGCCGTGTTTGGTTTCCTTGGATGAAAGAGCCCCCTCCCCCAGGGCACGAATGAACGGGCCCTTTGAGTAAGGAAGGCCGTCTATTTTCTTCTGTTCTATAGCGTTTATCGAGCTTGTCGATAATTATGAAGTTACGAATGAACGGCCTGCTGCAGCATCCCTATTGTTAGTAAGTCACTTGAGAATTGCGTTGAATGACGGTATTGTTCCCCTTTTACAAATCGCTGGCCCATTATCGACCCAACTTTCCTTTGTGCGCAACCGCAAAGGCAAAGAAACAAAGAAACCAACTTGCTAACATTTGCTTCTGACGCAGTTTATGTTCCTGCATGGATTTCATGCAAATATTAACTTTGACGACTTCAAATTTTCACACCCGAATAATCGGCCCCCATCTGTCTGAATTTTGCAGCGCTCTATCCCATGGGTTTTCGTTTCTTTCGATCTTCTGTCACTTCTTTCGGGCGTGGGTGCTGGCATACCCACAGGAATCTCGCCTCCTTCTCCCTTTCTTACATTGAATGTGTTAGAACCTTCATCCAGTGTATCTGGAAGCCCTTGCAAATTTATACCAATGATGCAATCGAAGGTCTCTGTGGATATCGGGACAATGAGTGTGATATGTTATTAAAGGGCGGCTATCTACTACTTTGGCGTTTTTTTTTTTTTTTTTTTTTTTTTTGGGACCATAGCTGGGAGGCTGGCTGCTATTTATCGCCGTTCGCTTTTCAGCGTGGTGTTTTACTCTTGTCTGGTTTGGCGTTCCCCTATCAGTGATCGTAATGCTAGTGCCGCGAGGCTTTGCTTTCTTATTGTCTGCCCACCTTGTCCTGGATGAAATATCTCTTCTGATATAGATTTTACCCCTTTAATCGCGGAGTCTTTCTGGGCAGAAAGTTCTCCTCTTTTTTTTTAAAAAAAAAATGACGGGCAAGTACACTCCCCACATGAATTTTGCTATTAGAATGGCGCTGCGCGTGGTCTCCTTCCTTAACTACATACTCAGATTCAGACCCTACAAGTTGCCTAGCTCAGGGGGGTTTGAAGAATGTTGCTTCCGATGAAGACGATAGCCTGGCTCCTCGGCATACAAGCCACTTCCAAAGGAGTTTCCAAGCATTTAACGATATAATTCACAGTATGGAAAGCCCCTGTTGAAGAATGCTGTTCACGAACAAGGCTATCTGGGCATATGTCTATTCCTAACTTACGCCTCGGCTTGCAACTTTCTTTTGGTGAAAATACCTTTTCGCTCATTGGGAATCCCCAAACCATACATTGGCTGTTTCAACTGGATGTTCCACGGCCTACTACGGTAGTCTCCGCTAAGTACCGGCGAGGATGCTGAGGATCTCAAATGGTAACTGCGGTTATGAATGATGTCACACATCACAGTCGTGGAAGGTACACGACTGGCAGCCTAGTATCGATCCACGGAAACTCATGTCTCAGAGTGATATTGGATTCCCCGTCATTTGAACCCATCTGCCTCTTTATATGTGTTGGATATCTGCGGGAAGATTCTCCATCTATATGAATTAAGCGAAGCTTTGCGTTGGACCGCTAGACTGTGATTGAACGTTCACAGGGGTTCTGGAGGCATAGCGCACAAGCACAGGGGTCTGCATGTGCGTGTATGAAGCAGGATCCAAGGATTTAGAAGCGAGTCCTGCGTTGGGAGCCGTGCTTGGGAAACGAGAGAGTATATTCTCAGCTCTGACAGTTAACGGCAAGGAGCTTTCGATGAAGGCGCTTCTTACAATGTGGCTATGGACACTCAGGGGATAAAAACTTGGCCCCAACCGGCCGCACCTGCAGCGTGACTCTATGACATCAATCATGAGACCATCCTGAATTAGATTGTTGGAGATCCAACAGGTAGATGCAGCGACAGCCAGCCCTGAGGCAATGTACTGTGACATATGGAGAGATCTGTCTCGATGATCGGATGGAACCATGCCCAGTGTAACGATGATGGCCGGGTAGACCGTTGTTCTCTACATCATGTATCGATTACTCCCACGGATTCGTGCAGCGGTATCTCCGGCTGAACATGGAGAGCAGGGCAATGACGATGAGGGTGGTGAGACAACAGTCTACGTCCACTCCCAGACTGTTGAACGGAATCTGTCTGGAAATCCCAACAGCTATCGCAAAAGGCCATTTTGGGCGTACCCCCTTTAGATAACGTGGTCAGTGGGAAAAGTTATTCTCTTCCGTGGCTCATGCAGGTGAACCTTGAGTGGTCCACTGAATGCAACATTCGGCAGCCGATGATGATCGTCTGCTTCACTTGCTCCTGGCTCTTGAGGACGAACACGGTCAGCTTGGCCTCGAGCCGCGTATGAGAGCGGGTGCATCTCCATCAAAACGATCATTCCATCGGTGGGCTGAGCTGGAAAAAAAAAAAACAATGGCACGCCTGGACGAAGTTGACACTGTGTCATTATCATATCAGACACCATCTTTCGTCTCCGCGGGGAAGAGGTGCAATTAGTCACAGAGCCTCGCGCTCGGCTCATTGCTAAGCCGCATCCCGGAACTCTAAGTGTTTTAAATTCTCGCTCAGCTTGTTACTCGCCAACAGGAACTGACGATGGTATGAGTGCGGACCAATATTCGGACCATTCGCTTGGCGCTCGGCTCCCTATGGCGGAGCGGAGTAGGGGTTGGGAAGTGTTGAAGAAGCCATTGAATTTCTAAGCCAACATTGCTTAGAAATGCGTTACAAAGTCCTCCAAATCACTTTCCGGGATCGAGATGTGAACGCGAATCCCGCGGGTTCCGATCTGTCGTCTCTCGAGTCAATGCCGTATCCTCTTCCTTCTCAGAGCCGCATGGCAACTTGCCAGGGATGAAAATTGGCATCATTGAGAACCAGCATTGAAGTTATAAGAGTCGCCGCTGGTCCTGCCGGATCTTGCAATAACTAATCGATCACTACACAAACATTGTTCAATCAATCGTTCGGCTTTCCCACTTCAAATCGCAAGTACTCAGGCCAAAAGTTGGCACAAACCAAATAGCTCACAAGAAATATGTCGCTCAAACCATTCAAAATTTATGGCACTCTCCTGGGTCCCAACCCTTTCAAAGTTGCCACCGTTCTCTCCGAACTCTCTCTCCCTTACGAAGTCGTTCAAGTGGCCCGTGAAGATATCAAAGGCGAGGCCTTCACTGCTTTGAACCCCAATGGTCGTCTCCCAGCCCTTGTGGACCCCAACAAGGATGATTTTACCATTTGGGAATCTGGCGCCATCGTCAACTACCTCATCACCGAATACGACACCGAACACAAACTGAGTTTCCCTGTCGGCACCAAAGAGTACCACCTAACCCAGCAATGGCTCCATTTCCAAATGTCCGGCCAGGGTCCCTACTACGGACAGTGGTTCTGGTTCAAGAATTACCATTCTGAGCAATTGCCGAGCGCGGTCGAACGCTATGCGAACGAGGTGAGACGAGTGACCGTCGTGTTGGACAAGTGGCTGGAAAACAAGCAGTTTTTGGTTGGCGACAAATACACCTTCGCAGACCTTGCCTTTTTTCCCTGGCAGATGTTGGTACCATCTCTGGCAGGGGTGGATATGGAAAAAGAGGCTCCGAACGTGCATCGGTGGATGGAAAATATGAAAAATAGACCGGCTGTCGCGAAGGTACTTGAAGAACACAAGGCTTCCAAGTGGAATTAGTGCTTTAATTCTCGGAAAAAGAGAAATGGATATATGGTAAATTGATGTGGTAGGAAAGAATTGAGAGCATTATGCTTTAACCTACTCCGTGTATCCTGCATGTATTTAGCCTGCTACAAAATATGCCAGCCTTCGAACACTCTATCGCTTCGCATCCATCTCTATATTGAATCACGTGATGAGCGGGGAGGAATTCCGCTCCGCTCTAGTTTACCGCCGAAGTACTCCGTACCCCGTAAATTTGTAACTACTTGCCAGCTAATAACAATAACGGGCTCTGGAAGCAACGAGCAGTCGCAATTCCACCATGGCACCTTAACGCACCTTGAAAATACAAAGGAATATGAGTCTCTTAAAAGTTCCGACTTCTTGTTGACATTATCATTTTTTTTTTTCGGTTAAGGCAGCAACCGTGATCCCCATGTAGAATAATGCTCCACGCATAACGCTAAGCCTGTTGCTTGGTAAAAAAAATATTAGAGCTCAAAGCCAAGATATATAAAACCTCAAAGCCCCTATAACCGGATCCAGCGACACTCCACCGTACTTTTTGCCACCGTCGTTAAGTCGGCTTCCATACAAATTCTCACTCTCTCCATGCAAGTCTCTCCTCATCGTCCGACGAAGCCTCCCCGGAACTAGTATATGAGGTCGATTTGAACCCATATTCATTAACCTCATCATTTATGTCGAATTGTTCATAATCGGATCCATAATTGCGATATTTGTTATACGCTGCGTTCACATCGTCGAATTCATCTTCAAGGTCGAGGTCTTCGTCGGGATATTCGTTCGCGGGGTTATCTTCGGCTGTAGATTGCGAGGAAAATCAGTACTTGACAACAAGTTATAGCCTAAGTAATATTACGAAGCTCACCATTCGAATCTTCATCCTCCGTATTCCAATCTCTATCTTCTTCATCGTCTTCAGCAACCGCGTCCCAGTAATGCACATCTTTGTCTGAAATAACGACGACACCAATGTCTGCCGGCACGTTTTCATATCCTACATACCAATCGCCGTTTTGGAATTGGGCAAATTTTGGGTCATCAGCGAGCTCTTGAAGAGAGCGTCGAATGAAAATGTCATATACATAATCAGACTCATCATCTTTCTCGTTTTTGGCTCGAATCACATGTTCTTCGAGGGCGTTTTTCATGGAGGATATATCCTCTAGCCCGGCTCCGAAGGTAGAAGGTTCATTAATGGTCAAGGACGTTTCGCCAGACTCGTCTACTCCATCAAATTGACCGAATCCATGTCCACGACCATCGCGCTTGTTTTGCTGTTGCTTAGGGACACGTGGTCGATACTTGAGAACGGGCTTAGTTGCGGGCAGATAAAGCTTAGATTGTTCGGGAGTCGCAGCGGGTTTGATAGGCTCTCCAAAGGCCAGCTCCAGAGTGGCGTGTTCCAGCTCCGCTGCAAGCTGAGCAGAGTCATAATCCCAGGTAGCTGGGTCGTCTTTGATCGAAGTGCCAGTTTTCCCTTTCCGATCATAAGTCTCACGATCAGTATAACGATGTGCATTGGCTTTCTCTTTCCACCTCCTTTCAGCCTCATTAACGACGCGACGTTTTCTTGGACTAATGGTAGGTGATTGGGCGTCTACCATTTCAACTTCTCTTTTTACGTCTTCTGCCTTGATATCGGTAGTAGATCCGATGTCGCCGACCTGTGCTGCGAGTTCGCTTAGCCCCCTAACAATATCGCCTTTTTGTTCCACGACCACAGCATGTCTTGGCCCTTTCTTTTTCTGCACTCCTCCTCCAACCTTATGAAGCACAAGGTCATCTGCTACCGGCGCTGCTATGTGAAACTTGCGCACCGTAGAATTCACTGAAGATTTTGTCACCGTCGACGGCAATGGCCGTGGCGGAAGCTTCATCGAAGTTGATCGTGCATGTGGCTTTACGGGAACAGCCATCCCTCTCGTGCTAGCTTTCTGTTTCGCAGCCTCAGCCATCTTGCGCAACTCCTCCCCGGTCCTAACGACCGGCACACTCGGGCCATTGATAGCAGCTCTCATGCTATCAGAATCCGCAGTGCTTTTAATTGCGTCTTGGGCGCCAGCATGGCCTGACATGTCACTGACATAAACTCCATCTTGATTTAGGACAACGCGTTGAAACACAAAGTCCGTAAAACGTCTCTTTGTCTCGCGTGTCTGAGATTGAATATCTGTAAACAAGGACGGGGGCCATCACAGATGAAACGATTAGTCCTTAACCATACCCAGAAAATACGAGCTCTTCAGTAGAGCTGGCAATAGGAAGCAAGAGAGGAATGGAAAAAAAAAAAAAAAAAAAAAAAAAAAAAAAAAAGGTTGGAAGGGTCCTCCTGTAAAGCTATGCATAATTTCCATGGTCACCAATGCATGTGTTATACCTCCTATACGCAATTCCAACGAAAGAAAACAAGGGGGAACCCAGGAACAAACAAGAACCCGTTCCCATCGGACACACACATCAGGAAATACTGGTATAGAACTCAAGGGCGCAGAATATAAACGAAAGCAAGGGATATCCACACATACACAGAGTCTCCACAGGCTCTTCTTCCCTGCGGCGCTTGATGCGAATCTGCTCCGGGGGCAACGCCATCAGGTCAGACGAAAGCGAATGACTTTGCGTCTTTAAGAGTGACTACGGTAACCCCTCCAACGTCTGCAGGTGTGTGAAGAATGGTTTAACACCAAAGGAGTCTCGCTGACTGTCCTAGTCTCGAGAGGTGCTGTTGCCGCCACGATCTTTGGATTGTCTTCGGCGGCGGCTTTACGACGCTAGGGGATCACGTGACTATATCGACAGCCAACAGACGGAACTCTATATATATATATATCATATATCGTGTTCTGCGAGAGTCTGAAATGGTCTGGAATGGCAAAAAAGAGTGATACTGTAGCGAGAATGGGGTTTGTTATATTAATATGGGTATTTGCGTCTATGTAACCAGGCTCCCTTTCTCCTCGACCACCCGAGTCACTCACAAACCCTCCTCCCAATATGCACCATTGTCATCGGACCATATTGTTTCTTTTCCAAAAGACTATTGCGCAATGAAAACACGGCTTTAGAAAGAGATTTTGGCAAGCAGATTATTAAAATAATGTCAAAAAATGGCATCACATAAAAAAAAAAAAAGGGAATTGTCAATAAGATGAGAACACTAAATCAAGAATCGATAATAATGATAAAAAAAAAAAAGGAAAAAAAAAGAGAAGAGAAAAGAAAAGAAAAGAAAAGAGAAATGAAAATCAAGCCAAAAGCGGTGTAGATAGAAGATCAAAAAAAAAAAAAAAATAAAAAAATAAAAAAAAAATAAAAAAAAAAAAGGATGAACGGCGGCAGGAAATGTGGAAGGACATATTGCCATATAATCCAGGATATTTGCATCTTTGTGCTCCATCTTCATGTCAGATAACGACCGGTCCAGAACGATTGCACCCGCCGAGGACTAAATCGATTAGCAAGACAAATTAAAAAAATATATATAATATGTTCGCAGATAGTGCAAATTAAATGGCAAAGATGAGAAAAAAGCGGGAAAAAGAAAGTTTCCAAAACACGTACGATGATTATAACTAATACAAAAAGGGGAACGGGGGGGGAACGGGACAACAGGGGGAAGCACATATAAAAGTGGTGCAAAGGGGTAGAAAGCCGGAGAAGTAAGATGAGAAAGAAAATCAAAGCCGCTAAATAATACAATACGTCATAAATTATTTTGCTCTAATTTCTTCTTCGGCCCATCCTGGAAGCGAATTCTCATTAGAAATGGAGAGTCCGAATCCGTTATGATTTAGACCGCCTAGCCCGCCAAAACCAGAGAAGCTGCCCTGTGGTTGATGGGCCATTCCGGAGCGACTCGATAGGTTGTGATTTTGTCCAAACGGCTCTTGCGAGAAAGATGGAAGGCTGACGGCCCGTGAGTGTTGGGCACGTGGAACGCTCAACGTGGCACCGCTGGAAGCATGATGCCCAGAGCTGGTCGCACCCGAAACGTTCAATAGCCCGTGGTTGGACGGCTTTTGTTGATGAAGGGAACTCTCCACGGAACTACTATTGTCACTGGCCCCGGTGCCATTGTATAAACCGGCTTGCTGGTGGGCGAAGCCTTGCTGTTGATGTGACGGCTGTTGCTGCTGCTGTTGGAGGGAGCCAAAGCCCATTGAACCGTTCAATCGGTTCTCCTGCTCCTGAGCTTGCTGCTGAGACACATGGTTAAGGTACATCGTCAGCGGGTTATTGGCGCCGGTGTTTAGGATGGAAGACGGGGTTGGAATTGCCTGCAATGGATGTCGGGTTTGCTGCCCATTTGCTCCTTGTGAGCCAGTCGAACCGGGAGCAGGAGATAGTGCAGGTCCGGTGGGGCTCGATTGTTGTCCACCTTGATTAAGAGAACTCTGAAGGCCTCCATTAAGAAGCGAGTTGTTTCCATCTGTCCGTGCTGGTTGGCCATTGTTGAGTTGGCGAGGAGGGTTGCCGCATCGATCCTTGCCGAAATTGATCTTGAACCGCTTGTATTCCTCACGGCCGCGCATGCCTTCAATCGCCTTGATGGCATTCGCAATGTTGGTGAAGTTGACAAATGCACAGCTCTTCTCTCTGAGAGCATTCACAAGTTCAATCTCCCCATAAGCCGAGAAGTCCTGCCGCAAGCGGTCTTCAGTCCAAGATTCATCCAGGTTTCCAATGTAAACATTTCGAGAAGCGCCTCCGCTGACAGCGAGTGCAATCGCCGGCGGCAAAGCACCAGAATGCTTTCCCCACCCAATCTTGAGGCGTCTGTTATGGATCATCAGACCCTGCAAGTTGCTCAGCGCATAAAACGAAGCGGCAGATGTCGGATCAATAAACGTCACGAAGCAAATGTGCTTGTCGGGAATATATCTGATATGATGCAGCAAGCCTCCACGAACAACATTACAAATCTCTTCGATTGTTGTCTCAGGGTGGATATTCCCGAGATACACGGTTCGGTTTCCGAGATTGTTCACTCCACCTGCAGCAGTTGCAACTGCTGCTGCTGCAACTGATTGCTGAGCGAGAGCATTCGAAATCAGGTCCCTATCTGCAGAGTTCAACATATGTGCATAACCAGGGGCAATTCCTAGGTACTGAGCGGCATTCTGTTGCTGGGTCTTCGAAACATAGGCACATCGATCCTTGCCGTAGTAAACGCGCTTTGGAGGCTGCCACTTCGGCTCCTGAGGTAGCTGGTTCACAGCCTTAATAGCATTGCTGATAGAAAGGAAGTGAACGAAGCCGATCGATTTCTCACGAACAATCTTCACGGTGTCAATGGGACCGAATTTGCCAAGTTCCTCACGGAGCTCTTCTTCGGCGACATCCTCAGAGAGATTCCCCAGGTAAACGTTTCTCGACGCTCCTGATTGCTGAACTGCAAGTGCCACGGAGGTAGGGACTTGGGAAGGTTTGCCCCATCCAATTTTGATATCATTGCCCTTAATCGAGAGCTTTTTCAAGATCGCGTCCGAGTGGAAATGAGTCGCCGAGCTGCTATCCAAAAAAGAAATGAACGCGCAGTTCTTATCTGGCAAGAGTCGAACTGACTCAATTTGGCCACTTCGAACATGGCCCAGAATCTCCTCTGCGGTTGTCTCCGCTGGAAGGTTTCCAAGGTAGACAGTACGGCTTGTACCGGACAGAATGCCAGGCTGAAGCGACGGATTCGCGGTCCCGAAGGCATTTGCAAACCCAGGGAAGCCCCCGACAGGTGATTGCGGTCCTCCTAGCAATGGAGAGGGTCCCATTCCATCAGGCGAAACTAGATTTTGGTACAACTGCGGAGACAGAGGGTTATGCTGGGCCTGAGTAGGGCTATTGAGTTGATTCTGAGAGGTCTGTCCATGGGAGTTGCCGTTGGCCTGGGGGAATCCTTGGAAAGTCTGGAACTGGGGAGATGCAAAAGACGGGGTGCCTGTCTGGAAAGGGCTCCCCAGAAGCAGCTGTGATGGAAGTAACGGGGCAAAATTCATATCGAAGGCGTTGTTGGCACTGGTGATATCACCCGAGGTTTGACCGGTCGTGCTTGTATTGATGGCGGGAATGTTGGCCCGACGGGAGTTCCGGTCGGCGAACGACAAATTACCGGCGTACGCACCGTGGGAGAAACCGGTAGAATCTGGGCCTGGGTTGGGTAGTTTGGAAACTGGCTGCATTAAGCGATTTCCCACGATAGAATTGGGCGCGTGTGCGACGTCCGACGTTTGCATTGCGAGCCAATGCCGGGAAAGGACAGGACTGCCCTGAATCGGGGAGAGAACCGCCGTCTTGAACGTCAACTTGAGCCCGGTAGCTGAGACCGGACCAGTTCAACGGAGGGCGGGTTTCAACACGGGTTCTGTGCTAAAAAGCAGACTGATGGGACTACGGAAGCCAAAAAGGTGTTAGCAACGGGTACATGGAACAGGAAACGAGACAGACAGTGTACTTCATGGTACACCAGAAACAGCTGTGATTCTTGGGCCTTCAGTCATTCTCAGAGAGGGGATTTTTCCGGTGCTGATCTAGGCTGACAGTCACGGGTGTGGTAATTCCGATATGGAGAAGAGCAATTGCGCAAGGAATCAATTATTTCTGCGGGATTATATACCTGCTTCCTATAAATGTGCACGAGAGCTGTTTTCTAGCAGGCTTCTAGACAAGGCGCGCCCTGGAGCTATTCTTTGATAGGCGACAGGCGACGAGAGGACGGGTCCGAGCACAAGAGTGTCGTCGAAACGTCTTATGCAACGCGGCGGGGCAGGACAAACGGATGTCGAGGTGATTCCAGCAAGGGGGGAGAACGGATGAGGGCGAGAGAGGAGAACTGAGGGCAGCAAGGTGTGATAATGGTATTACAGGGCGGAGAGGAGGGCAGGAATTGAATTAAATGAGTGGATTAGGAAAAGGAGGGAAGAAGAAGGAGAAAGAAAGAAAAGTAAATAGATTGAAACGAGGGTGGAAAAGGAGAAAGGCGAAGGGATGCCGCAAGCAACAACTAATACTAATAATTAATTAACAACAGCCTGGAGGAAGTAATAATGGGAGAGAGTGAAAAAGACAGAGAGAGAGAAAGCGAGAGAGGAAGAAGGAAAAAAGGAGCAGAGGAGGACGATCGAAAAGGGAGTTAAAGGGAGCAAAAAACCCAAGAGGTATGGAGAAGTAATTAATTACCGGGCCTGCTGTGCATGTACGGAGTGTGGGCGTATGTAACTTCAGACCCTGTAACCACAATACATGCATACATACGCCCCCTCGACGCACCGCAGCTGCGGAAGCCAAAACAACACAGCCGCATTCCCGAGCGCCTTTGACATTCGCCTCCTACAAAACATGTTTGACTACCTGCTCAGCGGCCCTCATCCCACCCTCCAGAAGGCCTTCTCCCTCCGTAGCGCCTCTTGTGTGCTGTCCGCCTGGGAGCTGCGTGGACGGTGACATAAAATACAGACCCCAGGTAACGTTTCTCACCCGCACAAATGGGTCAGGAGTCAGAAAAAAAAGGCTAGCTTACGCTCCCATTGGCCGGCCTCGGCGGTCTCTTGGTTAATTTTGGGTAATTTCGGTAGCTGCTAGTCCGTATCAGGTAAAGTAAGGGGTCGAATGCAGCACGCTAGGCTGTTCCGCGCTTAGCCTCTAAACCTTAAATGGATGGTTGCTCCAAGAAAACCTGCAAGAAACCTGTTCGGTACGAGACCGTTTTGATCACGTATCTAGAGCCATGTACCGCCGGTGTCGATCGTCGTTAATAGTTATGTAAGACCTCCAGGTGAAAATCCTCAGAATTTCCCAATCGAGAGAACGAAGATGAAGCGGATGAGACCTGGAAATGAGCGAACATCCGCTCGCCCAGGTGTCGAGGGGAACATGGCTGTGGACCTGCAGTCGGCCTCTCTGCAGTGATACCCTTCAGTCCATGATCAGCAGGTACCCGGATGCGGTTCCCGCCTTTCATCGAAGAACGATGCGCAAAAGAGCCCCGAGAGCGATCCTTGTCTGCCCCAAGAAAGCCGGACACATGACCTCTGTGTAAGAACGATTTTCACTTAACTAGTCTCGCGTGGGGAACTCCTGCAGAAAACACACACATCCACTATTTCAGCCTGGTCGTCCAAATTTACCAACATTATCTGTAACTTACTGCGCCGTACTACGTTGACAGGGAAGAGCTTTTTACACTGGCGACTTGGCGCATTTCATTAGCTAGCCAGTTGTGAGCCGTCTTCCACACATGGCGTCCAGCACATCCGAAGAAGAATCTCGAGAACCCAATACGGAGTATTCCGTCGTAAACCATCTGTTTCGAGGCTGCACGCTCTGGGGTTTCAATCTGAGTCTTGCTTCTGCAGTCACCGTTTCATCTGATCTCTGCACAACGTCGAGACCCAGCGAAAGCCACCCGGCACGTGGCGTGTGGCGGTGCGTGTTCACTAGCCACACATGCCTCTCTGCCAAGCAAGCAACGCCAGAGGTGCAGTTCGGCGCTCCCTTTCAGCCATCACGATTTCACCACGGCGCCGTGTGCAAGTCGAATCCCCCACCCAACAGGATTCGGAAAATGAGCTGCTACCTTTTTTATATGAACTTCTCCTGAGCTGCGCTTTGTTGCGCCCCTTAGTTTTAACCACCCCTCACACACTCTCTCTCACACACACACACACGCACGTAATTGAGATTGCACTGATTCCTTCAGACAAGCACTCCATGGCTGACTCTCCGGAAACGAACGACGCCACAAGCTCCGATGGCGAGCCTATCGAGTATCTTGCTACTGCACGAGCAAGGCGGAGCACGGCGGGACAGCATATGAGCAGTTTGCTCGATGCAGAGGCCGACGATGACCTAGCACTACTTTTTGCGGAGGACGAGGAGGATGAAGAATTCACGTTCGGCGAGCAGGAAGACGAAGGCGAAGATGACGGGGTGGTCGCGGACTATGCGGAAGATATGGATCTGGATTCCTCTTCCGATGAAGAGGACCAGGGCCCCGATGCAAAGGAAGATGAACTCGAAGGAGAAAGGGAGCTCGAGAAGCAAGCCAAAGCGGAACGATTGGCCAAGAAGCGAAAGGCGCAGGAATCGCTGCGGCTAACGGCATTACGCAAGAAGGTTAAAATAGACCCCAACCTGCCCTCTCGTTCGCTCACGACTCCTGCCCCGCGACAGAGGAAGAAATCCGAGAGAATATCTTGGCTGCCCACGCCGGAAGATGGGCCGACTCGGTCCTCCTCGCGTATGCAAACCGTACGAAATAAAGAGCTCACCCACGCTCGGTTGAAGGATAGCGAGCAAAGGCGCATACGACTAATAGCTACTATGGAAGAAGCTGCCAAGCGCAAGGAGAGCATGAAGGCCAAACAGATGACGCAGGAAGATAGACTAGCGGAGGCCGAAAAGACTGAACGTATAAACAGCAAGAGCTTGAATCGATGGGAGGAAATGGAGAAGAAGCGGAGCGAGGAACAACGGGCAAGGCTGGAGGCCCTGCAGAATCGTCGTCTGGAGGGTCCCGTGGTAACATGGTGGAGTGGAATAGCAAAGTGGATAGACGATAAGCTAGCTCAAGTGGGCGTCAGATCGTATACCCAAGCTGCTGAGAAGGAAGCGGGTCGAAAAAGGAAAAGCAAAGATGTAACGCATCAAGGACCACCCAAGGCTGGCCAATCCAAGCCATCGAGGCAACAAGAACCCGACCTCAAAACAGAAAAAGCTCAATCTGAAATAGCAAACTCAGGAAAAACGGGCCACCCACCAGCGAATGAAGATGCGCCGAAAGACCCTAAGGACGAGCCGAAAGAACCTCCAGGTGAGGGTTCGGTGCTTTTGGATGGCATCCACCTCTACGCATCTATGACTGATGAGACACTTTCTGTGCCGGCTGATCAATCGTCAAACGCGCAATCAAGAAAGGTAGTAGCGGACGAGGGAGATCCAACACAGTCCACTCCAGGCCCTGCGGCCACCGCACGGTTATCCGAGGGAGCAACACCGGCTCCAGAGCCTAAAGAGCAAGATACCCCGACGAAGGTTGCCATAAGCCATCAGGCTTCTTCTGAGCAGTCAACTCCGTCGGTAATTCCAACAGGGGCCGCAAAACCACCATCAACCCAGGATGCGGCGTCGCTAGAACAACCTTCAGGACCCGTGCAACTACTTCCACCACCATTATCACCACCTTCAAATGTTTCTACCGAGAATCAAGGCACCGATTCAACATCCACTGTACAGGCTGGCGTGAATGCAACACCACCCACTCAAGTAGCGCCCAAAATCGAAATTTCGTCACGTAATTGCATTATTCTAGAAGACTTCGATGCCACCACACCCCAGGCACGAAGTCAATACAGTATCCTTTTCAACCCACGGAAGCCACAGAAACTACAAAGTAAGTCACCCTCCTTGCAACCTTTCGTCTTCCTGTATTTATCAGAACCCAACCCAACCCCACAAAAAACCCCCCCCAAAAAAAAAAAAAAAAAAAAAAAAAGAGGAAAAGAAAAAGAAGAAAAAGAAGAGAGAATCTTACTAACGAGAGACCCCTTGCAAAAAAACAACGCAGAACCTGCGCAAGAATATTGTCCCGTGACAGGCCGGCCAGCCCGGTACCGCGATCCTCAAACGGGCATAGGCTACTCGAACACCCAGGCGTACCGAGAAATCCGTCAGGTCCTTGGGGGTCGATACGCCTGGAGTGGCTTCCTGGGATGCTTTGTGGGCGAACTTGGAGGGGGTGCACGGGGCGTGCCAGAGCGTTTCTTGGCTCCAAACGTGCCGCCGCCACAGGAGATTCTGGGGCCGCCGCCACCCGTCAGCGGAGAGGGTATCACCATCAAGTCATCCCCTACAGCTACTACGGCTGCTGCTACTCCTACTGAGTCCCAAGCAGGTTCGGGCGCGAGTGGTTGATGGTTCCTGTTTGCCAAATATTCTGCATACATAGGATGCGCCTTAATAATGGTTACAAGATTCCCATTTCAGACAATGTATGAATAATGATTTAATGAAAAATGCCCATGACACAAAGTATAACCAAAACCAAATATTTTGGAGGGAGGGGGGTTTGGATAGCAATACAGACCGCGGCGCAGGAACTGTTTGACCACCGAGACCAACATGAGCCTTCACCATCATATGAAGTTACATAACACAGCCGTGCACTGTTCTTTATCCCCCAGGGATGAGGGCTGCTGCTTGCTTGTTTGCTTGTTTTGAATTGGCTTCATGCTAGTGGCCCTTGTTTCAGGCTGTTCGTTGCCATCCGGCCCAAACCCAGGTGAAACCCTTCCCAGGCGACGAGAACTCCAGCAAGCTGTGACGTGAGCGGGTGGACTCTCTTCACTTGGCATATCGAGTCGAGTCTGGCGGTCAAACAGCGTTGAACCTGAGGATGTTGATGCTGAGAGGTAGAGGTGGAGGTGGGGGAGCGTAAAAAGTTCTACTAGCACGCACTCCCGGATTCCGCCGTCAATAGAGGCTCACCTTTGCATGCAGCTTGCTGGGAATACCTGGGGGTAGTATGAAGCAGCAACAGGTTGCTCTCCATGATGCTTGTTCCATGGCTGCGTAGCTCTCTTTTTTTTTTCTTTTTCCTTTTTTTTTTTTTTTGGTCTAGGTGAAACTTCGGGCCAATCGGTTGTCAAAGAAACTTACATGCCTTCTTGCACACCGTCTCGAGGTGGTTAGTCCTTACTCAGATGACAGGCGGCCGAAGTGCATGTACATACAGACTTTTCCGGAGTACATCCATGGGATATACAGGCATACTCCTGTTTACCAGTAGGCACGTGTCTCGTTGCGGAAGCCCGTCGTGCGGCACCGTTCCAGACGGGTTCCTCGCCGCCTCGGAGTAACTCGATGGAGCTGCAAACGCGGAGTCTGTGGGGCGAAGATTGGCCGTTCGTGGTTGGTCCTGCTGCTCTTGCGGCTAACGACGGAAAGTTCAACTAAACACGAGGCGGGCGAGCGAGCAAGTCGCCTGCAAAGTTGGACATCCTGGGGAGCAGGCATAAAGACATCCGCACTCATCTGCATAAGGTTGAAAAAGACGGTCAACG